CATTTAAGGTCTGCCGACTCTTAAACAGTTTTTTACTCAAAAATTAAATAAATTATTTTTTCAGTTGGGCGAGTGGATGACAGCAGCCAAACCAAGGAACAAACGGAACAGAAAACAGGACACCAACAGAACTAGACTTCAGGGTCAACCAGACATTGAGATAGAGTTTGAGAACAGATCGTTGTGGGGGGGCCGTGCAGGGCCTCAATCCCCTGCCCCTACCAGGAGATCTTACCCTCCACCCGGTGTATCCAAGGTAAACGTAGTTATATCTTTGACTAGAAATAGAATCAGACATTTTGTTTCCATAAAGTAGTTGCCAGTCATAAAATAAAACTAGGTATTGAGTTGAGCCACTGACAATGTATGCTGATGTTAATTATTACTGGTGTTTGTTAAGTAAACAAACTTTTAAATTAAACAAAACTGAAACGGACAGCTCATTGTTATCTAAAGTCTATACCATATTTTATGTCACATGGACTACCAGAGGAACCAAAAATATGGGTGTAAACTGAAATTTGCAACCCAAATTTATTCAATCACAAATCAAGATACCACCCCTAGTTGCTCTGTAGTACATCAACACAGTATCTAACTCCAATACTGCACAACAGTGACCATGTTTTATTTGACTTTCTTTTTGTTAGGAAATATTTCCTGAATAGCATTAATTTTAACTTAAATGCTTTTAAGTTATTGTTTTTTTTAGGTCCAAGAAGAAGAAAAAAATGTACAATGTCCTATATGTCAGCAGAACTTCACAAGGTCAACAATCGAGGTTTGTACATAGCCTACTTTGTATGTGTACTGCTCGTTGTTTGGGTGATCTATGCTGTTGCTTAGTGTCATAGATAAAACATACTACCTTAGTAGATCCTTTATGGAACAGCTAAAGCATATATTATTGGTAGTTATGTACGTCGTACTATAGAGGTTGTGTTTTGTTTACAATTTGTTTCTTGTTATTGCAGTAATGTAAACCTTCATTAAGCCAAATAAAACGATCTAATCATAAACAATAACTGGTATCCTAGTTATACTAGGGTTGCTTTCAGAGAGGTGAAAGCCAGTTGAGCGGAACAAACGTGATTTGATATTTGTATAATTAACTAAATGTAAAAAATTAAATAGATGTACTAATGCTGGTTTTATTGATTAAAATTATAACTAGTGTCCCTGTTGCTCGAATTTGAGCAATTACTAAGTATTACAGGCGTTATTTTAAAACGAATAGCAGTCATAATTTCTGATGACTTTAAAAGATTCGACTGGACTCAAAGATTATGTACATAACAGATCGATATAACCCACATTTCTTGAAAATATCTTATCATTTTTTTACAAGCCAATCTTGTTTTTTGTGTTTTCTACAAATTGCCTTAGTCATAGCCAAGTCAAGTCAAGTCAAATAAATCTTTATTCAGACATACAACAATCTGTACAGGAGTGCGTCTTAACCTTAAACTATAACTAATACTAAAACCATTTTCCTGATCCATTTTACTTTTTTATTTATTTTATTTATTTTTTTTTTTTACATATTTACATGTTTACTTACATATTTGAACATAGTGCAGTAAATTCTTCAAAATTATAAAACTCTCCGCTAATTAGAAAATTCTTAAGCTTTTTTTGAACTTATTTCTGTTTTCCTCATTTCTGAAGCTACAAGGGAGAATGAATAAATTTAACCCCAATATAATCAGGGCTTTCTTTAAATTTTTGTTATGCTTTTTAATTATAACATTTTGTTTGTGTTGTCCATAATAACGATTATAAATTCTAAAAAAAAAAAACATTATTTCTATTTATTTTCCTTGGTGGTGTTCTATGACTTTCCTATATTTCCATAGTTTGCAAATCGGCTCTTTCAATGATTACCAAGAAATAAATCCAACCTAAAGGTGAGTGAGCGTAGCGAACGAACTTCAACCAGGACGTGATTGAGCCATGCGAACGAGATCATCTTGAAAATTAAGAAGTTAAACGGGGCAAAGCCCGCGGGTTACAGCTAGTAGTAAATATTTCCTTTCAACAAAGTCAGTAAATGTTTGTAGCAAACTGTTAAATTAGAAAACTTGTTGACTGTTTATAATTAACTTATGTTCTTCTCACTTTTAATTTCTGACAACAGCTGGAGTTTCATAACAATTTTTGTTTCCCATGTTAATCTTATGGAGAAATACGAAAATTTAAAGGGCCCCAGCGCCTCACTCTCTAATGATTTCCCTAAAAAGAAAGTTTCCTGCACAACTTCACGTTACGCTCTTTCCAATGACACCAAAAACATATCAATCGGTTCAGTAGTTTAGGAGGAGTAATTGTCACAAAAAACCTGCTTGCGTATTAAATAAGTACTAGGCGAACCCCGTCGAAATCGACGGTTACTTTCAAGGCTCAAGCTGTAGCTAATTCATCTAACTGCGATAAATTGAGTAAAATTATACATATTTAGATCATTTAGCATTGTTTAAAGAGTAATAAGTGTAAAAATAATAATGATATTACAGTAGAGTCTCACAAACTCGGCACTCAATAACCCGGCAGTCTGGATAACTCGGCCATTACCTGGCTCAGAAAATTTGTGATTTTTTGAGTCCGAGTTAATCATGCACTCAAGCCAGCTCAAGTCAAATTATTCACAACTGGTACTAAGGATTTGTTGTACTATATCTGATGACTTAATACTGACTTGTAATATAAATATAAATAAAAAAGGTGGTTAAAAAGCTTAAAAACTTTATTGTTTTTATTTTTAACCCTAGTTCCCGATAACCCGGCATTTCACAAACTCGGCACCCTTCCAGTCCACATTACGCCGAGTTTGCGGGACTCTACTGTAATTGCGTTTAGTTATCAAATATGGTTGATCATTCAATGAATAAAATATTTCCCATGCTGTACGTAATCGTCGTTATTATTAGTTTGTTAACTGGTATCTCTTCTTCAGGAAGAACCTTTAAAAAGTATCGAAATTGTATTTGTGGATATTTTGTAGTTTATCTCTTTACCTGCTCTGGTTTTAAAAAATGCTAATTTTTTTAGTTTTGATATCTATATGATCCGCGATTCTACCAGTGTAAAGCAGATTAATCTACTATGATTTTATTTGAGAAAAAATATCTGTTTATTTGTTGTCTACACTAGCAATCGGTGTCGATGTACATGAACTAGACACAAAAAGATTACAATGGAATGAGAAGTCTACTTGTGTTGCTTAGTCTATGTTAGTGTACTATAAAACTGCCATTAAAATATTCATGAAAAAAACAAACACAGTAGTGTGTGATAAACAATTAATCAATGCAGCAATGTCATGAGTTTAGATCCTGGTACCTGCCTCTACATTTTATCAGCACAGTTTAAACCCTACTGCATTGTACACTTTACTGGAGACATTTCACATGAACGGGAATGTAAGGTTAAAGGTTGCCAACTGTTAAAAATATTATCATACTCGTTATTTAAACTCTAACACTGAACCTGAGATTTTTTTGTTATAAAATGTACTATTTTACAGAATCACGCGGCCACTTGCGAGGGGTTTTCAAGCTCTCCTATGGATGTTGAAGAGGGGTTATAAAAGATAATAAGTGTATAAATCTTGCAGAGATGTAAGTACTATTTATAAGCTATCCTAGTCGATAGCTGCTATAAGCTATAAATCTATAGCTGCGGACAAGCCTACTGAGGCTCTTGTAGCTTTGTATGACATGTATTTTGTTTATTATGTTTTTGTTGCATTAAATAAATAAATAAATAGTGACATACATCCAATACGAAAAATGTCAACACAAAAGCAAAACTGTGTTAGGCTAGTTGTCATCCCGGATGACACTCAGTTAAGGGACTACCTCTTAAAATAAAATAAAACCTACAATTTATTATTGGTTTTTGTTTGTATTAACATTAGTGGCAGTTTTAGAGCTCGATCACTCAGAGCCAGTTTACAAGCGACTAGCCATTTTTTTCCCTTGTTGCCATTTTAAGCTCGTAAAAACTATACAAATTACTCATAGTTTCTTCAGCAAAAGCGAATAGTAGGATGATAGTGTCACAGGAATCGGTCAGTAGCATTAGTTTTATATCATACCCACTGACAAGCCTGATTGTTTACCTGCCCTAAGTAATCAAGCATTTATGATTATTTGGGAAACAGTAGCCAATATTCAGCTTTTTATTTTCACCCTTGCCTCTTTAAATTATACATCCAGACTGTTTTATTTCAGGTAAGAGAAAGATGGAGGCCTAAAGAAAATTACCGTTGGCATTGTTATGTTTGAAGAAAAACATGATGATAATTATTTTGACTTGTAATTGTCGTTGTTCATATATATATACTTTATGTTGTTCATATATTAAGCAGTCTAGTATTTTTTGTTAAACTTATTTAACTAGTAATAAAACCAATTGAGTTTTGCACCATTTGTTTCTTTTAACCTGTCATTTATTTACTTACAGTAAACACCATTTTACAAAATTACATTGAGTTTGCAAAGAGCCAAGGTGAACCATATCCATAAAGATGAACATTAAATAATAATGAAGTAAGAATGAAACAATAGATAAATAAACCCAATTGTTTGGAAATACCTAATAAATAATATAGTATGGATACAAAAAGACTAAAAGAGAACAAAATGTCACAGGTGCAATAAACTAGGCTATGAATAAGCCTATTTGAATCCTGGACTTCTCTTTTTCTAAAAATATTTAAATCTGTTATTATAGCACCTGATATGACATTAAAACTACTACAGTAGGTACCTTCATTTTTAGAGTCAAATAATTGGGTAGTGCTGTGTGCCATTAAGTAATTTGTTCAGTATAAAGATTAGCATTATACAAGGCAGACTTGGTCAACATTAAAATAAGTACTGTAGAACATTTAAAATAACCAACACAACTAAACCAAACTCTCTTAAATTTCACTCCTGCATATTTACCACAAACACAAATCGACAAATCCAGGAAAAAACATGTAGGCCTACCAGATCTCTGCTCCTCGAATAGTTTTCCATGTAATCAGAGTTAAAGAGTAACAAAACATAAAAAATAAGAATTTTTTTTACTGTTGACATTGATTTCTTTTATAGATATTTATTTGGCGCTTCCACTTTGTAGGTGAAGACTGCAGGACTTTGGTAAAATTACATTCCTTTGTCAAAAGATTGTCTATGTGATCTTCAACTTCCTGTCTTATTTTGAGTTGATCAAACATCGGGAAGGACTCGACTTTGCTGTGCTTCATTCTGTTCACCGCCCTTGTATAACATCGCCAGGGCTGTGCCTCCACCACTATAATGTTCGTTGTGTCACTGACAGACGTAATGAAATGTTTCAAACCATCATCACCATGATTCAGGTGAATCCACATTGTTACTGAAAAACAGAAAACGACGTCGAAATGATGTCTTTCTTGATGTTCTAAGTAGTCTCTGTATATAGTTTTGAAATTTTCCTCCATAACACTAGCACATTTGAAAGTCAGAAAGTTACTATGGTTGTTCTCATTTGCTCGTAGTATAAGAATTTCATCCATGTCAACACCCAATATATGACATTCTGACTTTTCACCAACTGATTTGGTTATGTACGTGTGCAACGCTTGAGTTAGTTCCTGAAACCAAAGAAATTTTTTTATTAAAATAGACATTCATCATACCGGTAGTAGATAACAATAGTGTTACAAAATATCAATACTAGCCTACATTAAAAGGATTGAGGGATAAGTAGGGCCTATGGGTCGATAGAGAAGCTTACAGTAGATTCCCTCTTATCCGGACACCTTTTAACCGGACATCGATTTAACCGGATTACAATCGGCAGAAATGACATCTCTTTAATAGGACAATTTTTATCAGCACATTGGTTTTTAACCGGACTAGATCGGCAGGAAGTGGGCAGTACTGAAACAACTGTTTTCGTGGGAAAGATTTGAGACCAGTGATCACGTGACAATGCTCTCCTAAATTTATTTCAAATATCACAGTAAACGGTCCGTTTTAACAAGTTTTTGGGGACGTCGGTTTAACCGGAATAACCGTTATCCGGATTGGCCTCGGTCCCGAAGAGTCCGGATAAGTGGGAGTCTACTGTATTGTGATTCTGAGTTTTGTAGATTACTCTAACTATTCCGTTTCTAAGTTACAAACTTTGCAATCACGCTGAATTTGGATAAGTTTCCCCTTTTGCCTCCCTAGAAAGGAGATGGTTACTTTGTTAACCCTAGCAGTGGCCAACCGTCGCCTGGTGACGGTATGACGTTGATGCTTAGAATGGCCAATGTCGTCTGGTGACGGTATGGGCCGAAATTTTTTTAACGGTAAAAAAACACTTACAATCAACTCAGATGAGAATAATATATATACCATTCGAAAGATCACATTCTGAACTTTCATTTGATTACATAAACAAACCCTGTAGCAGGTATATAACAATGTCACGACGATTAGAAATCAAATGAAATTTTGGCGCGGTACGACTTTTGCAGCCGACACTTGGGAACTGGCAAAACACGTCTTGTTTGGCATTACCCTGCTCGGGTAATTTTCGTCTTGGGATTTTCTGGGTGGTACCACTGGATAGCCATTGATTTTATCTTCATTGTGGTAGTGATATTTATAACTAAATATTGATTGCACAATCGGTACGATTTTATGAAAACAGCTGTTTTCAAAATTTCTAACAAATGGCCAACAGTCGTCTGGTGACAGTATGGAAAATACGAATTATATACAGTGAAAGTTATTATTACTAGTCATATAGTATATCATTTTGAAGAGGAAGAAATTTAGATTCAGAGAGTGGCAGCCCTGCACTCAGGGTTATTTCTGTATGCTCGCATGTAGACGACAAGTGAGTCATTAGTGACTGCTTGCTACAGTCTGTCAGCTGTCTTGTATTGCCATTGTTTGTTTGTGTTGTTGCCGGTAATAGTTTTATCCGCGATTTATTACTAAATATGTTATTAGTTCGTAGTGTTAGTGTTAGTGAAGTGTTGTGTGTGTGTATAACAGTAATCTTCATGCATAAATATTACTGAATTGTGTGAAATAGTGTTCATAAAAGGTTGTATTTTGTTAGCATCATGTCCTAAAATGACGATTCTGACATTCAGAGATTGTTGTACCTATATAATGATATACCCAAGGTGTTATACATTTTTATAAAGGTAAATGAATACACTACAACATGTTTATAATGGTTTGGGGGTAAAAAATTTTGTAAAAAAGTTATAGCCTATACTAAATAGGCCTACTACTGTATTTTGTTAGCATCATGTTCAAAAATGACGATTCTGACATTCAGAGGTGCTATATATGCTATATAATGATTTACCCAAGGTGTTATACATTTTTATAAAGGTAAATGAATACACTACAACATGTTTATATGGGTTTGGGTGTAAAAAATTTGGTAAAAAAATTATATAGGCTACTAAATAGGTACTGTACACTCCATTTTCTCGAAATGCGCAAAAAAATCAAAACGTTTTCAAATTGATACATAATCATAGGTGAAAATAACTTTTTACCATCATACTTATGACTTTTTTGGATTCCTTACTTCATTAGCTTTACAAATATGTAGGCTACATATCATCAGCCTACATAATGTTTCACAACACAAGCAAACACTGTAGGCTATAGTTTACACTTATTTGCGGTTTTGCGGTTATTGTATTATTATGTCCCTATTACGTACCTACAAAAAAAATATTTCTAACATGTTATACATTTTTATGTAGGTAATTGAATACACTACAAGATTATTATGTTGGTTTGAAGTAAACAAATTTGGTACAAAAGTTGTATACTAAGTACTGTGAATTTTTTTCTCGAGAAATCGCTAAAATATAAAAACATTATTTTATATACGTATGTTTATAGGTAACAAATTATTTTTACCATAAACTTTATGACTTTTTTGGATTCCTTACTTCATTAGCTTTACAAATATGTAGGCTACATATCATCAGCCTACATAATGTTTCACAACACAAGCAAACACTGTAGGCTATAGTTTACACTTATTTGCGGTTTTGCGGTTATTGTATTATTATGTCCCTATTACGTACCTACAAAAAAAAAATATTTCTAACATGTTATACATTTTTATGTAGGTATTTGAATACACTACAAGATTATTATGTTGGTTTGAAGTAAACAAATTTGGTACAAAAGTTGTATACTAAGTACTGTGAATTTTTTTCTCGAGAAATCGCTAAAATATAAAAACATTATTTTATATACGTATGTTTATAGGTAACATATTATTTTTACCATAAACTTTATGACTTTTTTGGATTCCTTACTTCATTAGCTTTACAAATATGTAGGCTACATATCATCAGCCTACATAATGTTTCACAACACAAGCAAACACTGTAGGCTATAGTTTACACTTATTTGCGGTTTTGCGGTTATTGTATTATTATGTCCCTATTACGTACCTACAAAAAAAAAATATTTCTAACATGTTATACATTTTTATGTAGGTATTTGAATACACTACAAGATTATTATGTTGGTTTGAAGTAAACAAATTTGGTACAAAAGTTGTATACTAAGTACTGTGAATTTTTTTCTCGAGAAATCGCTAAAATATAAAAACATTATTTTATATACGTATGTTTATAGGTAAAAAATTATTTTTACCATAAACTTTATGACTTTTTTTGATTCCTTACTTCATTAGCTTTACAAACATGTATATATCATTATTAGTATACACATATATTATAGAACTTTTTACAACATAAACTAACACTGCACGGCTTTCAATTTTTTCGATTCTCCGTTTGTCATTATATTTCGCCCCAAAAACTTATAAAAAAAAATATTTTCCTAACATGTTATATATTTCTATGTAGGGAATTAGATTGTCTACAAAATGTATATAATGAATTTCCCATAAAAAAATCCGTAGAAAAAAAATGCAGAGGCCGCTTTTGAAATTTCAAAAAAAAATTCAATTTTTTTTTATTTTTTTCACTTTACCGATAAAATACACTGTCTAAATCATTATGATATTACTATTTCTAGATTCTCCTGTTCTTTCCGAACAAAATGAATATGAGGTTGGCTAGGTTTACTTGTACAGTTGAATTTTTACGAATTTTCAAAAAATGGTCTGCAAAATCGCCAAAATGGGTTGGCCATTCCCCACTTCTAACATTGGCCACTGCTAGGGTTAAAAGGTGAATTCTGTAACATTTCTACTCCAAACAATTTGAAGAATAGTATGTCTGTAGCTGACATTCCCACACCTATAAACCCCCTGAACCAATAATTTGCTGATAATTATCAAGCTGTTGGGAAAAAATAAGAGCTAGGCCTTGGACCTAATGCATAGCCTATATTTATTTATTTACGGTTAGGGCCTACACCATTTTTACAGGGTTGACATGCTCTGCCTTTTCTCATATTTTTTTTGTTATTTTGCGTAAGTTACATTAAAATGTTAGTACAGTAAAGCTTCTAGGCTACGTACCCCAGTATTGCATCCAATGTCCATACAAACTATTCTGGAACTAGGCCTTTCTGTAGTACAACCTAAAAACTGAACGAAATTAGGCAATAATCTGATCCTCTCATCAGCAGGATTAAAACTGTAGTAATTTATAAAATTTCCAAATCTAGCAGTTCCTGGGTCAAATGTGTCATCACTCTTCTTACTGGTGTTATTATTTTCCATTTTGAATAACACCAAAAGTAAACAGAGTTCAATCTCAAATACTAACCACCTTGTAGTAACACAGGTAATGCTATAGGCCTAACCTCAAAAGTAGCAATTAATAATAACCTAAAAATTAATTAAGTTTAAAATAACTATTAATTAATTATTAAAAGCTGCCAATGTGGATGAACTGAAACTAATGTCATATTGAGGTTGCAAAGTTTAAAATTCTATATAATTGTTTGTAAACATAATAGTTACAATCGTGGCGAAACGGCACACGGAGGATTTCTCAGGTGCCGTTTCGCCGTTTGACGTCACTAACTGCTGACGTCACTTTGAGGGAACACCAATACCGCAACCCGCAACACTGAGCTAAAATTATAACTGGAGGTAGCATTGCCATGGCAGAAGTCTGTCAAAAGCGAGTCGCTGATTTTGTTAGGTTGGTATAGCAGTAAGTTTTCTTACCATAGCAATAACATGGCTTCTTATAACTAGGTTGTATAGCAGTGAGTTTTTTTGTCATAGCAATAACATGGCTTCTTATGGACACCCGCCTCACGCAAACATGGCGGCTGCCGACACGCATCTTTGACATTCAGTGCTACCTCCAGTTAGAATTATAGCTCAGTGACCCGCAACGATACGGTTATGAGCCATCGGCCTCGGCCTCGGTGGTACAGTGTATAGCCAATGAATACACAAACTATATATATAGTTTGTGTATTCATTGGTATAGCGTTGCAGGCTGATTATCCGTATGTTCCAGGTTCGAATCCCGCCGGCGGCACTAGCTTTTTATCAACATTTTTTCATATCAGCAAGTTTGGTTGGTTTGGTTAGGTTATGGCAGTTTAATTTTATAATTAAAAAATTATAAAATTGAATTTTAGGCAATTATAATTTTATTTTGTGAACAAAACTATTTTTTAGATTAGTAAACCTTTATTCGATTTTTCCATTATCAGCACGTTTGGTTAGGTTATGACAGTTTAATTTAATAACAGAAAATTATAAAATTGTCTGTTTCTTCAGACGCAGCAGTTAGTGACGTCAAACGGCACCTGAGAAATCTTCCGTGTGCCCCACCGCAATCGTGGTGTAAGAAAAGTGCACAGTTTGACTCTGTCTGTCTGTCGCTGTCTGTCTTTGTCTTGTAGCATAGATAAAACATACTCCCTTTAGTCTATGCTTGTAGTCTGTGGTCTGTGTATGTTCGTTCCTTGTTCCTTTCCTCCTGTTCCTGTTGTTTTGTTTTGACACTAGTACTATAGTAGACTAGACTTGGCTTTGGTTTGGCCCCGACCTCCAAACCAGCGTGGCTTATCGCGCTTGTGTTTATGACCAGAAGCTTCGGAAGTACAATAAACCAAATTGCAAGTAATAGACATTTCAATCATTAATTTATTGATTGATAAAACAGAACTAAAGCAAAATAATACGAAAAGTATGTACTTTTCTCTGGTCTGTAGTTAGAAAATGTTATAGATTATTGGGGAGAACAGATTCAGTAATAGATTTTCAGTATTTAATTACCAACTATGTAATTTTCTTGACGTATGAATGAAATGAAATGTCTTTATTTGCTTTTAACATGACAAACATGCATTGTAATCGTCAATGTCACTTATCATACAAAGCAAACCATGCAAAAATGTACAAAACCATGCGTTTTACTCTACAAAGTTCTACTCACACAATAGGCACACCTTTTTTAATCGAAATCCTCAAGTCTGGCTGGACATTTATTAATTAGCCAAATTTAAAAAAAAAACTTGAATTTTTTACCTTTCGAGTCTTTTATTGTCTTACATCTTACATCTTACATCATATTGTCTTTATGGTAATTTATAAAAAAATATTTCTCCCTTGACATAAGGGCTGTTTTTTGGAAATTTCTCCTCCACGCTATATAGCTATATAGCTAATCGACGACTCCTTTGAATGTGGCCTGTTCGCCGATGCCATGAAAACGTAAATTGTCATTGTCAAGTCACTTCACATAAAGATTCTCACACCTCTGCGGCAACTACAGACCTATAAAGCCAAAACATGATCGGTATCCAAGGTCTGAAAAAATAATCACTAAGACCATTGGAATTACAATTATTTCAGAGAAACAATAAAATGGGTTCACAAAAAACAAAACACTTCGGATGCAATGGCCTGTCTTTATTTTTAATGTATAATTTCATTGGATGCAGATGAACACGTAATGGGCATTTGCTTTGATCTGGAGCAAGTAGTTTTTTTCTTCAGTTTGTTACCAGGACATTACAGGATATCCAGTGGATTTTGTACATGTCCCGGGATGTAATGGGACATTCTGGGATATCCTATGGCATTCGTACATATCCCGGGACTTTACAGGATATCCTGAGGTTAACTTACAAATCCCGGGACATTACGGTATATTGTAGGATATCCTGTGGATTTCGTACTCGTCCCGGGATTTTGCGGGATATCCTGAGGCTAGCGACCATATCCCGAGACATTCTCAGGACATATGGGACTACTATGGGATGTCCCTGGGATAAAGTGTGCTGTCTGGGAAAGCCTTTTGGTATGTTGGATCACACACGTTACTTTCTTGATAAGCTTTCTTGTCTTAAAGTGCGGGGACTTGCATTACAATTAGTTCATTAATTACGGGTCGGAAACAGTTTATGGTGATTCATTCCAAGGCTTCACTAGTTTTTCTAGTATGGGACCTTGTTCAGACTTTGGAGATTTGTAAATGTTTTTATACGGTATTTCGCCTTTCACTTGTTATGTTTGTCCTCGTCTTGTCGCAATAGCATTACAAATTTGTCAAGTTTAAGCCCAATTGTAGGAGACCACTTCCTTTAAGGCTTCTAGGAAAATCATCAGACGATTCTGCAATTATTGCTGGGAACAATATTGTCACTAATATTTAACCGAATCTATATATCAATAAACCCCTTTTTTAAGATGGTACCTTTACAGCAGAGTACCGTATTGTTTATTTTGAAACGATATTCGTTTAGTGTACTCAGAATAGTGATTTTTGTACTATTTTATTTAATACAATGTTAAAACTTGAATATATACCAGATCATTTCAAAAGAGCATAATTAATTGATAGTCATTCCGAAACCTGGGAAGCCTTTTGACCAGGTAAGTTCATACCAACCTACAAGTCTTTTTACCAGTAATGTCTAAGTTATTTGAAAAACACTTTTCTGAAAAGGATACAAGACCTAATTAATTGGTGAAGATGGACCTATGGTAACCGCAGCACAGCTGACGGTCTAGATCACAGAGCATAGAATAAATATTCATTCCATGCTTTGTGGTCTAGATTTAATTATTTTTGTCTAAGGTAGCATCAAAAAGCTGTGATACACAATAAGAACTGTCAAAGTAGGATTTTTTAAAAAAATGATTATGTTTTTAATTTAATACATAATTCATGATCTTGTGTGAACGTTTGATAATTTACTTTTTTATATTGTTTAGGTGCAGTTGTAGAACAGAATGGCTATGGTATATGTGTAGCCTGCACTGTAGCTATACTGCTATACTACCTATACTGTATTTGTATTTTTGTAATCGATAGTCAAAGGTAATACTATAGCATACCGTAAATATAAAGAACCAAATTCTCTCAAGCCTTATCCTCCCCCATTGCAAACGCAAAGCTAGAGTATAACTGCAATAAGGTTATAGGCAATTAGGTATAGTTATACGCCAACCCCGAACGAAGAACGGGTACTCTGCTAGTTTCATATATGGATGTATAAGTATTCCAACCCTATTAATTACGGCTGGGTCTGATTACCAATGAGGCTATACCAAGATCGATCGTTTATATAATTTTTCCTACAGTTACCTAACAATGTACATGTTCTCTCACTGATTTGAGAAAGCAAAGTGGCCAATTTGCTCATCAGTGAGACAATGTTATCATTGTCAATGTACTCATGTTATCCTGACAATGTTATCATTGTCTCACTCTAATTACTTTGTCTCACTCCAGATTTGCAACGTGAAGGCACGAAATAGTGAGCGCGTAACATGCAGGCAACGACGTATGCGCGCGAAATACGTTGGTAGCACTGACTTTAAATCAGCTGGTCAGCTGTTGTACTGTTGTATTTGTCACTTTGACTTTACATCGAATGTTTTATTAAAAGTTCACTTCTGTGTAAAAATAGGTTATGTTTCTTCACGAATTTATATGTTTTATGGTAACTGTAGGAAAAGTATAATGTGCAACTTGAGTTCAAAGTACAATTGCCTCACTCGAGAAACCATTCCTCACTCGCCTACGGCTCGTGAGTAAGGATTTCTCTCGGGTGAGTCAATTGCTCACTTTTCTCACTAGTTGCACAAATAACTATTTCCACTAATTTTTATTGAAACAAGTATAAATATAGACATATTTACATATGTATATGGATTGTAGATTGTATCATTTATTAAATCTATAGTATGGTCTAATAAGACAATGTTCTTCTTTTCACTCAGGTTCTTTCTAGAACGTAAAAAAATAAAAGGAGAGGAAGAAGGGATTCTAATCAAAATTCCTTGCTAATGATGATGGCAGTGACTAGCGAGTGACAGATTGACAGATTGTGAATGTGAATGTGAATCAACTGATCTTGTTTCATAGAATATAAATTTAAACTACTTTTCACTAAAGAAATTGTTTTTGACTTAGTGTTTTCTGTTTACAAACGTGCTGACTTAACAGTTTATTTTTATGCATAATGGTGAATTACATAGGCTTTTAAACAAACGTCAGTTTACTTTAAAGTATTTTAAGATCAGTTCAGTTTTTTCACATTTTATCAACTATTCTGTGTTTCTTCTTGAATACTTGTGAGTATATTTTTAAATGTCTTTATTCCACTTCGATTTGCGGGTGTCTATAAAAATCCTTTTGCCTGTCACACGGATATAGGCTACATTTAAGGAGGCAAGGACTAACTCACTAACTTAGGCATTAGGCCTAGTTTCTAGAGGGAGAGAGGGGGAGGGAGAGAGAGAGAGAGAGAGATGTTTTATTTGCAATCTTCAAGATTGAAATAGTGTCAAAAATACAAAGTGTATATACAAATGATTAAATAGACTTTCTTCTTGCTTTAACTATAAAATGTTTGGTTTATAATTCAGTCGCTCCGCCAGTTGGTGAATTAATTAATCGTGTAGAATGGACGACCTAGCAGCCACTCCTTCAGTTTTGTCTTAAATATTTTAGGTTTTGAAGTTTTGACTAAATCTGGTAGTAGGTTGAAGAACTTCGCTCCGTTGTACGATGGCTTAATTTCAAACCGCTTGCTGTGGTGGAAAGGAAGGTTTAAATCTCCTGCGCGCCGAGTGTTGTACTGGTGGGTATCCAAGCAGGCGAGTGAAACAACCTCCAAGATGTAGATGTTCACCACCGTGAGAACGTTCCACTGTTTGAAAGGCTCTCGGCAGCTCTCCCTCCAGCCTAGGCCAGCCATGACTCTTAATGCTCTCTTTTGCAGGACCAGCACACGTTGGATGATGTGAAGAGAGGCACTTCCCCAAAGCTGAATGCCATACCTGAGATGACTTTCAAATAGAGAATGATACGATGTATTAACAAGGGCTTCTGTCGTACTAATGCACTTGATCCGTCTTAGAGCAAAGGTTGCGCTACTCAATCTCATGCATAGTTTGTCAATGTGATCAACCTATGAGAGCCTGCTGTCAATAACCAAACCAAGATGCTTTGATGATTCAGTGACCTGAAGATCTGGACAGCCAGAAATCTCATCTCTCTTTGTTCCCATGTTTACCTGCTTAGGTTTTTCTAACTTGGCCTTGTTCAGCTATCAATCCCAAATCTTTTACCAAGAGTCCTTTTCACTAGCCTATGGATGATTCTTCAGAGTCCATTAACTTATCATTTGTTGCAAGACCAAAGTTTAGTTTAGATGATTATTATGTTAACCCAAATTAGATGTAGGGCCTAATTTGAATTTACTAAACTAGATTGAAAAGATTTTATGGTACAGCTTGTAGGCTATTTCTAAACTTCCTGCACTTTTCTTTTAAGGTGTGGAAACCACCACAAATTACATGGAAGTAACTTACTTAGGCCTACTTTCCAAGGCGCTGGGCACATTGCTCATCAAGGAACGTAAGGAGTGCAGTGATACGGATCTAAGTTACTTTCGTACAAGCCATAACCCTAACTTAAGCCTACTAGGTGTCCGGTTGGGCGATACGTCAACATCAAACATGGTTAATCATCGGGAGAAAAGGGTAATTAGCCGGGAGGTCATATGAAACAAAGATTGAACACTGATCGGGTACAGTTTCCTTACTGGGCTACGCAAATATCGATTAAAATATAAATTTGATTAGTAAACCTTCATTAGGTTTTTTTAAATTAGCCTAAGTTTAACTTAGACCTATATATCAATTGTAAAATGAAATTTTTATAACTTAACCTATGACTAACCAAACTTGCTGATAATGAAAAAATCGAATGAAGGTTTACTAAGTTAATCTAATCGATATTTTCAATCAATATTAGTGTAGCCCAGTTAAGAAACTGTACCCCACTGATCTTATATTTAACTTAGGCATGTGGGAAGGGCAGGTCGGGGTTTATGGGGATTTGTGGTTGTATTAAGTTTTTTTATGTTAGGTTAGAATAGGAAGGTAAAGTGTAGGTTATAGACGTACGTGCTGTTTCTTGATGTTACACTCATGTAACTTACCTTTTGGAATACCGTAATTGGTTAAACGACAATACATTTAAAAAAATGTTTACTTTCAACATAGTTACCTACACAAAAAATACAATATGCTTTGTCAATACAATAATTAAAAACCAGCTAGACTTAGGCTGTAGGCTAATTAAATTCATTTAACACACTTATCCTTTCATCATGTAGTAACACAAAAAAGTAAATTATGTCTTACAAAGTGCTACCGTCGTGTGTTTTGAGTCAAACAATACTGTCAAACCTCTTGAAAATCCGAATTTACTAAGATCATGTCCCCAGGTAGCCAACCCACCAGCTCTCTACTCAGTTATCAGTTATTTGACAGTACTATTGGCTAGTCAAATTTGAGCAGTGTTTAAATAATCGACTAGTAAGTTTACTTATTCTGTGAATACTTAACACAATACTTTTTATTTTCTCAGGTGCTGTGTCCAACCAAAGATGTCAGCGCCTAAAGATCGCCACAACTATGATAGAGATAGCAGCAGTGATACAGAAGATTACCATGATTCCGAGGATCGACGACGTCGTGTGTTCAAGAATAGGCTTAGGTAAGTCTTTTTGATGGCATTATTACAATAATCACAAGAAGTGCTGTTCAGGGCTGACGGACTATTACCTTACGTGGTAGTTTTGGAGGGCTTATTGTGCAAACAAATCATGATTATAAAAAAAAACCAAATGTATCAGGACCTAGAATCTGATCACGTCCTGAAATAAGAAAGTAAAACATAGGCTAACAAGATTACTCGGCTAGGCCTATTTACAAACCCGGCTAAAGCTGGAAAATCACATTGAATGACCGCAGAAAAACTGTTTAATAGTAGTCAGAACAACATGCAAAAAACAAAATGAAACTTGAAAGAACACTTAAAAGATTAGTAGAACAGAGATGGGTAGAACAAAATTGGAAAGTCTTCACAAGATGATAGCTAAAGCAAGACTGAGCTCTCAAGTCAGACCGATTAATGGTGGAAGCGATGGTGACGGGAAACGGAAATGGTGTCCACCTGAAACATGAAACAAACAATATCTAGAAGTGAGGTACAAAGGCGTTTCTGTCTAGTCTTTGATCAAATGTTTTTATCCTTTGTATTGTGAAGGTAATTTATGGCTTGTTTTAAACGATGTCTTTGTTTACATTTACTTTGATTCCTATGTAACCATCATGGCAACCCATAAAGCCTAATGTAAGAAAAATTAATTTAAGTTTGATTTAAGTTGTAAGTTATAGGCATTATTAATTTTGATTAATTTATTTATAAATACCGTCTCGTTGTTTGTCGAAATAATCTTGGTAATTTCAGCTTCAAGATATATTTTGCCATTTTTGCTTTGATGAGATTGTAAATTTACCTAATTTGAAATACATAGGCCTATTTTGAAGGAAAATATATTTATGAAAAAACATTTTCTTCTGAAAATTGATATCATATTCATAAAACACCCAGGGGGTCAGTGGGTTAAGGGTCAGTGGAGCCCTGGGCAAACCCAAAAGCAGCGCTGCATTTTTTCCTAGTGCGGGCGAGCGGTGGATGGGGGGCACCCGGTGGGGGCCCCAAACCTCCAGCGCCCCTGGGCATATGCCCAGTCTGCCCGTTTATAAAAGTGGGCCTGAAAACACCATACATTTTCAAAGCTTTCAGAATAAAATGAACTATGAATTAAGCTCTGGATGTAAAAACCTAGCTTTACAATGATATCACAACCAATGGCATGGATAGGCCTAAGCATAAAAACCACCTTTGAAGCTAAAAATGTCCTAAACTAAATTACTGGCATTAGAATATTTGAACCCAGTTAGAGAAATTATAATGTTTCAGTTACGGATCGTCGTCCAAGCCAAAGCCTTGTCTAGTACAGCGTCAGTCTAGCGGATCCGACCAGCGGCCTATGTTGGAGAGGTCACATTCTGCGTGTACACCAAAACAATCGCTCAACTCTGCACCTAGAAACAGGTAGGCCCGTGTTCTAACTTGTGTGTTCATTTGAGCAATAATGGTTGGATGGATGCACTAAATATATGCATTATTTGGAATCAATGATGATAAATGACTATGTTGTGGTTTCAAAGTAAGTAATTTAGAAATCACTTTCATGAAACAAGTCTACATAGGCTTAAAGTCTGTGAGAGTATGTTTAGTTGTTATCAGTGACTTCCTTTATGTTTGTAGAATCAATGGTAAATACATATAATGTGTTGTGCTGTAACAAAAAAATATTTTTCCTACAGTCACCCTACAAAGTTGGCTTCCTTGTACTGTTTATAGTACAAAAAGCTGATAATTGCTGCGTATTTATACTTTTGACTTACGGTTTATACTTTGGCGCACATCAGGATTCCAACAAAACAACACAAAACAGCGTGGTTCTATTATGCACGTAATCCGTGTACGCTTGGAAATAGGTTGGCAACACTTAAAGATAATAATACTATGAGCAGCTGATTGACTATTATAAATACGATTTAACCTGTCATTTTGTGTTTATAGTTTCGGTATTTCTGAACTTTCTGTACTTTTCTTTTAAACGTTTTTAAAACATTCCTACTATCTTAATAAACAAGAAAATACCTTTAAAGCATTTTTTTAAGGCGCGGAAACCACCTCAAATTACAAAAACATACGGAACTATATTCTCAAGTCGAGGAGCACATTTCTTGTCGAGGAAAAATAGCGGAGTGATACGGACCGGGTACTACTTTTTCTAGGGCACCTATTTGTGTTGCCAGCTGAACCTAAAAACGTGTTGTATAGTGTTTGAAAGACTAATTATTTAGGCTATATGCTTTATAGTGACTGTAGGAAAAATATGTGTAACACGAGTGCAAAAGGCCTTTGCTGCACTTGAGATCATTCCGCGTAAACATTGCTCTCGTGTGCAGCAAAGTGCCACTTTGCCCACTAGTTACACAAATAACTATTGTGTTAACAGGTCATTACATTGACAATTTTTGAAACTCAATGAGTGAATTAAAACAATTAGCAAGGGGCTATTGAAATACGACCAAGAGACAGAGAGCATTGATATACTTAGTTATTTATGGTTTGATTCAGTGCTGTGTTGACTGAACAATCTATCATTAAGTAAGACTTTCATAAATGAGAGACATTGGTATGTAACTACAGACTCTCAATTATCCATGAGTGGATACAGAAACTGCAAAGTAATCACGATTGAAAAAAAAAATTGCAAGTTAAATGTATGTTTTACAGCAGCGACTAAGCAGAGGTGTAGTGGTGTGGGAACGTGTGAGAACAGCGTTCCCACTCTGCTTGTAGATGTTCTACAGAAATATTTCCGCAAGATAAAATTGTATATAACTTGTTACCCTTGTTATGTAGCATTTCCTGCAGAAACTTATTCAGGATAAGTGTAAGAAAGGACCCTAACTTTGCCTGTGAAAATAAGTAATTTTTCTAAATTATTTTTTTGGGCAGGCCCTCGCCGTCTTTCTGCTACAATGTCACACTGTTGCCCGTAGTTCTGCTTTGGGGATTCAAAGTTGGTTATTTCCTTGGAAATTTAGTTTAGGGTAGGTAGCATTATTCATGAACACTCAGCCACTCATAAGGTATAAACTACTGTGTAGTAATTTACAGTCCAGTCCAGTGAATCATCTGCTATTTCTTACCGTTCAGGTCACGTAACCAACACCTGGGGCCGGCCAAGAACCAACAGAATGGCCCGGCCGGGTCCTCGTCTACGAGTAGTGATGAAAGAGTCACCCTGGTGGTGGATAACACAAGGTTTATACTGGACCCTGCGCTGTTTACCGCTCATCCCAACACAATGCTGGGCAGGTACTGTAACCTACTACATAGAGATCTCCAATACAAAGGAAGTTTAAAAAAACATATATTTGTACAGAACACAAAAATGGAGGTGAATAAGATGTTTCAGTTCAGACAATACGTCTTCAAATTAGGTTAATTAAACCTTTTTCTTTCTATAACATAGTTCACAGTTTTAGTTCACATTTTAAAACATTAAAGTAGTCTTGTCTGAAACTGAAAGTCTTGAGTATTGCAGTTACCCAAAAAAGACATACAAAATCAGTTTTTACCATTTGTGGCACTGATCTATTAAAAGACCAAAAAATGGGTAACAATTTACAGGTACCTATAGAATAGTGATGGTCGGATCCGGATATCGGACTACCGGATCCGCCGGATCATCCAAGCTAGAACCGGCACCGGATCGGATCCAAAAAATTCCGGATTTTGGGCTGGATCCGGTTTTGATGGATCTGATTTTTTCAACTTTTTTCCCAATTTTTTCCTAACACAAAGCTGTCTGTATCACTGTACAACCCCGATTTTTTTACCAACACTAAGCTGTCTGTATCACTGTACAACACCAATTTTTTTACTAACACAAAGCTGTCTGTATCACTCTACAACCCCGAATGTTTTTACTAGCACAAAGCTGTCTGTATCACTGTACAAGACCGATTTTTTTACTAACACAAAGCTGTCTGTATCACTGTACAACACCGATTTTTTACTAACACAAAAAGCTGTCTGTATCACTGTACAACCCCGATTTTTTACTTAGACAAAAAGCTCTCTGTATCACTTTGCAACCCCGAGTTTTTACCAACACAAAGCTGCTGTATCACTGTACAACACCGATTTGATTACTAAACACAAAGCTGTCTGTATCAATGTACAACACCGATTTTTTTACTAATGCAAAGCTGTCTGTATCACTGTACAACCCCGATTTTTTACTAACACAAAAAGCTCTCTGTATCACTCTACAACCCCGAATGTTTTTACTAGCACAAAGCTGTCTGTATCACTGTACAACCCTGATTTGTTTACTAGCACCAAGCTTTCTGTATCACTGTACAACACCGATTTGATTACTAAACACAAAGCTGTCTGTATCAATGTACAACACCGATTTTTTTACTAATGCAAAGCTGTCTGTATCACTGTACAACCCCGATTTTTTACTAACACAAAAAGCTGTCTAGGTATCACTCTACAACCCCGAATGTTTTTACTAGCACAAAGCTGTCTGTATCACTGTACAACCCTGATTTGTTTACTAGCACCAAGCTTTCTGTATCAATGTACAACACCGATTTTTTTACTAATGCAAAGCTGTCTGTATCACTGTACAACCCCGATTTTTTACTAACACAAAAAGCTGTCTGTATCACTCTACAACCCCGAATGTTTTTACTAACACAAAGCTGTCTGTATCACTCTACAACACCGATTTTTTACTAACACAAAAAGCTGTATGTATCACTCTACAACCCCGATTTTTTACCAACACAAATCTGTCTGTATCACTGTACAACCCCGATTTTTTCCTGATTTTTTTACTAACACAAAGCTGTCTGTACCATGTACAAGTTCTTCCCCGAGTGTTTGTCTCTTGATGCAAACAACTTATATGGCAAGGTCATTTCTCGATGTTTGTATCTAGATGCAAATAACTTGTATGGCAAGGCCATGTCTCAGCGTTTGTCTCTTAATGCAAATAACATATATGGCAAGGCCATGTCTCAGCGTTTGTCTCTTAATGCAAATAACTTATATGGCAAGGCCATGTCTCAGTGTTTGTCTTTTGATGCAAATAACTTATATGGCAAGGCCATGACTCAGTGTTTGTCTTTTGATGCAAATAACTTATATGGCAAGGCCATGACTCAGTATTTGTCTCTTGATGCAAATAACTTATATGGCAAGGTTATGACTCAGTATTTGTCTCTTGATGCAAATAACTTATATGGCAAGGTTATGACTCAGTGTTTGTCTTTTGATGCAAATAACTTATATGGCAAGGCCATGTCTCAGTGTTTGTCTCTTAATTCAAATAACTTATATGGCAAGGTCATGTCTTAGTGTTTGTCTCTTGGTGCAAATAACTTATATGGCAAGGCCATGTTTCAGTGTTTGTCTCTTGATACAAATAAATAACATATATGGCAATGGCATGTATCTTTCCAAACTGAATCCGACCCGATTTTTCGGATATCTTCACACCTTTAGTTTTTAGTTTTGTACCTGGATGATAAGCTAACGGCCTATAATTTTGTCTAAAAAAATATCCCGTTAGTATTTTAATCCCACCCGATGCTTCGTGATAAAAAATAATAAAAGTATGATTTAAATTGTCGTTCTGTTAATTACGTTTTTTTTTACCCGCCCTTATGACAGTGTGTATCTGGATCCGGATCCGAATTTTTCAAGATCCGGATCCGGTACCGACATTTTCTTGGATCCGCCCATCACTACTATAGAATCTTGTGACTCGCGGTCGAGATGACTGGCGGTCACGGTGCAATCGTCAAAATGACCGCGGTCACTGGGTGATCGTCGGTATGACTCGTGGTCACAGGGTGATCGTCGGTATGACTCACAATCACGGCATGATTGTCGGTATGACTCCGCGGTCATGGGGTGATCGTCGGTATAACTCCGCGGTCACGGCGTCATCGTCGGTATGACTCCGCGGTCACGGGGTGAACGTCGGTATGACTCGCGGTCACGGCATGATCGTCGGTATGACTCGCGATCACGGCGCGATCGTCGTCATGACTCCGCGGTCACGGCGCAATCGTCAAAATGACTTCGTCTCCTGCGTTCACGGACCGCTATCGCTCGCAATAGCAGCGTCATCGGCACTTGCGAAGCGGCAAAATCGCCGACGATCAGACCAAATCCCGTTCCGAAAAAGTCCCAAATCAAATGTAATCCTGTCCCGATAATTGGGAATATTTTTTCCCCGAAAAATTCCCAAAATTGCGGGACCCGTCCATCCCTAGTAAATTGAAAATTGAACATTTTGCATTTAGCGTGGATAATATTTAATATCTAAAAAAAAAAACTTAAGGAGCAAGCTAGTGTAGTGTTAGAGCATGGGACTTTGTTTCTTGAGGTCTCAGTTTCAAACCCCAACAATTATTACAAATGGTTTTGGTCTTTAGAAATGATAAAGCCACAAATTCTAGGCCTCGCCTGAAATAGTGTAAAAACAATCCCAAGCTATAAAAAAAAACTTCTGAAGTTAAACTTAATTTTTTCTATTCCTAACTTTCTGCCTTTTATTTTTTTACTCAGGTAAACTAACAATTCATACTTACCATAAAAAGATACATTCAATTTAACACTTAAGTGCTAATTCATTGTAATAATAGTTGTTTTAGAGGAAAAAGCTCTGTCTTAAAAATAAATATAACAAGGAAGAAGTAACAGGAACACTACTCATTCTCTATAAAAAAAAGTTCTATGCAGATAATAGCACAAAAAAAAGGGAAACAAAAATATTTAGTAGAGCACCAAATATAACATCAGGAAAAAGCAGTACAAATTTTGTGCTCTGGTTACTGAACACGATCCTTAACACATGGTTCATGTTACAGAATGTTCAGTTCAGGCATGGAGTTTGTCCACCCTAACGAGAGGCAGGAGTATGAAGTTGCGGAGGGTATATCGGCCTCAGTGTTCCGAGCCATCTTGGAATTTTACAAAGGCAATGTGATCCGATGTCCGCCCACAGTCAGCGTACAAGAGCTGCGTGAAGCTTGCGACTACCTGCTCGTCCCCTTCGACGCAAACACAGTCAGATGTCAGAATTTAAGTGAGTTTCGTTCATCTGTAAACAGCTCTTTTTGGAAATTTTTGGTTGAACTTTTTCATTGTGTCTGTTTACGCTTGTGGTTGTAACTTTTTTGTAGGGAACGGTCCAAAGGCTGGTCTTGTTACTATGAAAACATTGATATTTTGTTAGAATACACCAATGAAGATGTTGTTAGAATAGTCCAATGACAAATGCCATCTGGGTATGGTAATGATGTTGCTTGAAATTGAACCAGCAGCCTTCAGATTTGAAGGCAAGCACCATAACCACAATTTTCTTTCAAGCAAATTTTTAAGTAAGAAATTGGATGAAATTGGATTAAGAATCGTCTTATATTGTTGTGTATCTACATTATGTTGTGTTTGTTACTGTTAGCGAATTTCCCATATAGGGAATAAGCTATTACCGTAGTACTCATGGTAAGACCTGGACCCGGGAGCGATTTTTCTTTTTTCGTTTTGAGGTCCCTAGAGGCCAAAAATGGGGTAAAAATGGGTTTTTCCTATTTTTGACCCAAAAAACATAAAATTTTGAAATTTCTTTCCAAACTATTTTGTAGAGCTTAAAAAAAAACAAATAATTTAGCATATTGAAGCGTTATAATGCGCCTAATGGTTACGGAGAAAATTCCAAAAAATTGTTAATTTAAAATTCCCATGTTATTCTTATGGAGAATAAGTAAACCGTTGTAGTGTGCTTGTTTATTAACATATTTTGCCCAAATTTGAAAATGTTTTTATTTCTTACTAACTATTAACATTTTACATAAAAAAACACTTTTACCCTCCCTGTTGCAGCAAACCTAAGTATGTGTTAAACTGATTCTATTTAAATAGGGAATAAATGTGATATTTTTAAGGAGACATTTTAGTCTAAATCCAATCAGGCAAATGGAAATTCGCTTAGTCTGCAGGTTTGCTGGGGGCGATGTCTACTTGTACCGGCGTCTAGTTGTACCTGCTGCATTTTGGTGACAGGCGTCTAGTTGTACCCCGTCCAAAGCTGTAGAGACAACTTGACGATGGTGCGGACGTCTAGTTGTCTCTACGTCTAGTTGTCTCTACGTCTAGTTGTACCTCTTAAAAATCTACAGGTACAACTAGTCGGGAACGTCACCGTCTACTTGTACCTCATACGTCTGCGTCTACTTGTACCTACGACTACTTGTACCTACGACTACTTGTACCTACGACTACTTGTACCTACGACTACTTGTACCTACGACTAGTTGTACCTACGCCCACTTGTACCTACGTCTAGTTGTACCTGCGGCTAGTTGTATCTCCCCTTCAACTTGTCACCGGTTTAAGAGATTTATTTTATTTCTTTAAAAATCATACAATCTTACAACAATTTATTATAAACAACTTGCTACAAAAGCCAGGAAAATTTGGCTTGTCTGCAGCTCATTGAGAAACAGTTTGTTATTAGTCTTTCTTTGCTTTTGTTGACGTTATTTTTAATAAATAATTTATATCACTCCAGAGGTTTAACTCTACTACTAAAGGCAGCAAACATGTTTGTGAATAAATATTGGTTTACTAAGGTAGCTTTGGTCTTGTGTTTGATGATAATGATAATAAAAAGGCTTCCCTGATTGAAAGATTGGAAATCGTCTTCGTCAAAAATGAAAAGGCAAATAAAGGTGTGTTGAGATAAGCTTAGTTCTTGGTCAAAACCGCTAAATTAGCATCCCTACGAAGTTATTATTTCTACGTTTATGCTCCTTTTGGAAAGGTTTAACAAAATTAGTGTAAAGTAAAAGCATCCCATTGACCAAACGTATCGCTAGATTTGTTTCTGATCAACATAAAAACTACTATTAGCCTAGTGTAAGATTATGTGGTGGTATTCCTCCTAAAGGTGCGATTGATTTTAAATATTCTATCAAAAAGGGGTCTATTCAACGGCTGATTCCTAACTATTTTGCGACTGGTTAGGTTTCCATTACCCAGTTAAAAAACAATTAATTACTTTTCATCAGAATCTTCGACATGCATATTTTTGGTTGGTTTTAAGAAACGGAAACTACCTCTAGGTTTTACTGTTATATATGGATGCTTCCTTTAAAACCGTACATGCTGGGCTATATTATTTGAACCTTTTTTGGAGTACCTGGTTAAAATCTCCTCTAAAAAATTATGTGTTTCCGCCCATTGGAACTTGTCATAGTACTTATACTACTTGATGATTAATGAACAAATATATTGCCTGTCCTGAACGAACCTATTTCATCTTTATTCCCAGGTTGATTTCCAAGAGTGGCCGTTGAGGTTTATCCCTTTATACAATAATTGATTAAACACCACAATAAATTAATCTAAAATTAAAATTGGTAAAATAAAATATAAAAAAATTGAATAAATCTTGAACATATGTTTTGAAATTAAAACAAAGCAAAAGTTTTCCATTAAATCCTGAATCATTTATTTTTTAATTATAATTATCAATACATTTTCAAAGGAGAAACAAACGTCCGATTATTTCTAGGCAGCCACAACAGATGCCACAATCGTTCTACGATTTCCCAGTCTCTCACCACAATTTTGACGCAAAGAATCGGCTTACGTAATTAATATATAGATAGAATAGATAGAGTGTAGATGTAACAGTCGCTCATACATTACTAGACAAATTTTACTTAAGCCAAATTCAAGTCTGGAAATGTATGAAGCAGCCTTTTGGTCTTTTCAGTTGTATTCCTATATGCTGTTCTTACCATGTACATTCTTAGCGGCCACTATTTACATCAACGTTATTAGTAATGTACAATATTTACAGTTTCTTAATTACAATTAATTATTTATCGCTCAGTTCTGTTAGGGTTGAAGGTTTAACTAACCTGTTTTACATGGCTAAATGTAGTAACCATCCAACGCGGAATACAACGTCGCAATCCCTTGTTAAATATCTTTAACTGTAAAAGTTATAGTAACATATAAATACTATTTTTAACATACACAAATCTGGGTTTCAATCAATGTTGCTTCAGATAATAACGTTGAGCTACCATTAAACATTATTAGTTTTAGGAGACACTTTATTTTGGCTACGTTATGATTTCTGGTCGCTATCTTATGCTGGACCAAAGGATCGAAAGAATACGCAAACAATACCGGTATCATTACAATAGAGACATAGCTCCGTGTTTAAAGCGATATTATACCTCCACAAACTTGGGTAGTAACTATATTTAACTATATATAAGTTTGTTAAGACCAAAAGAACTGACTAATGTAAATAGTTTTAATTTAGAAACTGTACTATTGTAGATTACTAATAACGTTAATTGTAATAGTAGCCGCTAAGTATTTACATAATCAGAACTGTAAATATGAATAAAACCGTCAAGGCCGAAAGACCGCTTATACATTTCCATACGTGACAATTCTGTCTAGTTTATGAGCGGCTGTTACATCCAACAATCACATAAGACCAAGTTACATATACATTTATTTATCTAGATAGTAATTTAAAAGCGGTATATTTTTATTACTACTTAATATAGTTAGTAAGTTTTATTTGATCAGTGAGAACTGATTAGTTGCTTTAGTCAAATAGTCAACACCTAGCCGTGGTTCTTGGTGGTGTACGCAAACTTCGCTTGTCAAATTCCACTGACACAAAGGCCAGGCCTTGTAGTCCAGGAGCTGAGGGGGCTTGAGCATGCATAAAGGAGTACGCAATGTTATTGCTGATTATTGTAATATGGACTGTGGTGATCAAAATTACGTATGTCACCTATTTAAGAAACTGACATCCCCCATGTCAAGAAATTCCAGCTTCAACAGTAACCTCAAAATAAATTTCTCAAAAGTAAGCTAGAGGGTGCATTCGTTGGCACAGAAGTAAGATATGAACTGACGCGACGTGACGAAGGAAAAATCAAACTTACACTGTAACGGATATACCTCCCTTTGAATATGTCTTCCCAAAAAAGTTTTCTTTTCAAATAAAATCATATTACACTGATGAAATCACGGAAGTGTTTAACTACAAAAGATCCACCAATACGATTTTAATACTATTTAAAGGTTCTTCCAAAGGAAGAGATACCAGATAACATACTAATAATAACTCCGATGACGTATGGTAAGGGGAATATTTTATTCATTGAATGATCAACCGAATTTGGCGACTAACGCAATTAATATCAATATTGTTTTTACACTTATTATTCTTTAAACAATGCTAAATGCTCAAAATATGTAGCCTATATTTCATCCAATTTATCGCAGTTAGGTGAATTAACGTAATCCTTGAAAGTAACCGTCGATTTCGACGGGTTTCACCTAGTTACTATTAAATAGTATTAGTTAATATATCGATGTTCACATGACCGGATGTGTCATCAGCTCTATCCCTAGTCCGTCGGTCATTACCCCTCGAGGCACCGGCCGATGGACCAGGGAACAGCTATGATTTACACTATCACCCTCTACTACGACATTTTTTTTAGGTAAACATTCCAACGCTCATGATGACATCGAACACTCATGCATATTTGTATATAGGCCTAGCCAGTCCAAAACCTGAATACACTGTAGGTATGAATCAGACTGCTTATATCATAAACAACTAAATATTAAGGCTAGTTTCCTAACCAGAGAACACACAAGAATGGCACTTTACAAGACTTTTTATACCAAGCCTTCATAAACTAAGAGTATTTCATAAGTTACGTTGCCTGTGTAGATTTAGACTTAAAATCAGTATAAAATCAGTAATGGATTGAAAATCTAAGTGTTATTTACGTTTTGTTTGCACTATAATGTAGTGTACCTGTTTCTCGAAATCGACTAATTTTTAAGCTATGTGTATTACCAGGAATTATTTCAAAACTAATAAATAAATAACGTCTTTGTTGGGCAGCGTACATCAGATTATAGATCTGTTTTACATTAAAACTTTTGTCATTCAAGGAGTTTAAAATACTCAACTAAAAGCTTATGTTATTAATAAAAAAATCACACTGTTCATAACAGTTTGATATAATCAACATTTTTTTGAAAATGTTTAATACTGTGAGTGAAAGAGTTTTTTTTAGCAACTACCACAGTACTACGTAAAATCAAAACAATATTTAGGTTGATTGGAGGTCAATCACTTTCTCGCAACTACGCGATAGAGGGCTGACCCAACACCCCAATAACTGGAATGGATTGTTGTGAAAGGAAACTCTAAGAATTTGCAAATGAAGTCCATTCTGAGTAACGTGTGGGGATTAACGGGACATTCTGTACGCTGTTTACAAAATATTTCCTTTGCCTTTCCAAGTACTGAATCTATATGGGTTTGCTTATATTAAACAATAAGTCAAATACGTTGTAGCAGATGTCTTTGGCTGCATTTTACAACAGGTATTTCGTTCACCTTTCTCAGAAATAGCTGTTCATGGCGTGTTCCTGAATCAACAATAAGGTATATTGTGTTATTGTCCTAATAAACACGAGAGACATTCGCCTATCTTTATGGTCGTATTATATAAATAACATTGAACTGATTAATTTAACAAATGATCATTGTTAATTTATTGCAACACTTAGGATATTTATGTACTGTACATTTATGTTTTATGTTTTACATTAATTTATGTTTGTTTTGTACTGTATTTATGTTTTAGTATATATACTGTTTGAATATTTATTTATTCAATCAATGTCCTGACTAATCAATACACAACCTAAACGATATTAAATAGAGATTTGATCATATTGTCATAGCATCTCTTTATAAGAAATCTGTCCGGAGTATGTGCAATTTTGGTTTATTAAACTTATTGGTAAATTGGTGTAAGATTGTTTTAGGTTTATTCGTAATCCGGACGCATACGAAGTTGAAGCTTTTGCTTTGGTATTAACAGTCAAGTAAAATAAATAAATAATTAAAATAAATAAATAATTAAATAATCTTATAAATTTAAGAAAATGGGTTATTTGTTTGGCTCTGCTACCCGACCATTTTTATTATTGAGGTCTCAAATTAAAGGTATGCACGCACAGATTTGCCATCAAGCATCGGCGTATATTTTTCTATTATCTCACTCGGCTTATACGTAAACGAAATTGCTCCCCATGTTTTTCTTATGGGAGTTAAATTTGGTTTTCATGATTTTTCTTCGTTAGGCTAAACAAATCATGTTAACAATTTAATTTTTGAGTTGTTCTAATTCTTATAACGTAGTTTTCTAAAGTTATCTGTTGTGGCTGCCTAGAAATAATCGGACGTTTGTTTCTCCTTTGAAAATGTATTGATAATTATAGTAGTGGTAGTTAGTTATGTTACAAGACTATGACAAATTGCCAATTATTGAGTCAACTTGGTCCCCACGCACAGGCTTCGCATATGTGGGCCCTGTCGATTTTCAGAAATTACGTTCATTCTGTATCTATTATTCTTTTGTTATGAATTGCTTTTGATTTTATTTATTTGATTTAATTTTACTATGGTATTTTTCCGGACAAACTCCATTAAACATATAGCACGGGTCGAGGTTAATTTAACAACTTAAAACTAATTCATTCAACAATAGTTTACCTGAAAACTATTTTACTAATATTTGTTTAAAGTTTTACAGAATACACTTACACATGATGCTATTGTATGTTTTTATTTATACATAATATAGGTACTTACAACAAAACTTGTGAATTTTTGTGTTTATTTATACATTTATTGTATGGCAACAACGTAAACTTAAAGATAGGAGCGAGTGTATGCAATTCCAAGATAGAGTTTAGTATTCACCGATCCTACGATAGTTTAAGAGTATATTTCGTACCTAGGGCCGAAAATGACTTTTTTTCAGCTCGGGATCATTTTTAAGTTCGAGACGAAGATGAAATCGGTCCGTGGTACGATTGCTGTTTTTCACCAAACTATACAAAACTGAGAAAATATATCAATAATGTAGGCAAGCATGTTTCTTTACAACCTTTTTATCAGCTCGTGAACATCACAGAGAAAATATCCGCATATCGGTGGAAATGTATTTTCCTGTCGATCTACAGAATGCCTTTATAAATTAAAATAGGCTAAAAAGACATAAAAAAAAGAATTACAAATGTTTAAAACTAACATGGGTTTAACGGGTTGCTATGCTGGTGACGAAATAACAACTAATTATGAAAATAAAATCAAAACAAATGGAACATATTCCAATCACATTTATTATTTACAGTGTATGTTAATACCCCCGCCGCAGCAAACCTGCAGACTTAGCGAATTTCCATTTGCCTGATTGGATTTAAACTAAAATGTCTCCTTAAAAATATCACATTTATTCCCTATTTAAACAGAATTAGTTTAATGAGTAGGTTTGCTGCAACAGGGAGGGTAAACAAGTTTTTTTATGTAAAATGTTAAAAGGTACTGTGGTTTAGTAAGAAGTTAATGTATTTTCCAAATTTGATTAAAATATTTTCATAAACAAGCAAACTACAACAGTTGACTTCTGCTCCATAAGAATAACATGGGAATTTTAAAATTACAATTTTTTTGAATTTTCTCCGTAACAATTAGGCGCATAATAACGCTTCAATATACTAAATTATTTGTTTTTTTAAGCTCTACAAAATGGTTTGAAAAGAAATTTAGAAATTTGGTGTTTTTAGAGTCAAAAATGGGAAAAACCTATTTTTCACCCTATAAAACCCCCCATAAACCCCCGTTCCCATAGTCCGATTATGCTGGTTCGCGAACTCATTCAAGTTTATCCCGCCTTACACCTTCAAACCAAATTTCATCAAAATCGGAAAAAAATTACTCAAGTTATCGTGCGGATGGACACACACATATATATATATATCTATATATAGATATATAAAAATTTGAACGAACGGTGTTTTTGGCCTCTGGGGACATCAAAATGAAAAAGTAAATCGGTCCCGGGCTTAGGTCTTACCATGAGACCTACGGTAATAGCTACTTCCCTATAGGGAAATTCGCTAAAAGGAGAAGTATGTGTAGTACATTGCATAGTTTTTGTCGAGTTTTCAACCGCTGGACCTCAACTTCATTGTACACTTCATTGTTCATTGATCACTGGGAAATCCATTGTAAACTATAAGATATGCACACTAAACAATGCAAATACTTTAAGGTTATCAATGTATATTTAATGATATATATATAAATGTTTTAATTAAATAAGCGATTTTCGGTACTAGGGCTGGAAAATTTTAATCACAACTATAGCTGCCATTTCGACCCTGGACAGCAATGCGTAGCTTTCAGCCTCCAATTAACGTCTGTAAAACTACTAAAACATCGTATTGCGGTGAAAAATATTTGCCAATCATACTCAATCGACTGCAGTTCCTGATTTAATTAAGGGTATTATTAAAAAGTACTCGTGCAGTAATCAATTAAACAGGGTAACGAATTGAAGGATGGATACAACTAGACTATAAGGACGCAAAATACGCGTAGGTACAACTAGACGTAGGGACTACTAGACGGAGGGACCACTAGTCGTAGAGACTACTAGTCGTAGAGACTACTAGTCGTAGGGACAACTGGTCGCATCCGTACAAGCTAGGTGATACTACTTGTCGGTGGGATACACGTCTAGTTGTACCTACGTCTACTTGTACCTACGTCTAGTTGTACCTCCTAAAAATCTGCAGTTACAACTAGTCGGGTGAGCCACCGTCTACTTGTACCTACGTCTAGTTGTACCTACGACTAGTTGTCCCTAGGCCTCGAGGTACAAGTAGACGGAGGGACAACGAGACGGAGGGACAACGAGACGCGGTCCCGTTTGCTGCGGCGGGGGTATTTTGTTATTTTTATTTAAATTAAATATTTTAGTGAATGAGATTGAGTTTGAAGTAAAATTGACTGTTCAGCTATCAACTGTATCAACGTCTTGTGATGCATATAAACTGGCATACCTGGCCTTTTTCAATAGTAATAGTCAATTGACAGAAGGTATTTATTCAAATTTGTTGTACAAATAAATATTTTTTTGAAAGCTATCTGCCAGGTTTACTTTGGCCAGGTAATCTATATTACATACAGAAGTTATAGGAAACACACAATGTCTTGTCCCCTTGGGTTTAAGTGTACAGATAAAATATTACCTTTTTTTGTGTTTTCTGTGTGTGCCATGGCCTAACTGCACTTTTTCTGTGGTAAGCTAGCTATCTCTTTAATTCTAAATATCACTATCCTGTCCTAATAGCTTATAAATAATTACTTTGTTTTGTCAGGAGGCCTGCTCCATGAACTGTCCAATGAGGGAGCCCGCTGTCAGTTCGAGGTGTTTTTAGAAGAGTTGATCCTACCCCTGATGGTCAACTCGGCTCAGCGGGGCGACCGAGAGTGCCACGTGGTTGTGTTGTTGGACGATGACTCCGTGGACTGGGACGAGGAATACCCACCACAGATGGGCGAGGAGTACTCTCAAAGTGAGAAATTAATCCTTCTGTCAGATAACGTTGACTAGGCCTTCTCCTTGGAGAATCAAACTGAGAAGTTATGATTAACTAATATTCACTCACTACCTAGTACCTTTTGCTACTTTATTTACATTTAAAGTTACTTTTTCGTGTTGGTGAGTGTACCATTAAAATACTAACTTTGGAAAAATTACCTTTTTGAAATCTTATAATTAGTTCCCTTTAGCGAATTTCCCTATAGGGAAGTAGCTATTGCCGTAGGTGGCACGGTAAGACCTGGAGAACACGTCAAGGGTGAGTGAGACATTCTAATTTTGTGTATATTCATATTGTATACAGTTTTTGTATTCTGTGCCGGAGTAAACTGTTTCCCATTCACATACGCATGCTATCCTAACCAATCTTTTCAAACTTCAATCTTATTTTCTTTTTATCTTTTTTTCTTTTTCAATCTTTTTATCTTTGAATTCAGTGATACATCTTTAAGGTATTTAATTGAAACATTTATTTTTCAGCGGTCAACAGCACGGCCATGTACAGGTTTTTCAAGTACATTGAGAATAGAGATGTAGCTAAGCAGGTGATGAAAGAAAGAGGGCTGAAGAAGATAAGACTTGGCATCGAAGGCTATCCGACGTACAAGGAGAAGATCAAGAAGAGAGCGGGAGGAAGAGCGGATGTTATATACAACTATGTTCAGCGACCCTTCATACACATGTCCTGGGAGAAGGAGGAAGCAAAGAGTAGACATGTGGACTTTCAGGTGAGGAATATCAAGTTATTTTACAAACTAAATTTAACCTTGAAAGTAATGCATTCGTAATAAAGCCGACAGGAATCTCCTTGTGGTCTTTGCAGTGTCTGTGAACAATACAATTATAGTTTTAGATGACTGTATAAATAATTACTACAAATCTAAATTGTATGAAGAAAAAATTTAAGATAAATATTTTGAAGAATTTCTGCGCTAGATATGGGGATGATTCTTCCATGCCTATTCTTGCGAATTCTTGATGAGTTGCAACCGAAACAGGGTGGCTAGTGACCTGGAAAACCTGGAAATGTCAGGGAATATTAAATATCTGGAAAAGTCAGGAAACTTTGTCATAAGTCAGGGAAAATTGTAAAAGGTTTAAAATAATTTTAATAATGGTTAGGAAAGGTCGATCTAGTGAGAGTACGTGTGCCGTGTGAAAACTAAGAAATATGTCTGTACAAATAAATTTTGTGTTTTTGTACAAATTAAATTTTTTTATAAACTGCGTAGGCTATCATCTTATCAAAATCAGTTTATAGTTTTACTAAGGTAACTTGCAACGTTTTAATATAAGTTAGCCTGTATCTATAGATTTTATGAATGTTTTTCATATAAACAAACATAAGATATTGGCCTTCTTCAGAAAAAGATTAGTCCTTTTGAAGAATTAGTTAGTATTAAAATTGTAAGTTTGAATTTGTGGATCAGGGAAAGTTGAAAAAATCATGGAATTGTCAGGGAATTTTTCAATGAGATTTCACTAGCCACCCTGCAAAAGCTTCGCTTGAGCTTAATTTCTTATTTGGATTACCCGACCTTTTAGGCCAGGAACGTCTAGGTTTAAAAATTAAGACGCTTGCACATCTCTGATTTATAGTGCAGTAAACCCTCATTAATTTGGACTAATTGGAAATCCTAGTCCCTCAGATTGATCCTAGTTCAAATTAATGCTTAATACGAAGGAAGTCAGCACTATTACAGGACCGGTTGTTTTACATTACATTACCTTTTACAGATAAGAAGCTTGACAGCAGATTCTTTTGTGTTACAGTGCGTTAAGTCCAAGTCGGTCACCAACTTAGCCGAAGCAACGGCCGATCCTGTGCTAGAGTTGGATGCCGGGGGTAATCCCGTGGTGGCCCCCGTGGTGCAGGAGGTGGTGGGGATAGCAGCCGAGGTAGTGGAGGAGGGAGCAGTAGGCGGCGTCCCTCCCCCCGCACCCCCCGCTAACAGTCTCCCATTACAACAGTAACACACCCTAGTCCAGCCTTGAAAAAGACAACAATAATGTACCTTGAGTCTTGAAGCAAAGTGATTCGGTTTTCAATTTTTTTTTTCTTTTTGGGTGTTGATCACAATATTCTAAAGTATGATTGAGTTGTGTAATTCAAAAAACTTAGTTAATGAAAACTTTTTTTTTTGTATGGCTTCATGCAAGATAGCACTTAGAAAGTAATGTGATTCATTAGCTTTTTGGGGCGTTATGATAGTATTTTCCATGGAACCGATTTTTGGTAAATGTATACCATAATTGTTAATAATGTTTTGATCATGTTTTGCCTTTAATTTCAGGTTATACTTCTACAGTCAAATATTGATAGATTGCGGTTTTTAAATTATTTATTTGCCGATCCTATTTATTACTTTCAGAATGTAGAGAAGGAAACATTATTTTCTATTTAGAGCGCTATTGATAGTTAAATTAATGCTTGAAAGGAAACTATCGGCTAATTAAGAACACAGATTTGTACGTTAGAGAATAAACATAAAACTGACTGAATGAGCTGGCTTCATTGATTGGTGAATATTGTGGGCCAGTTAAGCCATACATGCTTATATACTTTTGAAACGTTCTAGGTTCAATTTTATGTAAGATTTTGTTCTGCTCAACCATTCCTTGCTTATTACACTTCAGTAACACCCCAACAAAAACAAGAATCATGTAAGCTATTTTTTACACAAATTGTAATACTGAATAATTTGTACAAGACTCAAGGTTACAGCCTAAATGCAAATCTTCGGTGCACATTTTAATTAGTATGTTTGATGTGAAATTATTATTTCATACATCTGTTCCTTAATTTCCCTGTTTCACCAGTAAAAATAAGAAAATTACTCCTTTTCTCTTTGTGTGTATGTTTTTTTTTATATAATTAAATTCTGTACCTTATTTTTTTTTTCATAGTGAATAAACCATGACAGAGCACTCAAAATAATAAATGAATTAAGTAGCTTCATTTATTGCAAAGGAAAAACTTTTTTATATGCCATGTCATGAACATATCATAATCTAGTAAAAGAGTATTTTATTTGAACTATGACCACGTTTTGTTTTGCTGTGTGAGTGTTTTGACTTTGTATGATATTAGAAAATTAAGGTATAAGCAAAAGAGTTCAAAGCGTATAAGTTGTAAATTGGAATTAGTTACTACAGTAGAACCTTGATAGTTTGACACTTTGTGGACTAAGGGCGTGTCAAACTATTGGGTGTATTTAGACATTTACTCACACAGGGAGTATTTAAAACATGAGATAAATCAAGCAAATTTAATGAAAAGTATAAAGCTTGACAAAAGTAAGCAAACCAATCATTATCAACTCGCATCTCTACTCTATATATTCTTTGTCTTCTTACTGTTTAAAATAGTTTACTGTTGTTAAAATAGTTATGTTGTATAGCCTTTCACCTTGGATTACAAGAAAAAATGTAAATTAATGAGATAGTTAATGTATTGAGTTTTTGCGTGCACAAAAACAATAAGGCTCTAGTTTTTTACCTCGGCAAACCCGTCATGTCACGTTATCACTGTCCGTGTCGAACTATCCAGGTTCTACTGTACCTTTAAATTTATTGTAACAAGTTAAACAAATTTGTGAACACTGCCAGCTTAGTATATCCTATATTGCCTCAGTTAGAAGTGTTAATATTTAAGATTGTTGATTTTTTAGATATTTAATTTAGTGTTTTGTCTTGCTGTGTTTTTGTTTATAAAAGTTTGCTCATCTGTAATTAACTTTGTAAAGCAAATTAATTTGTAATTCCTACTCATTAACTAGCTTGTAACTCGACTACAACTCAAATCTATTCTAATTGCTGTATTTTTAACTATCAACGATTTTTTATTCTCGTTTAAGTGTTGAAGACTAAACTCGTGACAGTATTTAAAATATTTAAATCTTAACTCGCCCCTGGATTTCTTTTTTTAACTTGATACTCATTGATGTGCATTACATTTTACAAGCTCACAACTTTTCATTTATGCTTTGTGCATGAACTATGTTTTTATTTTTCGATATGCAATACTGTATTTGTAGACCCGTTAGTTTCCATTGAGATCATTGCAGGGGTTATTAAAAGTAATATGTACATGTCAAGAGAAAACTCAAAACAGTTTAGAGTTGAAAATATGAGACTGAATCGCCTTTGTAGGAAAGGCTACTTAAATCTTGCATTTTATCGTAATGTACATTATTGTAAGCAATCTCTTTGTTTTGTTTTGTATTTAACTGTGCCTAGGAAGTGTTTTATAATCTCTTTATATATGTGTACATTTTGATTAAAGTTGCAGAAAATAAATTTGTAGTTCGTTCTCCTCTGGTATATAATTTAGATTTATGCTTTGAAATTTTAATTAGTTGGTTACTAATGTGAATGTAGATTTGTGGGGATTTATTGTGTTTTTTCTCTTGAATGTGATTCTGCGATTACGGGAGAGTTCCATAATGTTCAAGAGTGAAGACCACAACAAGTCTATCCATAAATCATAATGTCCCATCTCTAAACAGAAATTTGAGAAGAATGCCATGACATTTAACACTAAATTAAGAAGTCTCATAACTCATAAATTCAGCACTACAGTCCTTATCAAAAACATAAATTAAATAATGTGCAATATTAAAATCATGAAAGTCGTCCTAAACTACAATTTTAAACAAATTTTATAATTTACAAAGAACAGTCTAGGCTGACACAAAGATAACTTGTTAAGTGAACAAGCACTCTTCATCAGAATGGTTAACTTTCAGTCTATAGATGAGGTTTGGTTGGTTGGTATAGTTTATAGAATAGTTTAATTTTATAATTTATATATGTATTCATGTTCATAGACTGGGCTAACTGTTAAAAATATCAGAACTGCAATTAAAAAAGTAGTAGTGAATTAACGGAAAAGAACCAACCCAATTATCAATAGATCTTGTAGATTGGGAGATTCTTATGGGCAGTCTATTTTAATTGTTATTTGTATCATTATCAGTTTTTTCATCACTGTACTCAAAAGAGTGGTGGAAAATAAGACTTTCTGTGGTGTATGGGTGAGGATTGATAGAATCCAATGTTTTTTTTTTTCAAAACATCAATGTTTTTCCATCCTATATGCCATGTATAACAACTAGCTAGTATCAAGGTAAAATTAGCCAAGGGAGAAAGCACACAAAAAACTTCAAATGAAAAACATTGATTATTAATGGTCTTGCCTTAAAATAAAAAACATTTATGGCTCCTTGACGTTATCGGAACATTGACGGTTGACCTAGTTGTCTTCGTCAGAGATCCATTTGTTTTTTATGGATGGACTTACAACACAGGTAGATACAAACCAGTTTCACTGCATTATCTATCACACATCTAAAAAGGTGTTGTTGATTCCAAAGAGACCTTTAAGACAGATGGTTTTTACCCACTAGAGCAGCCGAGCCCAAATCTGCTTCTGTGCAGATATGAGAACATTTTTTGGTTCTTTTCCGTTAATTCACTACCACTACTTTTTTATTGCAATTCTGACATTTTTATAACAGTTAGCCTAGTCTATGAATATATCAATTATGAAATGAAACTATTCTAAACTAACATATAACCAACCAAGCTTGCTGATTATGAAAACATTCTGGTAGTGAATAAACGGAATTGCATTAAAAAAGTAGTAGTAGTTAATTAACGGAAAAAGACCCATTTGGTTTATATCCAATGGACCCATTGAGTCCAATGGTACAATTTAATAATGACATACCGGTAGGGTACTTGATTGTAAGAAACACCTAGCCTAATTGACAGCAGACTCAACTCAATCCAGCAAGTAAATCAGTTACTTTTATCTAGTAGTTGCTGGTATGTGTTTGTTTACCCATCTGCTCAATTTTTTTTCAAATTTATTTCTATTAAAACCCCTTAAAATAGCCTACATGATTTGTATGATGAGGAAAAGCCTCAAGGGTGATAGGGGAATTTGTTTTAGATTGCGTTCAGATAGCGATTGAGTGTAATTTTAGCTTGATTGAGAAATGGATTCATTTTCAATCTATTCTCTGAAGAAGTAACACGAATCAGGACAACATATCAGAACTATACACTGTGTTGTGTGACTTATTTTTTGAGTCTAGCTGGACTGCAATTTTCTTAGGTAATCCACAGAGAAGTAAGGTAAATACATATGGAAACATCCAATAGTACACTACACATAAGTGGTGTAGGGTAAAGTCTAAACAATCCCCACCCGTAGGGCAAGACCCTGTGCGATATACAAATTTCCGCACAGTGCTCGCCGCTCAGACTCAAAGCAAGCTGAAAGCATACGGTCCTCTCATAATCAAGTTTCCTCTGTACCTTACTTGTCCATGGGTAAGTCAACTGAACTATATTTCTTTCCTAAATTGATCAATGGCTACTGTAGTTCGGCCGCTTGGAAAACGACCTGCGCGCTAATGCTAATTAATGCTAAAGGAGGTCGCTTTCTAAGGGGCCGAACTATACTTAATTTGCAGGCTATATTGAATGTTTATTTTTTGAAATTGTGAAATCGTCTTCCTGCACTATCTATAGGAAGAGGGAAACTAGATATCACCTATCAGAACTTACTGACGCAATTGTATAAAACATTGATAGTCAAATCTGATGTTGAGCTATCTGTTGTAGCCCAATCACCTACCTACTGTATTATTATTGTAAACCATTCTTGGCAAAATCAACATCTTTATGTGAAAGGAAAATTTTCAAAATTTTTTTTAGTGTAATAATTGTGTGTTTCTGTTATGATAAAAAAATGTTAGGCCTAATTGTGTGTTTCTGCACCATTGACACGTTTTATGTTTTTGTACAGACCGGTCCAAACATTGGTCTTTTACTACCTAATCTTTGACCTTTTGATAAAATCATTGATTGCCCCCGTGCCCAATAACAAATGGCATCTAGGACCCGGTTCTAGCACAGGTAGTTCAAGAGCTTTTTGTTCTTTTTTGCATTTGTCCCAAATTGTACAGTACATGGCTGGGAATTTTACATCACTATCTATTACTGACTCGTACTATCGACTAAGGAAAAGAGAATAAGGATTTTTGTCATGTGCAAGGAATATATGTTAACATTCCTATTCTGTGTTACCTAAATAATTTGACCTAACAACAGAATAATATTTGACCACAACGAATTAGAATACATTTGACGGAAAAAACCATACCTAGTTTATTTTTACCCCCAAATTTACAAGAAAGGGTTATGCACCAAAAATTAAAATATTTCAGTAAGTTTATTAAAAGTAGTATAAAAATGTACTGTAGTCACAATAGAGTCTTAATCATTACGAAACATGTTCTTGAAATCTGAAACAGTCTGACACAATTTTCCACTTGTCACCTTCATTTGTGATTGCGAATGTTTGGTAAAACATTTTTCTATTTTCTTTCCCCTGGTATTTAACATTTCCTGCAGTCTGTATGACATAGGCCATCTTGTTCCCAACAGCGCCATCTATTACAAACGTCAATCAGGTTGGTAGCATTTGATAAAGCATTAGTACAAATACAATTAAAAACCATAGTACAAAGTGCGTAGAAAAACACAAATATCATCAGTAACGTTTTTTTTTTAATTACAGATAAGTTAGACAACCACTTTTCTTAGTCTGATTTCATGAGATTCATCTCCCAACTAAACTGTCTTGTTGTAAATTTGGAACATATTACCCGCAAAGTTGTTACATGCAGAGTTAATGATTCTATCAACGGTGGCATGAGCACTGAAAGAAATTTTGTTGTGTTTTAATTTAAAGCTAAACGAGCTGTTGGCCCGTCCTACGTACGCGAATTGAGTAGTCAACTAAAACTGAAGGTATATCAATTCCATTTCTAATCCAAGGAAAGTTTAAGTGGTTAAACATCTTATATATTAAAACGTGACAGGGTTTTTTTATTTCACAACCCTGAATCAACCACTTGACGGATTCTCATGATTTTTGTATTGAAAGAAAGATAATTTTGAGAACTAGGGAATGTCGAAGCCATAATTTTAGTTTAGGGTTTCCCGCAATTCCCCCATTGCTCTATTGAGCTTTCATTTGATTTTTTTATACATCCCAAGTAGCTAGTATTTTAAAATAAAAATCTTTTCCCATAAAATTATGGCTTCGACATTCCCTAGTTCTGAAAATTATCTTTCTTTCAATACAAAGATCATGAGAATCCGTCAAGTGGTTGATTCAGAATTGTGAAATAAAAAAACCCTGTCACGTTTTAATGTATAAGATGATAAAATTAACAATTTTTAACAAATCTTCTGCCGGATACATTTGTTTGTCCATGGATGTAAAATATGTTGTAGCCTAACATTAGTGTGCAGTAATATAGAGATCCATGGTTCTAACAAAAAAAAATCGGTCTCCATTCAGTTTATAGAGCTGGAGGAGGGGAAATAAACTTTTAATCAAATTAACGTAAGAGACTAATATTACTTATGATATTATACCGTACCTGGAATTCTTTGAACATCTTTGCTGGTCAAATTATGTATGCTAATTGGCAAACTGGCTAAAAACTTTTGAATTTCATCTGCTCCATTTCTTCCATTTCCATTCCATACTAGAGAGGCATTGTCCATATAGTACTTTGACATAAGCTGCAACAATTTATTAAGTAAGATTATGATAAAAGCAAGCAAATGTTAAGTTTTTCACTTCCTAATGTTCTTACTGTCTGTTGGAAGAGTTAAAACCATTCGTTTATTAAATTAATATTTAAATACCCCCGCCGCAGCAAACCAGCAGACTAAGCGAATTTCCATTCGCCTGATTGGATACTAAAATGTCTACTTAAAAATATAAAATTTATTTCCTATTTAAATAGAATTAGTTTTACAAGTACTTAGGTTTGCTGCATCAGGGAGGGTTAAACAGTTTTTTTTTGTAAAATGTTAATAGTTAGTAAGAAATAAAAACATTTTCCAAATTTGATCAAAATATGTTCATAAACAAGCAAACTACAACAGTTTACTTGTTCTCCATAAGAATAACATAAGAATTTTGAATTTACATTTTTTTTAATTTTCTCCGTAACCATTAGGCGCATAATAATGCTTCAATATATTAAATTATTTGTTTTTTTAAGCTCTACAAAATGGTTTGGAAAGAAATTGCTAAATTTTATGTTTTTTGGGTCAAAAATGGGAAAAACCTGTTTTTACCCCATAAAACCCCCCGTAAACCCCCGTTCCCAAAGTCCGATTCGCGAACTCGTTTGAATAAATGTAGGTTTACACATTTATACCAAATTTAATTAAAATCGGTTAATTATCATGTTAACGGTCACATATATATATATGAATTTGAACGGATGGCGTTTTTGGCCTCTAGGGACCTCAAAACAAAAATAAAAATCGGTCCCGCGTCCAGGAGTAGGCTACTGCGGTAATAGCTTATTCCCTATATGGGAAATTCGCTAATAAAAAATTATTAATTAGGCCTAACTAGCCTATTGTTAAAAAAATTTATATTAATAATTATAGCCTTACAAAATGGGTGGAAAACAAGTGTGTGGCGGGAAAGAAAACTTTTCATCTCATGAGTACCAAACAAAAATCTGCTCAAAATTAATTTCTTGCCTTTAAAGGTACCGGTAGCAGTCTTTAGATTTCATTGATCTATTTGTGAAGTCTAAAGTTACTTTCTCAGAGAATAATCCATGTTGTCAACTGAGCATACCTCTTTGCCTTTGACTAGAAAAGTGAGGTTTTGTTTAAAACAAATTGTTTCTAAAGAAACCTAACTTTGTGTATTACTTACATGTCTTTTCCGATCCATACTTTCATAGTAGAGCTTAGTGAATTCATCTGCAGTTCGAAACCCTAAATCATTCTGAAAATAAAAAAAAACTATTTAAAAACGAATCAACAGCCAGAAAAATAATTAGCATGCTAATATTTTCATTGACTAAAAATATTACAGGAAGGTTATTAAAAAAAACATCAATTAACTTATTGGCGCTGGCTATGGCAAGTACTGTACATTCCTCATGAGAACAAATAGGTTACCAACAGCTAGTGCGAATATATTGAAAACTAGCAGAGTACCCGTCCTTAACGTATTAGTAGGCCTAGCCTAAACCTTTAAATTTAAGGTTTAATAATAAATAACAAAAAATAGTTCTGTTCATAAAATAAAATTATAAATGACAAATTCTAACAAAAGATGTACAGTTAAGAAGTAATCGCATTCTAAGCAAAATCTTCGACAAAAAGTTATTGTCACCGGAGGGATTCGATCTAGATAAGTACCGTACCTCATTGGGTTTGAGTTGGAAACTTATCTTTCTACACACTAATAGCTCATACGATAAATTTAAATAGGCATTTTACTTTTTAACCTTTAAGTTAAAACTTACCTTACCCCAATACCAAAAATCTATTAAGTTAGAAAAAAAATATGCGGACGACTTGCGCTGAATTGAATAACGAATAGACAACAGAACTATCGAATAACGAATAGTTTTCTAATTCGAGTGTCCCATCCACTATCCAGATCCACTACATTCTCTATTTAAATGTTAATGTTAAATCATGAATAACTTAAAGCACCACCACAACTTAAGAATAAGTTAACTTCTTAAGATTCTGAACACCCCATGCTGCTTCTCTGTGATGGAAAAGGAAATTACCGTACACATTATTTACGGCTTATTAAACTAGACATATAGAGTTGTAAGCCAGATGGAGAAATGTCTATAATAATCATATTGATTACTACTAAAGTATGAGACAAATTAATTAGGCTACCCTAAATAGAAAGTACTTAGGCTTAAGATTTCAACTAACCTCATCCATCTTGTATTATCGTCCAATCTTCTTTACATAAATATGGTGCAATAAAACTTCAGTTTTTAAAAGCTCAACTTTAATCTTCTTAATGCAGATATGACACATTAATCTTAAGGAATACAAAATAATTATGAATTAAAACTAGGGATAACCAATCCCTATCCTAAAAATAAGCGTTTTGCTACTGTCTGCTATGCTATACTGAATGAATACTTGTTTACACTTTCATTTTGATTCTGTTTGACATGACTGTACTGCTGAATGCTGATGTTGTGTTGTGTTCAGTGTTGCCACCGCGTTGTTGCGATTTTACCCTAAAGGCGGGCTAAAATTACCCTAAATTACCCTAAATCTACTTTGAGTTACCCTAAAAATCACCCTAAATGTTAATATTTGCGTTTAATGCTATAAAACATTGTTAAAATCATATAAATCTTATATAAGGTGGTTAATTATACAAAATGAAGTTCCAATACCAATCAATTTACGTAAAATTATACTCGATTCTAAAACACCACCCGAAAGAAGAACAAAATGTTGATATTGATCAGCTCTATCGACTATCGTCTAGCGAAAAATATCGAATCAAGAACTATCGTATTTTTTTTTACTGTATCGACCCATTACTACTGTTTTTGAACAATCATATCTTTAAAATACAGTACGGTACCACCAAAGCTTTAATCTATACATAGTACACATTTCTTGACACAATTTGTAAAATAATCCAGTTTAATTCAATTCAATCACATAATTAAATATCAAACCCAGTAACGAATAATATTTCATATTTTATTAGGCCTATAACGTGTTATAGAATCGAATACATTCTAAAACAGATAATTCCCAACTATTGATAAGATCGATTAGGATAACTTATTATGAAAAATTCATCATAGCAATCGATTTAAACCGGTTGAATCGAATATGATGGCTTGGCCATAGTATTTAATGAACGTTTTTTGCCAAATTTTGAAGTTTTTTTCATTTTTTTAGTAAAATTTCCATTGTTATGCTAACTTTTAGTTTTACCCTAAAATTACCCTAAATCTACCATTACCCTAAACTTTACCCTAAGACCAGTAAATTACCCTAAAAAAGGGTAATTACCCTAAAAGTGGCAACACTGGTTGTGTTGTATGATGAGAATTGATCAAATGTGACCAACATTTAAAAACAAATACTAAAATAATTATTAAAACCTGTCCAGTGTTGTCCTATTCTGTAAGCTCTAAACAATGTAATATATCGCATGTCAATGTTAATGGTTTTACTTTTATTATTTTGAATAAAATTTTTTTTTACACCAACAATACATAAATGTGGATATTTGAAACATTTTGTTATACAAGTTCTAAAAGATGCATTATGTTGGCTATTCTGTTGGAATCTGGATTCCAAAAATGTATCGCTGAAGCCGAGATCTCGCGAAGTGGTCACGTGACGTGAACTTCTACAGTTATTTTTTCAGGCATGATGGCGCCAAATGACACTATCTCATATTATTTAGGTAATATGCTGTGTATGTGCATTGAAAATAAGTTTTGATCATGTGATATACTAGTTGAAATATCCAAGAATCGTTCTATAAAAGTGGGTTTTTATGTGTAAATAGGAATAGTGCTTATGTCGAAGTGGGAATTTGGAATGAGGACATGTTGGTTAGGCTGATGACAGAGACATGGCATCTCGTATTTTAGTGTGCGTCAGTTAGTGAATTGTGCCTTAATGTGGGTCGTTTTAGTGGGTTTACTTAGTTGCTGTACTATTTAGTATGTTTATTTACCATATTTGTAGTATTTAAGGCGATAAATTTAAGTGAAAATAGTAGTTTTAATCCTACTCGGTTGTTGGTAAAAGTCTTATCGATAGTGCTGCCATCTGTGTTGTCAATGTTAATAGGCCTAAATGCAGCCGTGGGTTAGCTTTTATTTACCATTTTCTAAGCTTTAAATGTTTAATACGGACGCTTTTTGCATTCATTATCGTAGTAAATATATTCTTACACACAAATAATACAACAGCAACATTAAATTATAGTTATAAACTGCAGTAACTGTTTTCATAATTCCAATGTTTACATCACAAATGGCCTATTTGAGAGACATTCTTAATGACAAAACACAACTTGAAATTTGTAAGTTTTGTGACTTTTAGGATGTTATACGAACAATTTAGCTACATATTAGGGTTTAAAAGCAAAGTTTTTTATGTTACTCAGTGTTTAATCCCTATATTTTGTGATCAAATATGGGGCTGTCATAGCCTAGACCAAAGCCTTTTTATGAATTCAATTGCTGATTACTAAATAATTTGTGATACCCCTGGTAAAATTGCATATCCATTCCCATCACCACACATCAGTGCTCATAAAAGATCATAAATATTTTAAATAACTTTGAAATTTGACCTGATATCCTTTAAATTAGCACAGCAAACCTATTCCCTTTAGGTTGAATTGGCTTGGCCAAAGTAGCCTTACTGCTTTGATTGAAATTTGTTTGTTGAAACTTGTAATTTTAAAAGTCAATTGATAATGTGACTCTAGGCCCATCTTACTAACCTACTTATGACATAATTTTAAATATAGGTTTTTATAATAGGTTTAGCTTCAATAAAAATTTAAGCCTATCTTAAGTGAAGTTTGACTTTATCTTATCTTGAGTCTGTTATTAACTAGGGGTTGGTTTTGTGGGGGCTTATAGAGTAGGGTAAGTAGGAACTTAATATTATTACTTAGGCTAAACTTAAATCATGTTACTGATCTAGGTTTAAGTTAATAAATACCGGTATAAGTTACTGACCCCTTTAAGTTTAGGTAGCCAAACAAAACTTTTATTTTCAATTGCAAATCAACATGCCAGGTCATAATAAGTTAATTAGCCTAAGTCTATTTCAGTTAATGATTAAACTTAGCCTATCGTTGTCCTAAGAACATTAACAGGGTAGGGAGTCTAATTTATAATGTTAAAAGTACGGTAGGCCTAACTAGGCCTACATAGTCAGCGTAGTCTAGGCCTATGTTTTTATTTACTCTAAGTTAACTCAATTCAATATCTTTCAGATATGTACATTCGTGGGCCTTCTCGCAAGTAAAAGTTCCAACCCCAGCTATGTAGTAAGTATTTAAAGTTATCCTTTTGTCAATAGCAATAGACTTAGCCTAATGTAAAGCCTTAATTAAGTTATAAGTTAATCCAGCTTGGCATAGGTGTGGGTACATGCATTTGATCAAGTAGACCTTTGTTGTAACTTCTGTGTTTGTGCAATGAAATGTTTATAAACTAGGTAGGCCTAAGTGTAATGTTCTTAGTCAGGTGCGGTATGTTTACCAATGAGGAATTTTATCGTCAAGTCCTTAGACTATAGTATTATTTTTTGTTTCGACTTAAAGTGATCACTAGTTTGGCCAATTGTCAATTAACTTATTATCAGTTATTAAGTTGGAGATGCCAGATAGGTGCATATTTTAACCCTTGAAATATGACTGAAGGATGCTCGTGTATAATGTGAGATGATATGTGTAGCTTTGTTACTGACTAAGATCACCTGTTTCATTACCAAGATCATTTGTTGTTGGGCCACGTATCCAGCACCTTCTCCTTTTATGAAACTTAACCACTTTGAATCTCTTGATTGCATGGTTTGCAGTAACTTTTAAATATATGTTTTTATATTTACCGGTACATGCTAAGTTTGTTCTTGATAACTTAAGACTGTTTTAAGGCTTACCCTGACATAATTTACATAACACGTGTCTGTGTGCAGTCTTGCAAACTGGCTTCAGCTAGGAACTTACAGTATTTAGTTTTATTTTAGCATGTAAGTTAGATGATCTTGAATGTGATGTTTGATTTGTTGTTACAGGCTGCAAAGCTGCAGAAGACGGGGGTTCTTTTAAAGCTTAAAAATCATAATGTCACATCGATCCAAACGTCAGGTCAATCGCAGTGATGATTGTCCAGGTAATGTTCACCACTTAATACTTTTAGTATGAACTTAAACATGTAGGTAAACCAGAGTGAGAGCTAGGTTAGAGATTTGGGATCTGTTTAGGCCCTGAGTTATTTTTTCAGATTATGCGTCTGTTATTTCTCAAATCAACTTTGTTTGCAGAGGATTTGTATTTAATTTGTTTGAACTTTTAATTTGGTTCTAGTATTTAGATGCTGATATAGGCCAACCTTTGTGCTTCGTTTAAGGCAAAGAGGGATGAATGTAGGAAATGTGGAGATAAACCATCTAGATAAAACATAGGCCTAGTCCCTTAGTAGATTTCCCATCCTTATGGAACAGCTGAAGCCAATTTTATTGTTAGTTCTGTCCGGTTTTATGTAGGTAGATGTCGTGTTTTGTTTAAATTTGTTTCTTGTTATTTCAGTAATTTAAAACCTCGTTTAACCAAATAAAACTATCTAATCATAACCAATAACTTGTCCACTAGCTATATATAACCAAACAGTGAGAAACAAATAATAAGAAAATAACCCTAAAATAATATAAACAAATTGTAAACAAAACACAACATCCTCAAAAAACCGGACAGAACTAACAATAAAATTGGCTTCAGCTGTTCTATAATAATGGGAAATCTACTAAGGGACTATGTTTTGTCTATGGATAAACATAACTGTTCAAAATAAAAATGAATACCTATACTTTAACTTTAGGGGTTAAGATAGTAGGCCCTACTTAAGATATTTAGGGTCAGTTTGTTCCAATTATTCAAACATTAATGAGGCCTTTTAAACTTTTCTCGTGATCAAACTGGCAGCGTTCAAGTATATTTGACTAAGTTTAAGCATTTAAATTTAGACAAGCAAAGTTAAGGTCGGTATAAGGCAAGAAAATCTCACATTAGCTCTAATGAATTGAGTGTAATACATGAACAAGAGTACAATCAAAATTGTACTCTTGTTCATGTATTTTTATATCTTATAGCCTATTTTCATTGAGTAAGTGATAGGCCTAAAGAAGTTTTAAGCATGGGGTTAAGTGAGTCATCAGAAATAAAGACTGTTATTCGTTTTAAAATAACTCCTGTAATTCTTAGCAATTGCTCGAATTCGAGCAGCAGGTACATTAGTACTTATTTAATACGCAAACAGGTTTTTTGTGACAATTACTCCTCCGAAACTGCTGAACCGATTGACATGTTTTTGGTGTCATTGGAAAGAGGGTAACAAGAAGTTGTGCAGGAAACTTTCTTTTTAGAAAAATAATTCGAGAGTAAGGCCCTGGGGCCCTTTAAAGTTTCGTATTTCTCTATAAGATTAACATGGGAAACAAACATTGTTATGAAACTCCAGCTGTTGTCAGAAATGCTGTTCTGCTATTTAATTTAATTTGTTTACAAGGAGAATCGTTTCATGGTGCCATGTGGTCAATGAATTATACTTTTGAATATATTTTAAATGCTATACACTATATAAAATGATAGTACTGTAATTCATTAAGTGATCTTCATTTAAATACCGGTAATCAATAAGCACGATTAAGCCTTTGCATATATGTTTCCTGGTAAGTGTGTTGTAACTGTTTCTTATAGTAGATTATAGTATCTTAAAAGGTACCTATTTTTCTTTTTTGCATTCTCACCCCGTAGCGAAGCACGGGCAGAGCAACTAGTCTTCATAAAAAACATGTTTTCCTTCATTGTAGCAGCAAACCTAGTATTCGTTAAATCTAATTTTAGTTTTAAATAGGAAATACATCTGACAATTTTAGGAAATATTTTAGCCTTGTAGATCGGCCGCTTAGAAAGGGACCTCCTCTTAGATGCACGATGAATCCTCGCGCAGGTCGCTATCTGTCCGGCCGACCTATAGTAATCCAATAATGAGACACCAGGATATTTTTGATTTCTGCTCGTTAACCAAATGTGTCAATTGGTTGTGCAATATGCTTTTGCTATGTTTCTTTCTAAATAAAATTACTTGTTAGTATGTAATAGAAGTTTGCCCAAAAGTGAAAAAAATAAAAATACTAGACTGTAGTAAAATAAGTGACTGTAGAATATTCTAATTTTTTTTTGTATTAAGTTTTTTATTTATCTTACTCTTTCCTATTTAGGTAAGGCTTATAGCTGCACAAATAGGCTAACAACCTAGGCCCTTGTGCTTTATGCTTATATTGTTAACCTCAAACTGATTTATTTGTTGATCAGTGCCTACCAAGAGGCGCAAGGGGCGTCCGCCGGCGGTGGAGGAGGAGGAGGCGTCCTCCATGGACCCTGGCTGGACTCCTAAGCCCAACAACGACCTCAAGATATCCAGCATCTACAACCGCAGTGCCACCGAGGCTCCAGCCGAGGTAACCTAACCAAACCTGCACAACGATATTGTTAAAAAACCGAAGTAAAATGCTGATTAAAAATTGCATTTTGACCAAAAGTAGTAAAGTTTGTGTGGAAGTAAAGTAAAACCTTGATTAGGCCTAACGTAAATGAAGAGGATGAGGCTTTTTGAGATAGTAACCTAAGACTGTCAATAGTTACAATTTTATGGCTATTTTGATTCAATGAGATCTACACCAGTTGTTTTTATTATTGACAGCTGTATAAAACAAATCTATTTATTTTCTTAAATAATTAAATGTACTGTTTTCTCAATTTTATCTCTTTAAAAAATTTAACATATGTGTTGTCCACTACCTTACATTCCTTTGGCCAAGCTATGCCACTGCACATAGTTCCCGTTGTCTAGCTAGTTTTCCAATTGGTTTGATTTTTAATAATGATGGGTCGGTACCACTTTTTCAATGTCGGTTCCAGTACCGGTTCCTAACCAAAATCGTTTCTCAATTCCATCAGTACCTCATTTTAAATTAGGCTAGGCCTACTTAATTGTTTAGTTTTAAAAACAAATATCCCCATCTCAATTTTTAAAACTGATTATTTTTCATTAGTGTAGCTAGGTTATATTGAGGAATTAAGAAAATAAAACTTAGGCCTAGCTATTTGTAAAAAAAAAACACTGACAACCAAACACATTCAAACCAAAACAATACATACCAAGAAGTGTTTAATGTTTAAATGATTCACTTAATACCTTAATACCATCTCTTCGTTTTTGACCAGGTTTACTGGATTAACTGCGTCAGTTTTCTTAATTTTATATCAAATAGCAAAATAAAATGTTCTTGTCATATTTCAAAAAAATAATATTGTATACAAATATGTCAACTCACAAACTTGGCGGGTGAAGTAGGGTTTTGAGTCAGTTACTCGCTAGATTATCCTCAAGGAAATCCTTGATGGAGAAATAGGCCGACTGAGTAAGTTTGTCTTTCATTTTTCTCTCAAAATTCTTGGTCTCAAGGTTTCTCAAAGTTCTCCGGCAGCTTGTTAAACAGCTTCAATGCCATGGCAGAGAAACGGCGTTGTGTGCTTGTTAGGCGTGTTCTCGTTATATCTAACTTGGTAGAGCCACGTGTAGCGTGGTAGTGGACATCGCCTCTGGTTGTAAGCTCGTTCCAAGTTCTTCTTGACATGTACCAATGAGGATAAGATATACATAGAGTGGACTGTAGGCACGCCTAATCATACTGTTAAACCGATTAATTAAACATAGGCTACTAACCTTGGATAGAAAAAAGGGACCCTGGAAATTTGTTAAAATAAGTTAACTGCCTGTTAAGTTCAAAATAAGGTGCAGGCTTGTTGAAAAAAAGATTTAATACAGACTTAGTTTGGTGACTGTGATGGTTTTTTTGTAAGCCTAGTACCTTATTGTGGGTTTGGGTTAAAAGTGCTTTTAGAGATAAGCCTATTAAATAATATGTTATATTTTGCAAATCTGTTGTTTGCTTCATCAGTTTTAAAATACTTCCAAACTTAAGAAGACGTTATCAAGAGTTTGTCACAATTTATTACATAAAAACAACAACTACTTTTACATTCTTGTAATAAACTAATCCACTTATTATTTACAGACAAAACAAGTTTAATTATTCACATCAACATGTAAATTTTATTAGAGAAATCCGACTAAAACAAAGCCCATTATTAAATATCGAAGAAACTAGACAGACTTTAATAGACTTTAACTAGACGGACGAAGCTAAACTACATTTAAACTTTCTCACCTCGTTCAAGAAAGAGAAAGACAAAAACATAATTGGTACGAACCACTGAACATACAAACAATAACAAATAAAAGCCCTTTTTGGTTTGCTGAATGAAGGCTTGGCTGTTTGTCATGTAGCCATGTAGTCACATCCATCAATAAATAAATTTTACCCGTTAACTTGAAATTTGAAATAGTGGTCTTGTGCAGTGTTGCCGTTGCCATTTGTCATGGCGGTTACAGATCAAATGCAATGTGATTCGTCAAAATCATGAGTACCTCAGCATTTAACCATTGGACATAAACATATTAATCCTAGATGGGTATCACACGTAAATTTTGATGTAGGGTGAGATATTTTTAGCATCACACCCTCAACCGACGCTACCTTCCTTCCTGCAGTGCTCTCAGCAGTCATTTGCTTTGTGGTGGCTGCTTGGTTGGGTCCTAGTGTGTCTCTTTATTTCCTTGCGAAACGGTTCCTTGGAACGCATACGTCAAACTTACGTGTCAATACGCTTTGTGTATAATAAAATGACTGGCAGTACGTCAAATTTACGTTTTGATACCTTTAGCGTAACACTGTATGATGATGCCTTCCCTTACTGTATGGAATTCCTATGTACGTCAAATTTTCGTATTAATACCCTTAGCGTCATGCTGTAGGACGATAACTTTCTAGGAGGGTTAATTCAGCCACTGACTGGACTGGACTGAGTCAATCAGTTAGAGTGAACTTGACAGAGTTTGTGGTTTGAGTTGTTACATTCAGTACTGTTTATGTTGCTTCTGTATTTCCATAGTTTGTACAAAACAAAGTCAAATAAAGAACTCTATGAATTAAATAAAATAATCTTGTGACTTTGACTTGTAACTATTATTAATGTTACTATAGTTCGGCCGCTTAGAAAGCGACCTCCTCCAGCATTGGTTTAGCATTAGTGCGCAGGTCGTTTTCTAAGCGGCCGAACTATAATAATCAACATCAGATAATGATTGTTTTAAGGTGGTTTGTAATAATTTTGTTGAGTCAAAATAAATCATTTATTTTATCCAGTCTTTAGTAAGCTTGCATTCTGTCTTCTCCTTGAAGGTGGTGGAGCAATTGGTGTCCATGATTGCACCACTCTATCAGCAACTTAATAATCTTACACTGAAATAATCATCCTATAGCCTGCTATTTCTTTGCATTACCCAGTTTGCCATGTTAGTCAGTGTCTTTTGTTGTTGTTTACTTCCAGGTATTATCTCTTAAATTTAAACTTTGAAGAGCAAGTACTTGTTTCTGGGCTGATGAAAAAAGTACATCAGCCCTTCAAAAAGCCCTGAAAAAGTATCTGAGCAGTACCTCAAAGTTTGTTTGACTTTGGTTTCAGTCAAAAGACATTTTCATTTCCAACGGTTTTGGTAACAAACAAAAAAATAAATAATAATTTATCCTTAGTTGTGTCCACTTTTCGAGATGGTGTCTTCATGTCTGGCCCCTCTTCTATTCACAAAATATTAATATTATTAAAAATACCCCTGCCACAGCAAATCTGCCAACTAAGTGAATTCCCATTTTTCTGTTCTGTTGAGTAGTTCTTTCAGAGCTGTTTACTTTGAATTTACCCACCTAGGCTATAATATCAAGCCAGTTCGTAACCCTCTTATGATTAGTTTATTTTGGAGTAACTGATTTTGAATGTCTAGTCAGTTCTTTCAGCCCCTGTTGAAAGAAATCACTCAGATCAATTTATTGATCCGTAGCAGAATTAGTTCTTACAACCGTTCAACCGTTACAACCGTTCACTTTCTAGCAACCCATTTCTACCTGCTACTCAGTTTTACTCGGAACCGGATCCAATCTGTGTTGTTGTTGCAGCTGTTCAGAAAAGATCTGATCAGTGCCATGAAGCTGCCAGACTCGGAGCCACTGGGGGCTGATGAATACTGGACCATCTCGGACCAGTGGAAGCAGGAGTGGGAGCGTGGCGTGCAGGTTCCCGTCAACCCAGACTCTCTACCTGGCCCTTCCGTCACCGTAATCAGCCAGCATCACCGAGGGTTCAACGACTTCCGTCTGTGAGTATTAAAAAAGTCCATGTCAAATAAACATATAGTAGAACCTCAATTAACCGGGTGTGGATCAACCGGGAGGCGAATCAACCGTGGTCGTCAATAGATGCCTCTAAAATTAGGTTACATAACCTCAATGTCCACGATCCTTTGATGAAATATGTTTCTTTAAACTAGTGGCCAATTATTATTTTTCAGCAGGCTCCCATATTATTGCTTTTGAAACAACACAGTTAATTTGACAAAAATAAAATAAGACAAAGAAATAATATAGATTGTTAGCTTCAAGATCAAACTATCCGCTTGCACTGACAATCGTCTGCCCCTTACACATCTGTCTGCTGTGTGCTTGCTATGTCTCAACAGTTTGTGGTTGGGCAATCAGTAACCATGATAACTTTAGTAGCCTTTTGTTGGGGTAAGAGCTTTTCAATATGTTCTAACTTCATTTGGTAATTGCTTAGAAATGTCAACACTATTTTTGTTTTAGGCCTAAAAACAAGTACATCCGCATCACAAAAGATGAAAGCTTCAGATTCGACGAACACCATCTCTCCAACATGCCAGCAAAAGCCGAGAAAGCTTGTTCTTACGATCTTGACGAATGTGATATTGCGTGGCTTCGGATATTGAACGGAGAGCGGGCCTCAATGGGTAAGTTCACAATTGAATTATAAGCAGACCTACGTATTATACGTACAATGTTATACGTACTGTAAGATCAATAATTTATCTAGGTTTCACTAGATGGTTTAAGTGTTAGTTAGGCCTACTTAGTTTGTGTAAAAAAAATTACTTAGCTTTAAGTTTATTTTGAGTGATGATAAGTTTAAATGGTATTTGAGGTGTGCACATTTTCCATAACCTTAGTCAAAACAAGTTTCCATGACAATTTATAATCGGAAATCTGATCTCGTGTTCAGATGAGAAAGTAAGTACCTTATGATAACAAGACTCACAAACCCAGTCAAAAGCTCATAAATCACAAAAGAAACACCACACACAGAGAACTGTGTAAAAAAAACCAAGAAACAACAAATCCTAAAAAACTACTATTAAGTTCGATTTATTAGTTGTAAGGCAAACACAATGAATATACTTTTGCACAAGATGGTGGCTCAAGAGAGTCTGAGGTCACGTATTTGTCTGTCAAATGGGGTTAGCAATGGCGACAGAAAAAGGAGACCACCTGTTAAACTTCAACAAACAACATGGAGAAGTAATGTACAAAGAAGTTAGGAAAAGGGGCAATGTAAACAGGACATTAACATATTCACTTAATGTTTCTCATGTACCTTGCAAAGAGTTAACATGCTGTTTAATTTTTGGACAGGTGTTTCAACAACTTGAAATAGAATCTGTAAGATTGAGTTATGAAATCAAACAAAGTAAGTAATTGACTCTTTGTACAGGTCTTCAGCCAATCCGAGAAGATCAGTTGGAGAGGGTGGTTGAAGAGTTGGAGATCAGATGTTGGGACAAAGTCCAAACCATCGTCAAGCAGGAAGAGGGCCTTGGCATTGAGTTTGATGAAAACGTCATCTGTGATGTCTGTCGTTCTGTAAGTAACATCTGTTTTACTTTATAATTTTATTCTGTTTTTAATATTGTGTTCTGAAATGAAGGTGCTATATTTTACAGTTGCCTTCAATATCCTTTTAGTTTAGCTCTAGGAAAAAGTCATGTATGTGTAGTCAGTGGTTGACATCAGCGTGCTTGGCTCAATCCAACTACGCTCATTTGCATTTGAAACTCGTTACAACTTATGTCAAAGGAACATTATGTCTAATTATATCCATACTCAAAAATCTGAACATCACTGATTTCAAACAAATTGGGTTACTAAAACCTCCTAAATATATTATTAAAACCTCTGGTGAACTGATGCCTGGTTCCAAAGAGATTAGATTTCCTCTAGTTTAGCTAGGAGAAAATTATATAGAAATAGCTCAAGCTATTAAGTTGGCAGTCCTGCTTCCTTTACTCCATAACCAATCAGCTTAAGCCTATTGCATTTATTTTAGCCTATTGTGATTGTGAACAAGGCATAACCAATGTTCAAGATTAATTTATATTCATGGGAAAATAGGCCTAAGTATTGTATTTTTGATCTTACCATTTCATACAACCTGTAGATGATTTGTTAGGTACTAACAGTAGGCCTACTGGTATCTCAAAAACTTAATTACAAACCTTTTTGGCATAAAAAAAATTATTTACTTTCAGTTTATTACCATACTATCTACCTACCTCATCTTCAAATTTACAAAAACAATATGTTAAATTATTAACAGTAAATTTCCAAGAAATGTGTATGCTACAGCTACAATACAACAATATATATCAGCAGTTTTGTAATGGAGTAAAGGAGGCAGGGCTGCCAACTTATGAGCTTATTTTCTCCCTTAAGTACTTATACTTAACACTCTCTTATGTTAAGAGTACGTTTGACTCTGTACTTGTAATTTAGGTTATTTAAAGACTAAACATCACTGATATTCTTTCTTAATTTTTGGACTTCTTCTATTGAAGAGAAATTTCTGGTTGAAGTCGCAACTAATACAATCTTCAGTGTGGCCAATCACATAAAAATTTAGACACAAAGCTTCTCTAGCTTAACTCTAACCCTTTAAAAGATTTTTAATTAGCCACATAGCTTTTCCAATATAATTCAACATACCTAAATCAACCCCACAAACAATCAAAAACGTCCGTACTTGTTACAGCCGGACTCTGAGGAAGGCAACGAGATGGTATTCTGCGACTGTTGCAACATCTGCGTACACCAGGCCTGCTACGGCATCACTGCTATCCCCGCGGGCTCGTGGCACTGTAGGACGTGCGCGCTGGGACTGCGGCCCGAGTGTGTGTTGTGTCCCAACAAGGGAGGAGCCATGAAGTGTACCCGGTCTGGCCACAAGTGGGCTCACGTGTCTTGCGCACTGTGGATCCCAGAGGTCAGCATCGGATGTGTCGAGCGGATGGAACCCATCACCAAAATCTCCAGTATACCGGTGAGTGGTTAAGTTTCACTGTTATCGCTGAGTATTGAGAAAGTACTTGGCTTAATAATACACTATGTTAGAATGGATACACAACTAACCTACACAAAAAATTAACGGGGATTTCACAACGGCGTGTAGTTTTGTCTTACACTGCTGTATTATTATAATTGTGAAGTAGTAGCAGACAACTGCCATCTTGATTTTTCCGATAAAATTATTGTGCTTGTTAATAATAATAATTTCTTGCTATAGTTTTTTTAATTTTTTGCTCAGTTTTTGTTGCTATCAATTCCGTGTTCAAAATATAAGTTATTAGTATATTTTAGTGTTTCACTGGATTCAATTCCTTCAGAAAACAATGTGTTATTTGACAAATTATTTTTACAAGAATTGAGATGATGAACAAATCTTGTCCTGTACTGTCCTATGAACTGACATTATAGTCCCAATCATCCCTATTTTCTAGTCATGTTAAAAACGTGATTATTTTGCCTGACAAAAAAAATCATCAATTACTATTTTTATTCGATGAGGGTCAATACATTCAGAGTATCTTTTGTTTTTCTAGGAAACGGTTTCCTATTAAATGAAAAACAACAGCATTGTAAAAAACAGGCCTATGTTTAGTAGTCAGATTACAAGATAGGGCTCTTGCCAGCAGGCTTACCTGAGACATATAAACATCATAGTGATGTGTGGGTTACAGCAAAGTCGGTGGGCCCTGATTTGTGTGCTGTGTCGGGAACGTGTCGGAGCTTGTATACAGTGTTCAGTCAAGACCTGCAAGACAGCCTACCATGTGACCTGCGCCTTCAAACACGGCCTCGAGATGAGAGCGATCATTGAGGACGAGAATGCTGACGACGGCGTCAAGTTAAGAGTATGTAGCCTTTATATTCTCCCAGTAAATTAGTAAGTTTATTATTTGCATAAATTTGAATAGTTGAAACAGGAAAATGTATTTTTTACCAAATTCTGTTTTTAAGTATGCACCAACATTTGTATCACAGCTCTAACTCATCATCAAAATGGATGACCAGGATTTTTGCTTCCATAAAGCCATTGTCTATATAGGCCTACTTATTCAGGGACTAGAAGTTAACTTTCTTGGGATTCAAGCGATTCACACAAGAAAAGCACATTAAACCAACAAAAACATGTTACTTTATATTAATGATCACTGGGTATGGTTCTAGTATCTATCTATTTATTAATAGGCAAGCATGTTTCTTTAAAACCTTTTTTCTCAGCTCGCGTGCATCGCAGGGAAAATCTACGCATACTGTTGGAAAGATATTTTCCTGTAGATGTGCAGAATGCATTTAAAAATTAAAATAGGCTAACAAATAAGCACAAAAAATTAATTTAAAAACTTCAAAAAATTAACATGGACCATATGGGTTGCCATGATGGTGACGAAATAACAACAAAATGTAAACAGAAAATCAAAACAAATTGAAGAAATTCCAATCACATGCTTAATTTACAGTGTGGGGAGAAAATAGAGAAGTCTGTACATTAATTATTTTTGGTCGAGTTTCGACCACAGGACGACCACTAGTTACTTTAATTGGTTGAGTGGAGACCATCAGCCACAGTTCCTATGCAGGAAGGAAATTTTGGTACATACTTTAAATTTAAAACAGTTCTGTTGGCCAATCATAATATTATACAGGGTGAGTTTTAATTGTCCCCCCCCCCCCCCCCAACTGTTTTCTACATTTTTTCAAATATCAATCCCAGACCACTTCCAAACATTGTTGCGTAGTAAGAGTAAGTACTTCATTTTGACAAGGTGGTCATTTCCGGCCGCCATCTTGGATCCGCCATATTGGAAATAGGTTGGCAACGACTGGTAGTGTATACTTATCTTTATCTAGCACTATTTTGAGATTATGATCTTAGTTTGTAAATGCACAATGTTAAAATGGGCTAAAAAATAAAGTTTTAAAAAGGCCCCATAACTTTTGAATGATTAAAGATTTTTTTTTAAACGGTTTGCGGCATTGTAATCAGAGTAAAAATCTAGTTCGAAATAATGGGTCACAACCCCACCTTTACATTTGAAAAAAATATTTTGCATCCAATATGGCGGATCCAAGATGGCGGCCAGAAATGACCACCTTGTCAAAATGAAGTACTTACTACCCAACAATGTTTGGAAGTGGTCTGGGATTGATATTTGAAAAAATGTAGAAAAAAGTTGGGGGGGGGGGGGACAATTAAAACTCACCCTGTATAATATCCTGGTCTTTTACTTTTCTCAGTTATAAAAATTTGTTTTAACTTGAGTGTGGATAGACAAGGATACAGATTATTTTTATCTCTCCTAGACCAGATAAATATACCTGAGAGTTGGGTCAACTTAAGGGTACGGTAACATTGATTAAAATGGACAAGAAAACGTGCATCTAATGCTCAAATAAACCCACTGTAATTTTAAAAAAATTCAAAAGTAGTTAATATTTTCTTTATTTTCTAATAAATACTAAAAATTTAATTTTTTGTGAATAATTCTACATCCAAGTTTTACTTGAGGATTTAAAAGTATGCATGAAAATAGTTTTCAAGGCCCAATGAGAAGTATAGCTTCTATCAATGTCTACTATTATTTGACCATTCTGCATAAACTATTATAAGTTAATCACAATTACAAATTCTTTTTTCAGTCTTACTGTCAAAAACACAGTGTCAGTAGTAGTAAAAAGGACAAAAGTGGTTCAGCCTCTGAAGACGAAGAGTGTAAGAAGAAAAAGAGGAAAGACATGACATCTGAAGAAAAGAATCAAGCAAGAGCTGCAAAGTAAGTACAGTATATATGGTGTAGAGAAAGAAAGTTTACAAAAATTGATTCAGTTTTTGTGGTCTTTCTTTCCACTTTTTCCCCTACGCCAGTGGCATTTTGATTTCAAGTCAATGTGAGATTAAAGGTTTTTAAGGGAAAGTGGTGCAAACCCATTGAAGTTTTGTGGGTGTGCTGGGGATTGAACCCGTCCCTCCCGCACCGAAGTCCAAGACGCTAACCACTAGGCTAGCAACACACCCACACTTTTTACACTTGAGAAAGTCCCCCGGTGGACGAAAAATTGTGTTTTTTAATCTTCTTTGTGTTCTATGGCCTTGTACTTCTTCTAAAGTAAGCTAGCTGCTGTCACCCTTTATTCTACAATTGAAAATTCTAGATACTAGAATTAACTAGCTTACTAGTCAGTTCTGTGCTGGTCTTAGCAACTTCTATGTCTCCAATAAGGCCAAAATAAGTCCATATCTATGTTTATAAAAAATTAGATTAGACCTATGCTCTTGATTTAGAGTTGACCTCAATCATGTTTTTATTATTTTCAATAGGGATGGACAAGATTGTACAATAATAGCTCAAGACGGGTTGAGTAAAAATCATTGCATATGGAAATTTGTAAATACTTAATCAAATTTCCGTCTTTATGGCACTTTTCTTTGTCATAAATCTGTGATCGTGATACTATTATTATTATCTTCTACTATCATAGAGACATCATCATCACTCACCATACCTTCGAAGTAAAGAACATCGTCTGCAATCACAGTGAAATTATTCAACAACGACATTATTGTCATCTTTTCTTGTTGGTAAGAAGAATTATTCCAAATTTTAGAAGTCATTTGAGGGTCTTCTACAGCCCTGGGACCCTAGCTAACCTGGCCAGACTGCATTACAGAATGTCAGAGTACCTGCCACACAGAAATTTGGGTTTTGAACAATATTCGAGGATCTTCCTGAGCAATTTTTAATAAATAATGTCACAGCAGAAAATTTTGTTAATGTTATTCTATGTCCCAATAAAGTATAATGAAATATTTCATACTAATGAAAGACACACTGTTGGCGGACCCTTTTACTGATCATACACACCATTCAAAGATATATTTTTAAGCGTATGAATCTCATTGACATGATCACTGTTTGCAGGCTGCAAGAGATCGAAGCTGAGTTCCAGAAGCACGTGAACGTGACGGATGTGACACATGCTCGCGACGAGGTAGATCAGGAGGGGGTGGTCGCAATCTACAACTACTGGGTGTTGAAGCGACGCGCCGGCTACAACAAGCCACTGTTGGCACCTCGCTCCGAGGACGTAGACCTTCTCACTAAACAGCAGGAGCAAGCGGATGTGGAGAAGATGAGAATGTTCGTACAGCTGCGACAGGATTTGGAGAGGGTATGTCGTCTGTCATTGGTTATTTCAGTTTGAACCCCATTATCTTGATCCTAGTTTAATTTGGGAAGGTTTTACATTGAATAACAGCTACTATGTCATTTATTCCTTTTGGCAGTTTTGTAGTCTTTTTTAATTATTTTTTGATACTGAGCTGTATCAAACTTTTATCCTAATAGTAGAGATGTGCGAGTACTCGAGATTTCGAGTTCGAGTCGAGTACGGCCTTGAAACTCGAGCTTATCTTTGAACTCGGCAGTTTCGAGTCGAGTTTGGTTTAAAATTGTAAAAAATCAATATTTGCTAAAATGTAACTTGTGTTTACATAAAATGCTTTGTAATTAATTTGTATTACTGTAGATTCTACAATAGTACAAATATTTCTACAGTGTAGAAATAACCAAGAGGTAGTTGTCCTAACCTATTTTTATAGCTGTCACGACAGAATAGGTCAACTCCAAGCAGTCGCCGGCGACTGACTGGCAATGGCATAATCTGGACTTGACACAGAATGACATGATCGGTAGTGTTTTGTTTTAAAGTACTGTTCCACAATAGAAAATTCCACTACTGAACTGTTACGTAAGCAATAAATCTATGGTTAAAAAAGTCGATTTGAATCATCAAAAATATAATTTGAACTAGCTGTGTACCCGTTCTACGCACGGGGATCTTATAATATTCAGTTGAAACCTTCTTATATAAAGAACAGCAGTTGGTTTGCATATTTTAAGATATGCTGGCCAAACTATTATACATAGCTTCATTTTATGTTGTTTTTTGTTGTTCCGGATCGGTATGACAATCAATAAAAGGTTAAATTACCTCTGTGTCTGCCGGTCGATCCTATAACGGTAGGCTTACTTTTATTTTTACTATCTGATCTCGTTTGCATGGCTCAATCACGTCCTGGTTGAAGTTCGTTCGCTACGCTCACTCACCTGTATGTTGGAGCTCGTTCGCTGCGCTCACTTTCCTTCAGGTTAGCTCGTTCGCTACGCTCACTTGCCTTCAGGTTAGCTCGTTCGCTACGCTCACTCGCCTCCAGGTTGCAAATTAGCTGTTGTCATAAATGTAAAAGAAATAATAGTGCTAGTGCTGCACCCTGTTGGTAATCCTTGTAACTTTAATGCTATTGAACATCACAGAACAGAACCAACTTGTTTAATTGAAACAGCTGTTAAGATTCAATAATTTCATTTCTCATAAGGTTAACATGGGCTTCCAGAAATTCCACGTCAAAAATCGACAAAAACTTGATTTTCAAGGGTTTACTGTTAAATATCTAACTGTCTCATATTCGATGAAATACGTCTAAAACCATCTCATATATGTATAGTATTTGGAAAATAAGTTTCAGGCGGGACAGTGCTATAGTTATTGAGGAGTAGTTGTAATAAAGTGCGTATTTTAGCGTTACCAAGAGAATGACAGATAGACAGACAGACAGACAGACAGACAGACAGACAGAAATTGAGATAAGGTTTGATTCGGTTTCTCTGACCTATGAAATGTAAAAATAACCAAAAAGTTCATTATTCTAAGCAATGTACAGACAAAACTCTAATTTTATTTATATAGATTAACCACGATTATTTAGCATTGATAATACAATCTGCAAGGGACCAGGAGAAATATTATTCAACTAGATTTAATACCATGATTTGCATTTTTATGTCAAAATACAACATTGCGCAATCATAATGTTTTGGGTCATCGACCTTAATAACGCATCTGTTATAAATTGTTGTTCCCGTGGTTGAAAATAATTATTCTGTAAACTTGTAAAACATTAGATAATTCATAAATAAGTATAAAATCATTCATAAAGACAATAGTAGCACTCCTAAAAAGGGATTTAAAGAAAACAGCACAAAAAAATCATTATAATTTTCTCGGTCTTCCATTTTTTCTTGGGGTTCTAATGTGCATGGAATACAATTGATTATAGTGAGTTAGGCCTAAGTCTAGGTTTCTTTTGATTTCTATAACTACTATTGTATGAGCCTATTACATTATTCAGTACAATTTTCAATCTACAATAATTAATTGTTGTGTTTAACAGTATAGGCTAGGCATATTAGGAATATAAGTGGCAGTTAGCGGAAAGTTTAGGTACAGTCCTAATCATCACTTTTCTTTATGTTTTTTGGGTCGCTGAACACGAATATGAGGTTTGCTGACAGATATTTTGTCCGGAACATTGGTTATTTTGTGAAAAACCTTAAAATTTGGGCACTTTTTTTGGTTTTTCGGGCAAATCTCGGTAAGTATGGGTTTTTGAGAAAATCCTGCTTTGTAAAAATAAAGATGACAAAATTTACTACAAGTTTCCTATATAATGTTTGTTTCTACGACGAACCGATTCGCCACTAGAGCACACTAAAAAAGGCAAGAAGTACAAAAAATTAAAAATATTGCTAAATGCTGCCGTTTTACATTAGGTTTCCATGGAAACAACCCATGTTACGATAATTTTAACCATTTATTCATGATAACAAACTGAAACACACTTAAAAATACCCCCGCCACAGCAAACCTGCAGACTAAGCGAATTTCCATTTCCCTAATTGTATTTACACTGAAATGCCTCCTTAGAAATATGACATTTATTCCCTATTTAAATAAAAGTTTAACGAGTACCTAGGTTTGCTGCAACAGGGAGGGTAAAAAGGTGTTTTTTTGTAAAATGTAATAATTTGGTACATGAAATGAATACATTTTCAAAATTTGATCAAAATATGTTCATAAACAAGCAAACTACAACAGTTTACTTAGTCGCAATAAGAATAACATGAGCATTTTAAATTTACAGATTTTTGGAATTTTCTCCGTACCCATTAGGCACATAACAACGCTTTAATATACTAAATTATTTGTTTTTTTAAGCTCTCCAAAATGATATGGAATGAAATCGCTAAATTTTAAGTTTATAGGGTCAAAAATAGGAAAAACTAATTTTTTACCCCATAAAACCCCCCATAAATCCCTGTTCCCATAGTCCGATCATGCTGGGCAAAACCAAAAATGAAAAAACCCTAACCGTTTTACAAAGGTTTTACATTGGGTTTCCATGGAAACAACCCATGTTACGATAATTAGAACTATTTATAGAACTATTTATTCATGATAATGAACTGAAACACACTTGATAAATCTATGCCAAGATGTATGACTGACTGCTGGAACATTTCCCGTTCCCACAAAACCCCCATTTATTTTCTCAGCACAGGGATGTTGCTGGCCACAAGGTTGACTGCTATAGTGATTGAGAAAAAAGGATGAAACACGTTTAAAGAGTTGTAGATAACTATTAACTTTGGTAACGTCAAATTCAGACGAGTAGACCGTGTCCAGCCACTTGCCATAGAATAACGCGATGAAAGTAGAGAATTCTTACCCGTATACCCCAACACATTGTTTCAACTTATCAGCATCGCTAAGAATTCTGATGAAGAACTAAAACACTTCTTGTCCTACGAACTGGGTCCATACTCTTTCTCGTTGTTTGATAACAACGGTTTGCACAAAGAACAAAATCAAATCTTTAAAGGCCTAAAGCCCCTGTCCCCATTGAAAACAATCACTTCCATGGCCAAGTGTAGTATGTTATTGATGGTGGGTTCCTACTACACAAAAGTTATGACCAGAGCATCGACCTTTCAACCATAAAAAACCAAGCATCAACCAAGAAAAACTTAATCGACAACATACTCACCACTCCTTGCCTTGCTATAAAGAAGAAAACTGTAGGCAGCTGAGAATATTCAAAGATAAACTTGGTCCTCAGTTTCTTACCCTTGAGGAAGCCTTAGAAGCAAATGAGGATGTGGAAGAAAATGTTTTTTCTCTCATCTTGGGCCCATAAAAAAATGGATGGAATGCCAACCTTCAACCCGAAGAGAGTGAATTACATGATCCTACCAACCAACCTATTCATGGGGTTATTAACATTATAAAAAGAAAGATTGTCTCCATTTTCCACAATTTAATTCTAAAAGACGGGTATTTATTTCAGGTTTAGTTTTGTGGTCAGAAGACACACTAGTTAGTTTATTAGTGAATTTCCCCTATAGGGAATAAGCTATTACCGTATTACTCATGGTAAGACCTGGACTCGGGACACTTTATATATGTGTCCGTTAGGTCGAGAACTCGTCAGAAATCATCAGATTTTGATGAAAATTGGGACAAACGTATAAACCTACGTCTATTCAAACGAGTTCGCGAACCAGCATGATTGGACTATGGGAATAGAGATTTATGGGGGGTTTTATGGGGTAAAAATTGGTTTTTCCTATTTTTGACCCTATCAACTTAAAATTTAGCGGTTTATTTCCATACCATTTAGTAGAGCTTAAAAAACAAATAATTTAGTATATTAAAGCGTTGTTATGCGCCTAATGGTTACGGAGAAAATTCAAAAAATCTGTAAATTTACAATGCCCATGTTATTTTTATCAAATTTGGACAATGCATTCATTTCATACCAAATTTTTACATTTTACAAAAAACACCTTTTACCCTCCCTGTTGCAGCAAACCTAAGTACTGGTTAAACTTGTATTTCCTGATTGGATTATCAGGGTAATGGAAATTCGCTTAGTCTGCAGGTTTGCTGTGGCGGGGGTATTTTTAAGTGTGTTTCAGTTTGTTATCATGAATAAATAGTTAAAATTATCGTAACATGGGTTGTTTCCATGGAAACCTAATGTAAAACGGCAGCATTTAGCAATGTTTTTAATTTTTTGTACTTCTTGCCTTTTTTAGTGTGCTCTAGTGGCGAATCGGTTCGTCGTAGAAACAAACATTATATAGGAAACTTGTAGTAAATTTTGTCATCTTTAATTTTACAAAGCAGGATTTTCTCAAAAACCCATACTTACCGAGATTTGCCCGAAAAACCAAAAAAAGTGCCCAAATTTTAAGGTTTTTCACAAAATAACCAATGTTCCGGGCAAAATATCTGTCAGCAAACCTCATATTCGTGTTCAGCGACCCAAAAAACATAAAGTAAAGAGATGATTAGGACTGTACCTAAACTTTCCGCTAACTTTCCTATTATGCCTAGACTAGTAAGGTAGGCTACTTGTAGGCCTATTTAAGTACTTTATTTTTAACATACATTTTGACAGAATGTTTGTTTACAATTAAGATACAAGATTAAAAAATTTATTTTTCTTTTACCCACTGTCAAACCATTGGAAATTTTGTAGGCCTACTGTTACAAAAACCACACCAACTAAGAATAATGGTAATAAACTTACAAAACTAAAGGTGAAAAGGTAGGAAATAAAAGGTAAAGTTTTAGAATAAATCTCTTTATTAAACTTTATATTGTAATTGCAACCTTAATAACTAATATATGCTAAGTATTAAGTAATTTTAGCCAAGTATTATGGAAAGTAAATAAAAGAAACGTCTTATAACTTATAACACTTAAAACATATATTTACGCTTATACTGTTACTCACAAGACGGTAAATATACAAGAACGATGGTAAGTGGTGATCGATTTCGATTGGACACTCCAATCATCATCATACCCAATAGGCGAATGACGTCAGATATTGGGTATGATGATGATTGGAGTGTCCAATCGAAATCGATCACCACTTACCATCGTTTTTGTATATTTACCGTCTTGTGAGTAACAGTATAAGCGTAAATATATGTTTTAAGTGTTATAAGACGTTTCTTTTATTTACTTTCCGTAAATTTAATAACACGTACAATGCTGATCAAGAAGTTACCAAGTATTATGCAATATTACTTATCAATAGGGATTAATGTATTTAATGTATTCAATTACTCGACTCGACCTGAAAAAACTGTGCTCGCACATCTCTACCTAATAGATAATATTTAATGAGCCAGTCGCCGTGTACAAGGTGTGAAAATTCTATTTTCACTCTTAGTTTTTATTGATTGTCAATAATTGTCCTTACACTTTGGCTTGGTTAAAATCAATTTGGCTTATTCGACAGCAATCAGTAATTTACGCCAGCCCACTCTTTCAATAGCTTACTTAAAAATGTTAATTTTTTCTTTATAAACTAGCTACAACTTTTAACATAAATGGATTGTAATGTTTTGTTCTATCAATAGTCAATGGTGGAATACAGGGGATTTTTGTGTAAAATTATAAATTCATATACTTAAAAACATTAAGTAGAGAGAATGATAACAAGAGATTATACTAATACCTAACCTAAAAACATGTCTTATAAAAACACAGTGTTAACTTTGAAGATATTTCAAGCTACCTAATAAGTTGTTGATATCAAGTATTCAAATTCCATTAATGGTGAACCAAAATCCATTATTTGATTACTAATTCATCACAATCCATTCTCTACTCTACACTTTGTTTATCCTCTCTATACCACGTACATGTACAATCTATACTAATATGGTAAAATGGTTAGTTCATGGTACTAGAAACTGCCTGAAAAAAAGATTAACTAAATTTACATTATTTGTTATTTAATTTAAACTAAAAATTGATTCAATTATAAATTTAAGTCGTATGATGAACTTTTTACTTGTTATTGTTATACCTTATACCTTAAAGTTAATGCTAACTTAAATTAATTTTCAGGTTCGCAACCTGTGCTACATGGTTAGCAGACGAGAAAAGTTGTCCCGCTCTTTCTTCCGGCTCCGAGAACAGACATTCCACAAGCAAGTGTCAGTCCTTACGGAGCCAAGTTACACTCTCAGCAGCACAGAGTTGACAGCTGTAAAAGAAGCTAACCACGGGCCTTCCATATATGACAGGATGTATTCCCATGCTAACGCTCCAGAACTGAGCACCGACTTTGACACCGTCCTGGCAAGAATCGCTGGTATCGCTTCCCCTACACCTGAAGACAAAGGAAAACTCGACTTAAATGGGTTAGTCAAATTGAGTAAGTCAGATAATCCTTATAAGAAAATGTACTTTAACGGAGGCGTTGTACGTCGCAGAAGTATGTATGGAAGCATGTCCAGTGGAAGTGAAACCGACAGCAAGTTGAGGCTACATAGAATGGATATAGACAGCGCGGTCTCAAGTGGTGATGACAGAAAATCGAAGGTGAACATTGCAACGACCTCAAAGAAAAACTCATTAATGAACAAAGAAAAGAAATTGAGTAAGAAAAGAGCTGTGTCTCGTGCGGCTGTTGACTCTTCCACTGAAGACGAAGTGAGCACCAAATCCAAACCATCAAAAGCTAAATGGGAATCGCCTAGGAGCAAATCTCTAAGGCAGATGGAAAAAGAACTTACGGATAAGTCCGGACCGAGCGATGATAGTGATGAAATAATGACTGTTAAAACTAGTAGCAAGAAAGATTCCCAAAAAATCAGTGGAATTTATTCTGATAGCGATTCTGAACCCTCCGCTCTTGATGAAGACACAGCTCCCAGTGACTCACAACAACTTACGATGCGAACAAAGGCTGCAATGAAAGAGTTTTGTGCTGGTGGTCAGCAGAGTAAGAATAAACGAACTAAAAAAACAAGTTTGAGATTACAGAGGAATGAGAAGGATGACGTCAAAGATGAGAGTTCTGCAGATGAATACCAAAGAGAGAAAGAAAATATCAAAGTATCCAAGAAAAAGAGTTCTACTGAATCTACACCTACTGAGTTGATTGTCCCACAAAGACAAGCTGCCAAAAAGGCAACTGAAAGTATGCGTGGTAACCAAGTAAAAACTAAGCCTGATGTTGCTGCCCCAGACCAAGATTCTCCACCTAAAGATGTGTCTCCTAGTGAGGAATCTAAATTAAAAACTAATAAAAATAAAAACAAAGACAATAAAGATCTGAAAAATATTAAAGATGCTAAACTAAACAATGATGTGTATGAATTTGATAAAGAAACTGGTGATACTATTGATATTCTCGCTTATGTCCCTCAACGCCAAGCAGCTAAAAAAGCAGCTGAACACATGAAAAGTGGAAGAATACCAGGTTCACAGAAACAACCTTCAACACCAGATCCAGATATAGAAAACAAAGGGAAAGCACCAGACTCCTTAAAGAATAAGAAAGAAACAGACACTATCAAAACCAAAAAAGATGTTGAAAATGATAGAACTCAAAAACAATCAGTAAAATCTCCTGAGAAGAAAGGAAGACGAACATCCAAATCTTCCGTATCAACATCGTCTTCCTCAGGAAGCTCTTCGTCTGATTCTTGTACAACAACATCAAGTTCTGATAGTGAGGATACAGATTTAAGTCCAAAAAAGACAAATGATAAGAAAAGCTTATTTGAGCCACCTGTCCAGGTTAAAATTCACAGACAAGATAGTCAAGATAAAAAATCTAAATCTCCAGAAAAGAAGATTCAACCCAAAAAACCGGATACGCCCTTTCTTGACAAGGGACAGCAATCCGCTGAAAGCAGTTCTTCAACCCCTTCTAGTTCAGAATCAGACAATGACTCACCCACAAGGAGGACATTGTCACCCTCTCCAAAGAAATCTGCTGATACTGTCTTGCAAAGAAAGGCCTCTGAGGTTAAACCCCAAGAACAACAAAGAAACAAAGATGATTCCTCTACAAAGTTGGCTGCCTCAAAGAAACTCAGGAAAACGCCCGATAAGAAGCTTAAAACTTCCGACGGGCGGCCTGAGCTTCAATTTCAGCAGCCGCCTATTGAAAGAGAGGAATCAACCCGATCCAAAAGTAAACCTACATCACAAGATAGGAAGACTAGATCAAGTTCAAGTGATAGACTCAGACAACTTGAAGCCAAACATGGAGATACTTCTTTCAAAACCCATACCACAGTTACCAGTCTTAAAAGTCGAAGCAGGTCGAATACACCCCAAGGTGATGAAAAATCTTCAGTGGAAAGGACTTCTCGGTCGCCACAGAAAAAAGAACAGTCCAAGCGAGATAGAAGGGAGAGAAAATCAAGTGACATCACAGAGCATAGTCCGGAAAAGAAATCAGAAGAGTCTCGTGATGAAATCAGCAGGAAAGAGAAAAACAAGTCCCAACACATTACAACTGAGGGCCAGAAAATTAATAAGAAGGTAAGCTTACGAAATGAACACAATCCAAGCGCTGCTAAAAAACTTGATTTGGCTGATCAACAAAGTAAAAAGAATTCAGAAACATCTGAAAAGCTCACAACGAAAACAAAAGACAATCTTTTTGTCAAAAGAGATAATGACAGATTGGGGACTCATAATGATAAAAAGTATGCGGAAGAAAAAGCACATTTGAATATTTCTCAAGTAACACAGTCCTACCATAGTGATAAATTTGAAAAGACCGGTCAACAGAGATCACTTACGAGATCTCAAAAACAAAATGAAGATATTTCCAAAGATACTAATGAAGATAGCTCTGATGAATCTGATGGATCTTCAAGTTCAGAAGAAATTTGCATCGATGAAGTAGAAACAAAGACATCAGATAATATAGCAACCATTACAAAACTTACTGATGCAGAAGCGAGTAACAACAACATTAGAAATCTCAATAAAGAAAGGCACACTATTGATGAGATCAATGATGAACACATCCAAAATATTAAATCCAATACTCCATTTATTAAAGTCAGCCAAGATAAAGATAGTGCTAACATTTACTCTGTGGATGATTGTATAGGTCAAGCAGATATTGTCCTAAGTGATATTAATTTAAAACATCTAAGACCAGGCGAAAAAGAAGCGTATGATGGAGAACTACTTAATAGGCATCAATTTAAAAGAGATAACCATGATGCACATGAGTCCCAATTTACAAAAGGGGGTTCTACTTTTGAGAATGATTCGACATCAAGACACCACATTGTATCCAATCTTGGAAAAGATAAAAGTAATGACATTCATTCAGGTGACTTCCAAGTTGCAGATTCAGAAGCAGAACCAAAGAAGATAAGCTCAAGAAATTCATCTCTATCAGCTCCATCTTACCAACATCGCTCAATATTTTCACCTCAACAACAACCAAAAGATGCTGCTGTAGCTGATCTATTTGATTTTGGAAATGACATGCTAGCAGTAGATGAAACCGTCAATGATGATGGTTTTGGTTTGCCGCGAAATTCTGATGAAATTCTACGTGCTCAACCTTTGACCTTTTCTTTTTCAAATGACATTTTATTCAAAGAAGATTCAAAAGAAGACAGTGCCCGTGAAACTCTCAATCTTGTAGAAAAATTAAGATTAGAGTATGCCAAGAAAACAACCACCCAATCTGATTTGTCTGAGCCAATGACCCCTGGATCTGAGTTTGCTTCTGCACAACATGAAATTCCTGAAGATTCTAAGCAAGACTTGAATTTAGAGCCAATACCTCCTGAAACACCCAACCCTGTAGAAGCAGTTGAAAATGCAGACCCACCCAAAACTGAAATTGAGTGTTCAGTAAACGTAATAGAACCAATAGTCGAGCATCAGCCGAACATTGATATGGTATCTATGGACCAAAATATGATTCAACCCATTCATGACAAAAAACATGAAATCCCTCCACCTTATCATCAGGCAGATCCATACTCATACCAATCATGTGCAATGCCAATTGATGTTGACAAAGTTCCTGGACGAGACAAAGTAGATCGAAGCAACAGTGCACAAGCAGATGAGAGGTGGGTCCCTCCCAGTAATATTCCATCCCACCATTATGAGCCCATACCATCTCCTTATACTGATGTCCATGGAAGAAATAAATGGGCAGAAAGTGAAATTCTTCCTTCTAGACGCTCTTCTTCATCCTCAGCTTCCTCCACATCGTCTTCTTCCCATCGAGATGATGTGGATCCAGGGAAAAGAGAAGAACCATCCTACCATGATATACCTCCTCCGACTCCAAGTATACCTAATATGTTGCCTGAATTGGTGCAATACCCAACTCTACATACCATGGCATACGGTCCTTGTGCACTCCCAGACGGTCAGCCATATCATCCATACTCAGAGGCATCACAGTTTGTTGGTCCCGTGGGATTATTCCCTCCGCAAATGCCTTTCCCAGCTACAAACTTATATCCTTTTGCTGGAGCTTATCCTGGGGCGCATGGAATGCTGCCCAAAGTGGATGATACATTGCATATACCTCCAGCGCCTTGTGCTGCAGCATTTACATCCTCATCACATAACATGGCCCTAACTGCAGCAATGGTATCACCCAACCCACCTTTAACTCCGATGACGCCTTCCAACATTCATGAACCTCCAACACCTATGACTCCAGCACCATTTCCTGAACAATGCCGGCAAGTTCAACCAACTGAAGAATCTCCAGTTCAGAATATTGATTCTTATAACCATATTCCATCTGAAACTCAAGTCGAACAAGCACCACCTCCATCTCTTCCACCTCCACCACCTCCCCCTAAACCGGCCCCTGGTAAAAAGTCTCCTGCAAAACCAACTAGGTCTTCTGCAAGGGTTATTCAGCAACAGAAATCACCAGCAAAATCACCCGGAATATCACCGAGACAGTTAGAACCTCCCAAAACCCCTTCGAGAGTACGAGAGCCAGGCACCACCAGAGGTAGAGGGGGAAGAGGCAGCAGAGGAGGAGGAACCTCACGAGGTAGAGGAAGGGGTCGAGGTAGAGGAAGAGGTCAGATTCATCAACAGTACCACCATAATTCAGACCCGAATGCTATCCACAGTAAACTGGCAGGAACTGTGTATGACTTTGACTTTGATGATGACATCGATAATAGTTTGGAAAATCTGAGAGCGATGCGTGAGCGTAGACGTTCAACTGATATTCATGAAAGGAAATCATCTGATAGCTCATTTTTGTCAAGAGATTCTTCATCTTCTCCTAAATTTACTAGCCCTCATCACAATTCAAAACTTAAATCAAACTATTCAGCCGATGTTAGGGAACTCAAGCCTCCTACTCCTGTCAGTCGCCTGACTAACCACAATGAAGAGGAAAATGCATCAAGAGTGGGAATTGAAAACTTCCCTGATGTAGTACAACCTATGCTGCCAGGACCTGTAGATATGAGAACTTACAGTTCATACGAACAAACAAGTAGCAGCTTGTACCACGATAACCTCATCGGTGCTTTCTCATCTAACACTGCTGCTGAACATCAAGACTACAGCATAGACGATTTAGAACATCTAGCTCAATCTAACACTTCTCAGAACAAACCTCTGATTGAAAACAAAAAGGATGCTCAAGTACTTCCTCCGACTGACGCTCAAAATGAAATCACCACAAATATCGTAAGAGACCCAATGAACGACTCGCGCAATCAGCTAAAGGTAAAAATTAAAGGACCCTTCCTAGATGCCAACTATGCCTCAACTGTCGTGCCAGCTGCTCAACCTGTGTTGCCCCCGACCGCTCCAGACTCCAGTATATCATCTATGCCATCCTCCGTCAATGCCTCCGGACCATCCAACCTGAGACGGATGCGCAAGAAGGAACTCCTGAGGCAGTACTGGACACAAGAGAACATGGATGACCCAGCAGCTGCTGTAGCTACAGGTCAAACTGCCCCACCTACGGCCGCACCACCTCTCAGTAGAACAGTGATCACTATTCCGAAAGCCGTAGCATCTATGACTAGCATACCCACTCGTGAGGATTACAAGTTCTACAATGCCGGAATAGACACCAGCAACGATAAAAAACGCAGAAAAGATAAACCGTCCGATTTAGATTTTGATGAAGACACTGACAGGAGAAACAGCAATCTTTCTGTCGTGCCAGATAATCCTCATCCGTTCAAGAGAAGAGGCAGACAACCTAAAACAACAACTGTAACCACTCCCAAACTTAAGATCAAGTTTGGCACTACAAACTCTGTTGAATCCAGCGGTCCAGTGGCTCCAAGTAATGACGAGAAAAAGAATCTGAGAGAGAGGCCGCCAAAGAAGAGGTTGAGCAGTGTCCCGATGCCATCTGTGGAAGAATTAAAGAGAGAAAGTATGAAGTTTAGGAAAATGGTAATGGCCGACTTTGACGAAGAAGAGAAGCAAAAGAGCAAGGAGGTAGTCGGAAGTCGCAGGAAGAAGAAAGGAGATAAGAGTTTCACCGATGTTCCTAAAGTGAAAGTCATCACAGACGGAGAAACGCCCAAGTTGATCATTAAGCTCCCCAAGCGCAGTGACGACAGCGGCAGCGGGAGTGTACCTTCGCAACAGACAGTGGTCCCTAGTGATAGTCCACCTCCCCCCTCCCCCACCGCCGCCAGGACTAGTGAGTGTTCCGAGTTAGACAAAGTAAGGACGTCCAAAATAACTCCGATAAGGTTAAAATTTGCCCGGTGCGAAGAAGGTTACAAGATGAAGAAGGAGACTTTAGAACCTAGTAGTGAAGAGACACCTCCTGCAGTGCAGGCGCCGACCACGAGCACCCTCCCGCTCAGTCAAGACTGCGTGGTGAGGTGATGCTAGTGGCAATTTTAAGCAATTTAATAGGTTATATCAACGTTTTATTGTTTTGTTTTATCCGACAGTTTTATATACGTTGATAACTAGATGCGATCTGTTAACCTTCACTAAGTGATGGATTTACGGTTTACTCAAAGTGAGCCTGATGTGTACAGCCTTCGAATAAAGTATATAGCTACTGAAAAGTGATATGGATTTGTAAAATTGTACTTGTTATTATAATATTTATAAAACTGTGAATTACTAGGTCTGTCATGTAAAATTCCTCTTTTGTTTAAATGTATATTTGCACATTGTATGTAAATAAGGTTATGACGTTTTGACGAAAGTGCAAAGGAAAAATAGTGTACAAATGTCAATTACGATAGCTGTTTGTCTGTACTTTATGTAAATACTCTACGTGTCCTATTGTTTGTCGATTGTACATGAATGTGCTGTATTATTTGTACTATTTTTTAGAGTATTTTTTAATATATGTTTGTAAAAAATATAAATATGTCAAATAGATATATTACAGTCTTAAGTGTAATTTGTAAATGAATTGTAAGTAAAGTTTCAATTTAATATTAATATTATTTGTATGTACAGAGATTATATATTATTTTTCCTTTCACAATTTAATAATCCTTAGAAATTAATTGTTGGACAATGTAACTCTATTGATCTTTTGATGACTTGATATTTTGAAATTTGTTATAGTTGAAGGAAATAAAATAGGATTCATTCTATTATTCACTAATATATCCGAACAAAAGAAAATACAGGACATTTTGGGATACAACTGGGGCCACCAATTTGAAACAGTTCCTCCAGGAAATTTTTTAAAATACCAACCAAGAATGATATTTTATTTCAATAGTAATACCAACAAATGAAATTTACCGATTGAGTAACTCCTCGACAGTTAGTAATAGCAACTTATCTTTTACATATAAATTAACCATTAAAATGTTTATATTATACATTTGCACTGATCAAATTAAAATTTTTTTCATCATGGCCCTCAAAATTGAAAAAAATAACACTCAATTCTTTTTGACATACAAAGGACCTGTTTTAAAAAGCATTAAAATTGTAAAAACATTTCTTTTTATTATCTCAACATACTATTTATTTTTTAGAAGTTGTTTGGATGTTTGTAAAACATGAAATATAAAAAAATAGATCTGTAAAGGTTTTAGACCAATTCTACTAGTTTTTGTTTTCACTAATAAGTTTCACCTCTTTCCACTTGTAACGGATGAATTTAATTGGTTTAGAATAGTTGTTTTAACACCAAATGCTTGGTTTTAAACTAATAACAATCCAACGAACACGTCATCCAGATCATACTGTGTATTTATTTTAAAACTAAATTGAATGAATACTCCACTATACAAATTTGGTTGAATTTATTTGTTGATCCTATTATGAACTGTATTTCTTTTAACAAAAACTTTATTCAGTAAACTAACTGAAATTTTGACATTTGTTTCGGATGCAAAAATTAAGCTTTAGGACAACGTATGCTATATTAACTACTTGTTAAGCTGCCGTAGTATTATGTACAATTTGATTAATATATTTCAAATTTAGTTTCAAGTTAAATACTGGCTTACCATTGTAAAAAAGTATAACTGAACAATATTGTTATTTAAATTAATTCCCAAAATACACAACTTGCTTACTATATGATGCTGGATTATATTTTCTCCTTGCAGGTAGATGTCTAATGTTATGTTTTTAATCATTATTCTACCTGACACATACTTTAACTACCGTTGGGTAAGGAAATGATGTCCTTGAGTATTTTTAATTTAAACTTGGATATCTTGTGTTAAAGATTAATTTACAAATGAAATAAATTTGTGTGTGACTTCCAATAAAACATTTTTTTAATGTTATGTAAAAGTTTAATCCATCAATGAAAAGGTCTGAACAAAATTAACAAAAATAAAAAATAATATTTTTTTTTTTTTTGCAACTAAGGGCTAACAGAGGGGTTGTTTGGTGTTCAACAAAATAAGGACAAAGAATATAAGTGTGAAAAACTGTCATGGCGGATTGACATCTCTTTTAATCATAATGGTTGTAGATTTTTAAGATGTCTGAGCAAAGTTATTGATCTCCCACTCCCTTTAGAGGATTTAAATTGTGATACTACTGGCAGTTTAAGAAAGTAAATAATATTTTTGTGAAATTCGTCGGGATGTGCAAATTGTTTGAATGTATTTTTATCATATTTTTAAAAAGTTCTATTTATTCTGTGCCAATTATGTAGATGTTTTTTATGTCAAGCAGGTAATAAGTATCTGACTTTTTTTTAAATATAAGTAGTTATTAATTGTTGAACTAGCATGTTTTTACTTTTTTTGTTTTCCTTTTCCCTCTTAAAGTATATAATCTTATGTGTATTAAAGAAATACTCAAGTTGGTTTGGTTATTCATTTAGTTTCAATCAAAACTTATATTAATAAGATTTACATAAATTACTCCTGTCCCAAATGAAAAATTTTGCTCAAACAATGTTTGACTGTATTTGATTTTTCTTCTCGGTGGATACACCTTTAATCTCGTTTTTATGTACAACAAAAATAATAATCCTTCGAATGTTTTACAGTTATCTGCTGCTGAGTTTCTTAAAAAACAAACATATCGGTTACTTTTAACAGTTAACTTTTGGTCTCAAAATCTCCCTGTAACCACCAGAGCTTACAATTAATATGTCAATATTATGTTTTCATAACTGGATAGTAATACTATAATTGTAGTAATACTATATTGTTCCATGTAAGGTCTTATAAGTTGTCAAACAACATTCAGATAACTCTGCAACAATCTTCATTTGAACAGTCATTTTTTGCTTATACACATTATAAATTTCATTTATGAATTTCTAAATTGAAAAACAGTCAAACGCAGCCTAGAACTTCAACAGTTTGATTAGATAATGATTGTGTTTAAGTACGTAGCATTTAAACTACTATAGATTGTGTTCCTAGACAAAATTTACATTTTAAATGTTTTTTTTTATGTACTCTGTATTATTAATATACTCTAACAAAAATATTAATTGTAGATATAAAACCTACTAATGTGTTCGGGATTCACAAACATTTTTTAGCTCACTCATATAAACAATAGCTACTAAACTTTGAGGATGGTTCTTTTACTTGTAAAATAAATTAATTTTAACTTAACTAAATGATAAATAATATTTATTCTTATTTTGGTAATGTTTAGTCACTATTTTTCCTAACATGCTTACTTGAAGATCTCACTAATTAAAGAGTTTAACAATCAAATGGAAGTTTAGCGATATAAGTAGCATTGTGTAATAAGATTTTAAACTCTAAGGCGCACATTTTACTCCTGTTTTTTTAGTAATAAGCACATTCATGAATACTTGTTTGATTCATGGTTTTATTTATGATACAGTATATTCCTTTTATTCATTTACTAAACAAGAAACACATAGAGAATCGACTACTTAATTTTCAATGTTAGTTATGAAATACTTTTGAATGTATAGTTGATCTATGCTTTTCCCGTTAAATTTGGTCAAAAGAGATAATTATTACTTTTTTCTAGGACAATCTTTTGAATTCTATGTGTTAACTCTCATTAATTAAATGGATTATATAAACCAATATACGTAAAGTAAAATATATTGATTTGTACTTTAAAAATCAATATATACATATATATACCTGTTTAAAGTATAGTAGATTTATCGGAGGGTTTATAAAAATATTCATTTCTAATAATTGTTATCAGTGAATTATTGTTAACATTTATAAATTGCGTCATAGGTTTTATTACTTTTAACTTGAAATTGTATGTTGTTGCTCTCTTGTAACCGATACGTTAATAATATATCTAGTCTCTAAGCTAGCCTTGGACCACAGTAATTTTGACTATATTACTTTAAAATGCTGGTAATTGTTTGTTTTTTACATAGGATAAAAACAGATACTGAGTTCTCTATTAAAATTTTCATCGCCATTTAAAAAAAATGTTTGAGCATGCTGTGGTTTTCTAAAATCAATTGTTAAGTTTTAACGCTGTTGAACCCTTATTGCACAAGAAGTAGTTGATTATTAATCCCTGTAATTAAAGTTACAGATATCTTCTATCTTCTGTTTTCTTTATTTTGTTATCTTTTTCAACTGTAATAGTAATATGTTTAGGGTAAATTTGTACAGGTTATTGTTTTGTACAGAATATATTGTTTTGGTTTTATTTTTTTAAATAATTTTTTCTGGATGTAATATTGTGTATCAGCATATAATTTTATCGACCTCTGTAAATATTAACGAAATGCTGATCTTGTAAGATATAATGTGTTTTAATGTGCACATAGTCTCGTAATACAAATTTTTTTAGTATACATATGTTTATTATTTTTCCTTAAATTGATTGGTACATCATAACCGCCTATGAAGCTATAGCAAGGTTCAATACAAAGCAATAGAGTTTAAAAGGTACATAACCTTTTAATCATTTAAATAGTTTTCTTAGAAAAGTGCTAAAGCAAAGGTTTTACTTTGACTTTGTCTACTTAAACAAATCTATATGGGTTAGCTCAATAATTTTATAGTGTCATATATTATGGTACTAACAAATTTGACTAGTGATCTTAAAGAACTTGGGCTTTTTGGAAGCTCAGTGTTAAAGTATGGCTTTGACAGATGAATCGAGGGAAATAGTTACAGTACTTCGTAAACATTAAGGTTCCAAAAGAGCCAAAAATGACTAATTCAGATGCACAGATGACTTTTAGTACAGGTAAAATTATACTAAAAGACTAGTAGAAAACATAATACTGTAAACGGTATCAGCATTCTGACACATACTTTCTCCCATAAGTTTGTCAAAAACCTTTATCATGTGCAAGCGGTGAGAGTAAATATACGGAAATGGGATTTGTACAATTTTGTTCAGATCTTAAAGGACTATAACATACAAAATTTTTATCAAAATGGTTCGGGCCATTTTTGGGAAAATCAGATTTTTCCGTTATTTTATGGGATTTTTATAAGAAAATAACATAATTTACAATAACTTTTGAACCGTAATTTTTACAGAAATGGGATTTGAACCATTTTGTTCAGAATATAAAGGAATATAACATACTAAATCTTTCGTTTCTACGTCCATCCGTTCTCTCAAATTAGTGGGGACAAAGTTTCCAATTAAATATCCCCAATGTTAATCTTATGGGAGAAACTCCAACTTTGATGGCCTCTGGGGCAAAGCCCGAGGATTTTTATTACAAAAAAAAAAATTGAAAAAAATAAATTGGTGAAAGGGGGCGTCTACACAAAAAATACTTTATTTTGACACGTCGTTTGCAAAAATCCGTCCATTATTAACGGAGGAGTAGTGTTTCGTAGAAATCACCTTCACTATTATATATAAGGATTTGTCTTTAGTTTTTTCCCCAAGGCATTTACCAAATGACTATAATTTGAAGCATTCAAGATTTATGATAACAGTGTAAGCTTGGTGCTATGACTGAATGAAAAGCCACCAATTACTTCAGCAAGTTGATTTTTTTGGTTTAATTGGTTGAAGGGACAGAAAACTAGAATGTAGTATTCAACAGCAGGTCCTACAGTCCTAATGCATATCAACTCCTAATGCATATGCCCTTGCCTATCAACTCCGTAGAGCTTAGAAGGTTTATTTTAAAATTGCTCTTAAAATCTTAAAGGCATAAGGTTCATATGGCAATGCCTAGAATGGATAGCCCCCTTAGTTTTATGTTTGTTCCAAAGTTTTGTTATAAATGGTAGTACAAAATATGGATGCAGTATCTAACTCTTCCAAAGGATGCATTGACATCACTTAACACAATTAATTAAAGCTTTGTTTTATATACAATAGACAAAGCTTTATTGTACATAGCCTGAAACAGTAATTACAAAGTAATTTCCAAGCTGGTACATGTAAATTTAATATCCTAAAAAAATATCCTATTTTCTTAATCTAAGTTATACGACTACACTAACGGTGCAAAGCCAATAAACTTTATTTTCAGAATAGAAGCCTATGAATTTTTATTTTTCCTCCTTGGGCAAAGGGGGGGATTCCTCTTTTCTTAGGAAAATTCTGACAGGAACAATGCGAGGCCCTCTCACATCAAACAACCCATGCAAGTTCAGATTAACTCCAAGATCTAAAACCTAAAACATCTCGTAACCATCGGAGAAGTTATTTGCCAGTGTCGTCCATTTTTTAGGAAAATAATAATCGGAAAAGAAATAAGAAAAAAAGGAAATAGGAAAATTAAATTAAAAGACAGTGATCAATTTAACCTTTATTAGATTTCACCGTCTTCAGTTTTGTGAAGGGTAAGTTTCAACTTTCAACCCCCTAACCTTGATACACCACTGGTGACAATCGTGGTTAAGATCTTACAGATTTCTGTAAGACATCTAGATAAGGGAGCCAGGCATTGCTGAGGTTGTTCACTCACAAAAATACAGTCTACTTCATCCTACTCAACCTCTGTTTAACACCTACTACAAAAGTGGCAACGTCGCAGTCCCGGCCTATGGGAAAAGTTGTGACACTAAAGTCATGTGGAGCGTCTGAGTAAAGCTAATGTGTACACGTTTGTTTTATGATGGCAATAGGCATAGCCATCTCTAGTATATAGTATTACTAGTATTATATACTATACTATATATATAGTATATATACCGGGTGTCCGAAAAATAACTCCCTAGTTTTAATAAACGATTGTTTATTGTAGAGAATACATATTCTTATATCTAATACATGAAATTAAAGAGGGTTTACTCAAGTTTATTTTGACATTAGTACACCTCGATATGTGACCCATTTGTAGCTCTACAGATATCTAACCGGTATTCGATCTCTCTCCAAGTGTTAGTTAACATATCAGGTGTCACTGATTCTACTGCAGCTACGATTCTTTGACGAAGATGGTCAATGTCACGTTTTTTTCTGAATAAACCAAGTTCTTAACGTAACCCCACAGGAAAAAATCCAGTGGTGTTATGTCTGGGCTTCTTGGAGGCCACGCGATCGGGCCAGCTCTCCCCATCCATCTTGCCGGGAAACCGAAAGGTCCTCCAAGAAGCCCAGACATAACACCACTGGATTTTTTCCTGTGGGGTTACGTTAAGAACTTGGTTTATTCAGAAAAGATACGTGACATTGACCATCTTCGTCAAAGAATCGTAGCTGCAGTAGAATCAGTGACACCTGATATGTTAACTAACACTTGGAGAGAGATCGAATACCGGTTAGATATCTGTAGAGCTACAAATGGGTCACATATCGAGGTGTACTAATGTCAAAATAAACTTGAGTAAACCCTCTTTAATTTCATGTATTAGATATAAGAATATGTATTCTCTACAATAAACAATCGTTTATCAAAACTAGGGAGTTATTTTTCGGACACCCGGTATATATAGTATTACTAGAGACGGCTATGCAATAGGCCGTCAAAACGAATACGGCGTTGCCACTGTGTTAAGCGTGCCCTTTTATTTAGAGCAGGATATGGTAATAAAACGCCACATTTGGCAAGGAAGGAGACACGGCGGCTTAATCGTCTGATGTGGTTATCTTCCGAGAGAATCAATTCAATAGGAAGGGCAATGCATAGTGAAAACACAGTGTAATCTCAGTGCCTTTTTTGAGATTAGAAAGAATCACAATAATGACGTTCCTTAAAAAAAATTGCACTTTTATCTTTCAGTTCATCCTTTTAAACCCACCAGGAGTAAGATCCCAAACCCCACGGACATAACGAGTTGCACATTTTCTCTAGTACCATGGCCGTCTCTTCAGGAAATGTATATATAGTTAAGTTAACTTACTTTACTCTCTATAGAAGTTACTTAATTCAAAATTTCCAACTCATTCAAATCCAAATGACAAATGACAGTAACTATATTAAATATTTAATTCAAAAGGTGATTTGGGATTACGTTAAGAATGTTGTCATTGCTCAGTAGTTTTTTCCATTGACTTTATAAAGTAAATAGTTTACTTAATTTTTGGGGATCCTGTATTATGTGTTGTTCTCAGCTTTTCACAAGCGGGGTGTATAATCAATGCTACAGCTTTATAACGTGTTTATAACAGTATCTTGTTGTCCCTTAATCGAGTACGGTACATAAAAAAACAAAGGAACTTTAAGGTTAACATTGTAATGATGTATGGAAATGCACCACTAGCATAAAAATGCCCCGACATAATTTTACGTAATATATTTATTTACTATTGTACAAATCCATAATCTCTCTATTCATTGCGCTCTAGATGTCATAGAGTAATAACAGTGGAGTGGATATCGAACCCAATGGTCCCTTGATATGAAGGCGTGCGTCGTGCGGGGGTGAGAGAAGAGGGTGGAACAGCCTCAATCAATATGTTCGGTCGTGTTTGAGGGAGTGCAATATTCCGGTTGATGTGGGACCATGCAGCCGCCTCCGAGAAAAGTAAGTTTCTTTTCTATCCAGTTTGATTTCGCTGAAATTACCAACTGAAAAACTGAGAAATCTAGTTTTTACAGCTGTTTTTCTTTATCGTTCTATCTTTTTGACAATGGCAAGGAAACTAATGAAACTGTCAATGAAGGTTTGAAATCATAGATAAACCCTGTATTACTATTTGCTGTAGTTTCTTGTGTCATAAATAACTTTTTATTATTGATAATTTCGAATTAGTAATTTTTTCCCCCAATTAAATAAACTTTTGATGGTCGTACACAATTTCCAAATAATTTCTATTGCCTACTTAAACTTCTGCGCACGCTCTGTCCTTTTCTGCTGAAGCAAATTGGAAAATTGCTACTCTTCAGAGTAGTTAAATACATGTGAATATACACAAACTGTATTGAAATTAATTCAACCAATCCGATTACAAACGGTTTCGTTCCTAATTTTTCATTAATACGCGTTAGTTAGTGGGTGGACCTGATGAGAGCTGAGTGTTCGTTGACGGACTCGATCGGTTTTGAAAATCGTAAATTGATCGTATACCTACTGTAGGCAGAAAGAATGTTAGGTACTAATGATGGGTCGATATTAGAGCACCAGCTGATATGTATGTCAACAAGATTTAACCTGATTTGTCGTGCCCCACCTTACTGGGTCAAAGGGCAATTAAGAGCTCTTCTAATAATTCTACCGCTTTGTAAAATAATAATAAGAAAAGTTTTATTTGACCTTGTTAAATTATTATTTTGCTGTAGAAGCTGGTCCAGCTGTATTTATTATAAATAACCCACGTCGCACACAATTTATACTATAAAATTAAGTAGCCCGGTGAACCTTGATTGAAAAATTAAGTTTTTTCCAAAGTATATCTTGAAAATTTGGTTGATACTAATTAAGTATCAAAGCTGTACTAATAAGTATATCCCTTTTAAATTTAATATTATTACAAACGTCTAAAATAAAACACTACTTCAAATTTTAAAAATCGTGTTAATTGTCAGCATAATTAATGTTCAAATTACTATAAAATAGAGTTAATAGTGAACTACTTAGTTTTGACACAATAAATAGATTCTCCGTGATTAATTTCTAACCATAACACAATAACGATAATTTTAATTAGTAGGTGTAATTCATCGGTACATTTCGATTACAGGTGCATTTTTCATGTTTGCACAAGAACGTGGTGGTACAAACCCTGGAAAATTACTTTTTATGATCGCATTGTTCAAGAGTATCATTAAGTGAAAATACCTGGCCTGGGCCCATGTAATTATAAAACTTTACTGGTAGAATAATCATAGATGTTTTCTAGTGTATTTGTTTTCCATTTGGTGTCCAACATTTTTCTCCGTAACGCCTTTTACATGACACTCGATTATTATTTCCTTTACAACTACACATCTTTGTGAAAAGTGAAAATATGTTTCTTACATATTTCCAAAAGTGGGGGTTTTGACTTATTTTATTTGTAGTTTATAACATAAATACAAGCATTAATTAAAATATAAATATTACTTACAATCAACCAACTGCAGTTATTGAAGTATAAGTGTTTAGATAAAATAAAACTATATAATCATAAACAATAACTCGTCCTCTAGTTATATAACCAAACAGCTAAGCACAAATCATAAAATTAAATCTAAAATAATGCAAACAAAATTTCGTCAACACTAGCGCCCAGTGTGGCGTACATGAACTAGACATGAAAAACGAGCTTCAAAATTTACAATGGGATGGGAAGTGTACTTGTGTTGGTTTGTCGTCTATGGTAATATCATAGATAAAACCATAACTAGTTCATTAGTAGATTTCTCATCCTTATGGGACAGCTGAAGCCAATTTTATTGATAGTTCTGTCTGGTTTTCTGTAGATGTCTTGTTTTGTTTACAATTTGTTCCTATTATTTTAGTGTTAATTTCTCATTATTTGTGTCTCACTGTTTGGTTATATAGCTAGTGGACGAGTTATTGTTTATGATTAGATAGATTTATTTGGTTAAACGAGTTTTTTAAATTACTGAAATAACAAGAAACAAAATGTGAACAAATCACGACATCTACAGAAAACCGGACAGAACTAACAGTAAAATTGGCTTCAGCTGTTCCATAAGGTTGTGAAATCTACTAAGGGACTATTTTTTATCTATTGGTGTTCCCAGTTTTATACAGTAAAATACTATAGTTTTTGACGAAATAATAAACGGCATATTGAGAAATTTTGTATGCCAGTTAGCCAATTAAATTTTTAGATTTCAAAATAATCCTTAATTTTCTATAGTGAACTTAGATCGCTTGTAAAAAAATGTATAACCAGTGCCACTACCTAGCACAGATATAAAGTCAATGCTAGCACTAAGCTCTATAATCAATGCTATCGGTCTAATTTAATGAAAAGCTGAATGCTGGATATTTACAGTAAATAAACAGCTGTTTAAGTTTTCTACTTCCACTCCACTCCACTCATTGCATATTTTGCAACATTTCTCATTGTTTTGTTTTCGTTTTTTTTCGTTATTGTTTAAATGTTTATGTTTTGAAAATGTAAAGTGCAAAGTGCTCTAAGGAGAAAGAGTTAAAAGTTAATGCTACCACAGTTTTTATTACAGTAATTCTTTGTTTTTAATTCGTAAAACTATTGTTTTGTTTTATTGACTTATGTTTTTGCAACTCTGCCGATTTACAACTTACATCGGTAACTGTCCATCGTTTCTGGGTAAATGTGGTAAATATGACCTCTACCTCTACAGCAAGCTATCTTGTGGCTATCTTGTTTAGGTGTAGAAAAGTAGTGTAATAAGGTATAATGAGGATTATTCAGTTTGCTAGGAAACAAACAAACTTGCTTGTTTTATTTTTTTTGTTATAATCTACATCTTTCTAAACTTTTTATGACTTATGCATTTAATCCATAAGTAGGCCTAATACAAGTCACTCTAGAACTTGTTACAGTACCATTTAAAACCACAACACTTCACTTTAAGAAAATTAAGATAAGTAAGCCAGCTAACTTAACCATTTTATTCACCTAACTTATTCTAGCCTAATTGGTATTTCTTTATAAAATCATCACTAAGTTAAGTTATTCAAGTTTTCGAGTACACTTCCATATCTGTTGGCACAAACAACCGAATGAGTAATATTGGTTTTTCGATTGTTTAATTCGATATATCGTTTGGTTAGTTAAGTTAGGTTAACCTTACCTAACTAACCAGACGATATATTGAATAATCGGTATATCGATCGATATTTTTATTCGGTTGTTTGTGCCAACGGATATGGAAGTGTACCCAAGTTTTCATGTTTGAGTTAAGTTTAAGTTATATCGGCCTAAATTGAAAGAGCTGTAAAGGCTGTTAAATGTATTTTGTATCTATGAAAGATGCCTTTTAAAATATAATTTTAACCAATGGAGAAATTAAGCTAGTTTAGCTTATGCCAAGGCCTATCTAACTTGTAGCCTATATTTAATTATGTAGGGCGATTCTTTTCGTAGGTAAACATTGTGGGTGACTGAGAAGTCATAGAACGATGGGAGAGGGCTTAAATTAAAGGCCTCTATCCCGTGATAGTGGGAAAACTAGTGAAAATCCTAAAATATTATAACAAAATAAGATATAACGTAAAATGTGCCCCACAAGAATAGTATTAGAGCCATTTAGGCCTACAGGTAGTTTTTGTTTAAGGTACTTCAATAGGCCTACAGCTGATCATGATTTAATACCAAGCCAGCATGCAATATTAATATTTGCATCATCACTTATTTGCCAGTCTACAGTGTACTCTATCTAACTACAATATAAAACTAGTGCACCTGTTTCTCAAATTCGAGCAATTGCAAAATATTAAAGGCTTTTAAAACGAATAACAGTCACAATTTCCGTTGACTTAAAAGAGTCAACTCAAAGATAATGTAATCAATCACTCCACTCCAGTTATCAAAACTGAAAACGAACTCACTCTGAAAACGAACATTCTTGTATGTATCATGTGTTTACTATGAACAGCTGTAATTAATACAAACTAGTGTACTTGTTGCTCGAATTCGAGCAATTGCAAAGTATTACAGGAGTTATTTTGAAACGAATAACAGTCATATTTACCATTAATTTAAAAGAGTCAACTCAAGATTACCGGTGTGTAGCTCAGACCATTTTTATCTTCGTTAATGATAAACCTAAAGCATTCCTGCCGGTTTTCTCTTTCTCAAAATGCCTCGCTGTACAGGCAACACAGGTCATTGATAGAGGGCCAATTGAGAACGAAAAGTCGTTTTGGGGTAGTGTTAGGGCGCATTTGTAACCTAATAGTTGAGATTGTCCAGGGTCAGGTGCTGACTGTGATGAGTTAAGCCTGTTACGCGCCACTGTTCTGTAGCTGCGTTCGTTATCACTCCTGTCTATGTTTCGTTGTCGTCACGGCGGAGGCATTTAAAAGAAAAAAACAACAAATAAACAAATTATAGCTACACAAAACAACGATAAATGCACAAATTTAAGTTACAATCATACTAACACGATCCTTCATAGCGACACAAAACAACGATAAATACACAACTTTAAGATACAACCATACTAACACGATCCGTCTTAGGGGTTATGTTTAAACAAACTCAAATCTTACTAATATTATAAATGTGAAAGTTTGTGTGTTTGTTTGTTTGTTTATTTGTTTGTTTGTTTGAAGTTCAATCACGCTTTAACTACTGGTCGGATTGGGCTGAAATTTTGTATAAATATAGCTCACATTCCCGATTAACATATAGACGTATTCATATCTCAAAAATCTTTTCGGGCTCCACCCCAGTGGCTCTGGAGTTTCCCATGTTAACCTTATGAGTATTCATATTTAAAAGGGATTTTTGTCAGCTGTTTCAATTACACAAGTTGTTCTATGATATTCAATATTATTAAAAGTTATAAGGTTCACCAACAGGATACATTTTTTCATAATTTGAAGCTGTGATGCACAATGAGAACTGTTATAGTAGGATTGTTTACAGTTAAGCTTATGTTTTTATTTATAAATTATGTTTTTATATTGTGCGAACATTCGATAATTTACTTTTTCATTGTTTAGGTGTAGTGGTAGAACATTATGGCTATGGTATATGTGCTACACTATAGCTTCCGTAAATTAAAAGAACCAAATTTTATCAAACCGTGTCCTCTTTTCTTGCAATCACAAAGCATTAGTATAACTGCAATAAGCATTTTATACTTATACGCTAACCCCGTACGAAGGACGGGTATTCAGCTAGTAGTAAATAAATGTACTCAATTTGTTTCATTGAATTGAAAAATAACAGCAATTAAATTATACAGCTGATCAAAATGTAAACAATTATGTTCTCCATAAGGATTACATGGGAACTTTCAAAGCCACTGGGGCAGAGCCCAAGGGACTTTTTCAAAAATGTAAGGCCAGTTTGCAAATCTACGCGACACGCTCTTTCCAATGAGACGTCAATGGATAAAATCTGTTAAGAAATGGCTGAGGAGTTCAACCGACAAAGTTTCATGTAGCGTATTAATTATATAGATTATTCGTCTGTTTAAGTAGCCTAAACAAAATCTTTTCTTCATAAGAAATACATTGGGATTTTGATGGTCTGTGGGGCAAAGCCCGAAGACTTTTATTACAGGAATTTGTGAAAGGGGGCGTCTACACAAAAAATACTTAGGCCTAATTTTGACACCTCGTTTGTAAAAATCCGTCAATTATTAACGGAGGAGTAGTGTTTTGTAGAAATCGCCTTCACGTATTATATATAAGGACTAGGGATAACGTTACCTATAATTCAGTCTTCTCATTATGTCTTAAAATGTTGAAATCAATTATTTTACCATGCAATTTTCAAATGTTTGTTTTAAAGTAAATTAGTTAAGCATATATGATAAGTAGTAGAATCATGGCAGTTTGCTCAAGTCGAAGGAGTTGAACTTAGAATGGTTGAAAAATAATGAAGTTACCGGTACAAATATTTTAACTGAAAATTTGGGGGTAGCGGAATTGTATCCCCCTGGAATTTTACCCCCTGAACAAAACTAGTGTCACAAACCAGGGGGTAAAATTCCGGCCGCAAACTTTTGAGTTGCACAACGTATATTTTCATGGTTGAGAATTTAATCCGAACACATCAAATTATCAAACCTATAGTGTACGGTCATATACCTCAAAATTGCATATGTACAATAAGATTTCAAGTCTTCCTTTTTAACTCAGTTAATGTTGTAAAAGATAAAGCAAGGCTGAGCAACAAATCAGATTCTTAGTTTCTGTCAAGTTTGTATTAAATCTATCTTTTAAACAAAAATACTAAAAGATTGTTTTATTTTCATGGTTTTTGATAATGACTAATAAATCATTGATTGAATAAGAAATTGATGATAAAGAATTTTAGTTGAAACTATGTTGCAGTGGATTTAATTTTTTAATACCTATATATGTTTAAAAAGTAGAACATCTATTTGTTTTTACCTACTAAAAATGAAAAGTAATTTAAAGATAAATTGTCCCTGGTAAGAAATCTAACAAAACAAGGGTAGTGTTGTTGATGACTTGGATCAGAGGGGTGACTTGTGACTTGGATTTTTAAAATAAATCTTCTCAGGTTGTAATAATGCATCAATCAAAATAGGTAAGGAGCCGGGACTTCTTAGTTTTCCTGCCAGTCAGTCTCAGTCAGTGCCGTTGGTCGGGTTATGTGTTGTAGGCCTACATGTTTAAATGTTTTTATTCGTTTATTTATTTTGGTGTCATAATGTAAATATTTTCGTATTTGAAGTAACATCTTGTCGAGTCCAAATTGGATATAATGTTTCTGTAACCACCTGAGAATGCCATATATGGCGAAACATATGTAGTGGACTTCAAACACTAGCTACATTTGAACTGCAAGACGACGTATGTCAAGTTTAGTCTAAAATCTAAAGAGTTAAATAATTACTAGTCAGGACCAGAGGAGAACACATCCCAAGGTTATCACGGAGGTGTAAAGTTTTATACATAGGTAGTCAGTTTGGCGATTGTGGGCTGAAGGGTCTAATGTTTCAAAGGAAACCTTAGGAAGTGCAATTGTATACCGAGCTCCATGTCTTTAGCGCTAAGAGTCAGTCTTTGTAGAGTAACCCCCTTTAATTAGTTTAGGAGTGTAACTTAGGTTGTTTCGAGGTAATTTTTTGTTGTAATGTTTGTGTCTATTGGCAGACTTGAAAATTGTGGTTGGAAATGGGATGCCTCCAATCCATGTTTAAAATGTAGGTCTAACTAGAATGTTTACTGTTCCTTCTCGGAGGTCTTAAAATGACCTTAAATGGCTGTTAATATACAAATAAAATGTGTGATATTATCTACTGAAGGGGCCATATTATTCTATTGAAGAATATCTGGGGGGAAAATAGGCCATACAACTTTGATGACCACGGTGCAGCTGGGCTTCCAATGGGAGATAAAAAAATACCTTCCACAAAGTAGTAGGCCTATTAACTTTGAGCAGCGAAAAAATTATACATCCAGTAGTAAGCCTAGGAAGATAAAATATTGAAAGTATTTTTATCAAACCAACTTTAAAATGATTAATCAAAATTTAAGTTCAGCTATCCATAGAAACTTTATGAAAAAACTAATTGAAAATTTACCCTAATCTATTTTTATTTTTACCCACTGTCTATAAAAGCCTTTGTTTAAGGAGCATAAAGTATTAACTGTCTTTGTATATATTGGATTGTTGAATGTATATCTCTGAAGTAATTTGGATGATTTCCCTACAAACGAATCTGTACATTACCACAACACCACCTGGGCAGCACTCTTTTCTCAGAATAAATCTGTGTAATTTTAAGACTACTATTATGAGTTTGGGAAAAAAGCTTTTAACTTGCTGCCAAGAAATATAAAATGTCTGAATTCTAAGTCTTTCAAGAACACCATAGTAGCAATGTTATGACGTAGTTTAGCTGTATTTAATGTTGATGCATTTTTAGATAGTTTAATTTAATTAAAATAGTTTTAAAACTTTTACCATGGATAATATTTAAGATATTCTTTGTACGTTTGATGGTGGTATACAATGTATTTTGTTTTGGCAATACTCAATTTGATTTGAACATTCTAAGCCTGTAATGGATAATGAGAGTTGAGTGATGTTTTTGCTTTAATGGATATTTGAGTATCTTATAATGTACATTGATGTCAATAACCAAGATAATGTTAGCCTACTGTAAAATTCGACTCCATGTTAAAAAATAATGTAACGGACTACCTACTATTATAAATAAGTTAATTGTTTATTAGTGTTTTCAGGGACCAATTAAAAGTACATATAATAACAAAACCTGAAATATCTCTTTCCAAAACAAACAGCCTGTTTCAGTACTGGTTGCCAAAGGGTAGGACAATACTTCTTGGCAATAAATATGATTAAAAAACAGTAAACATCAGTTCCTTTATTAAATGCCAACACAGCACTTTATTCAAAATCAGCACTACCAGTACTTTTTCTCTATAACACAATAAGATTATCACCCAATTATCTGTGTTCTCACCCCTCCACACTTTTAATCTCTATTGCATTAGGGTTAAGCTCAGTGCTGGATTTAGGATACTTGCGCCCTTAGGGCCCTATTACACTAGGTCACCAGGCGACGTCACCGGTGACCTAGTGTAATACGGCCCTTAGGCCATAACTCGAGGGCCCCCCCCCTATGGCGGAAATTCCCCGCAACAGCGGCGAAATCGTGAAAATCTCCTACGATGTGGGAGATGATGATATCACCCACGATCAAGAAGAAATCATGAACATCTCCATTGAATCAAGGGGACATCATCATCATCGTCACCCGCGTTTGTGGATGAATTCGTGGACATCTCCTCTAAATCAAAGGAAAGCCATCATCGACAACCGTGATCCTGACAAAATTGTGAACATCTCCCACAGGCCGCCGTGATGAAGACATCATCATCGACACCCTCGACCTCTGGGAAATCCCATGAATACATCCCTAAATGAAGGGAATGTCATCCATCACCAACTCCCACGACTGCGGCAAAATCGTGAACATATCTCACGAGCCGCAATCACGGAGACATCATTATCTAATTGATCAATCATAGCTAATTGATAATTTCAAAAAATAAAAATTTATTTTTGTTCTGAAGGATTTTTGTTAATCCTAAGCGTCCTCCTTTTGCCTGCGGTCATTGCCATGGCCTAGTGGTAAATCCGGCACTGGTTGAGCTTCTATTTCTCAAAGTAGATATATATAACTGCAAGGTCTGCTGTGTCTAAAGAAACTCCCAGATTCTTCAAAAGTACAAAGCTCCCAATAATAAACCAGTTTAACCAAACAAGTCAATAACCTTGAAATTCCAATATAAAACTGAATTAAAGTTAAAAACTGGATGATAGTCAAAATTTTATGAATTTTTAATCAGAAACATTATACTTATTTAAAGATTTATGCAATTTATTCCAGTTAAAATATTGTTTTTTGTTTCAGGGCAACTATGCAAAGTTCCTTAAGAATCTGCATACAGAGCAGCTTGCTAAGCTTCAACTTAAAAACCAAAATGAATGTGAACTTCTTGAAGATATTAGGTGAGTATTATAATTTTAAAATAATTGCAAGACTAGATTGATTACTAGGTGAATAAATACCGGTAATTAAGTATAGGAAATCTAGACTTACAAAATTTCAGCAGGTCAGGGGCCAAAGAATATGAATTGAAATCAAACAATTTTACAGATAGATTCCTCTTTTAAGTAGGTTACATCTCCACTTAAATATGCTTCCAGCTGTCGTAACGAAATTGGTAAGTCCAAACATTACAAATAATCTCCAAAATTACCTATAGGCCTATCATAAAAATCCATTAAACATGCAGTAGTACATTTTGAACTAAAGATATATTATGTCATTTACACATGTAGAATTGGGTCAATTAACTTGTTTGAGGATATACTTGAAATATCAAGAATTTGTCCAATTTATTTTTTCAGACAGTAAAATATTTGCTTCATAATAAGAGATTGTCTCTATCCATTGTTTCTGGTCTTTGATGTGTTTTTTTGTTACCAAACTCCATCTAGGGGTATGTATCTTCCATACAAATGATAATACCTCTGATGTAGCTAAACAGAGGAGGTGCTGGTTTTTATTAAATGAGTTTAGTACATGCTCGAAACTTGTGAATAAGTTACAAGGTACATATTCTCTAGTTTAATACCTTGTTCACAGTATTTATTGTTGCATTACATTCTCATCTTATAGGACTACTCCGTTCACAAAATATAGGCGATTTGAGGAGGAGCCATTCCACCCCCTCCTCCTCGCCCTAACTTTGAAACAACAGCCGACAGCTGATCAGCTGATATTAAGCCTACATTAAGCTTCAAAAAGTGGTGGGGGAACCCAAGAAACCTTCCAATTAAACCGCCTAAATTTTGTAAACGGACTATATTGAAAGTTACCCTTACCAATCTACAGTTATTGAAATCAATCACATCACAGGACACTTAAGTATACCTAATCAACACAAGTTTTTTGTGTGGTTTATAGTGTTAGAGCATTATATAGCTGTGTGATATTACCGCGGTATGAAACAAACGTATATCAATCCCTTGAAAAGCTAAAATGGTAGGGTGAAGAGGGTTGTATTCAGCATATTAACTGGTTGAGCTCACTACAATAGAATGTAGGCTACAATACACTAGAAATGAAAATGTACTGGGATCTGGAACTTTTATGGATTTTCTAACTACTAAAAAGGCCCTAATACTTGAAAGAGTCATACATTTGGACCTTAAATGCCAGTAGTGTTTCTATTAAATGTAAATTTACCCTTAATTCATTGTTCAGACATGTTCTTAATTTTTGTTTTAAAGCTTTAGCACAAGAACCTATAATTTTTATATTTTATTTGTGTAAAAAATACAACTTTTCTGTCATAGCCTATACATTTCCATTTTGCAAATTGTTCAAGTTTAAAAAAGAATAGTGATTGTATTTCAAACAAACAGAAATCATCATTTACTAAATAGAGTCAACGCACATTTATTATTAAGAGTAATTTATTACGCCTCTCAACAATACCATATTAAACAGAGGATTCCAAACAAAGTTTATCATGGAGCTATTAATAATAACTTTATTTAATAAACCTACCCTCTGTCATTTTGATATTTACTAATTAATTGGCCAAGAGAAAGAGTGTTGCATTGTTGTGTTTTAATGATGTGTATATTAGTATTTTTACTTACAAGATTCATTTTCAATAAAGTGGACAACTTGTTACGTTATTGTATATAACTGATAAGCTACGTTTTCTTTCAGGAATTTTATAATCAAACGCTCACAAATAGAAAAATCTTACTCCGAGGTAAGTACTGTAAAAAATTATTTATATTTTTATGTAAATAAAACTAAGAACTTAATTACCGGTAGCTAAAATTTTGCTAAAAAAATCTATTTTCTCAAACGTAGCTACAAGCCAATTTTTCCTATATTGACCTTGTTATAAATGAATGGGTCCACTCCATATGCTTTAAACGTTTTTAGGTGAAGCAACTAATTTATTTTATCATCTATCTATCTATATATACAGGGTGACCCATGTTAAACGTGCAGTACTGAAGATTTGTGGATGCAGATACACTATTCTCATGATACTGTGCGTTTGAAATGAGTTTTATATGGGCAATTGGAGTTTTTGGTTAATTACTAGAAAACGACCAAAGATAGACGGTAGGTTTAAATTTAAAAGTTGTTTGTTTTTACAAGACCTTAAAAATGATACACAATTTTACATATGTTGCCATTTAAAATTTTTCATTTACAGGGCTACCAACTTAAAAAAAAATTAAAATCATAGAAAAAATATTTAGTTTTTAAAATGTTGACTTGTTGCATATCAAATTAAAGCTGAACCTACGAGGATTAAAAATTTTCAAACAGAACGAAAATAAGTTTAGTGGTTTTCAAGATACAGGGTATTCTGTATCAATATTTTCTATAAAAATGGCCGCCATTTTGAAACGGACAAAGATAAATGAGTTCTGTTTTCACTAAATTGTTTTTCTAGTCTAGAGCTTTAAAATGATGCATAACGTGACATATGTTTACATTTGAAAACTCTGAGATTCGAACCCATGACCCCCAGTTTCTTGAACACCCTGTATTTTAAAAATGGTAAAAATATTTTTACGTTGTTCCTTGGGTACGAATTAGGGGGAAAAGATTTGTTTCATCTCTGTATGTCAAGCCGTTCGTCTGTAATCTGTTTAGGACAGCTTAGAAGATTCACCCTGTATATCCAATCCAATGTATGTTTGTTTGTTTGTTTGTTTGTTCTTTATGGACTCCGAAACCACTTGATAGATTGTAATGAAACTTTCAGGCATTATTAAGCATTATTCAAGGATGTTTTGTGTGAAGTTTGGTGCAAATCCGTCAAAAGGGCTCCGCCTCAGTGGCTCTGGAGTTTCCCATGTTAACCTTATGAGTACTCATATTTAAATGGAACTAAATAATCTTAACAGCTGGTTCAACTAAACAATTTGATTCTGTGATGTTCAATAGCATTAAAAAGTTAAAAGGTTTACCAACAGGGTGCAGCACTATTATTTGTTTAAAAGTATGACAACAGCTAATTTGCAACCAAAAGGTGAGTGAGCGTAGCAAACAAACTTCAACCTGGAGGCGAGTTAGCGTAGCGAACAAGCTAACCTGAAGGCAAGTGAGCGCAGCGAACGAGCTTCAACCTAAAGGTGAGTGAGCGTAGCGAACAAACTTTAACCAGGATCACATCCTGGTTAAAGTTCGTTGAGCCATACGAACGAGCTCATCTTGAAAATGAACGTGCAAATTACATAAAACCACATTGGGACAGGACGACGTCTGTCGGGCCAGCTAGTATTTTTATAAAAGCCAACCGATTTTACTGGGCTATAATTAATGCATACTAATACCGTGCTTTTTGAAAACGTTTATACACATGATGATGAATCTTTAATGTTTTAAGATACATAATAATATGTTGTACAAACAGAGCTTTGTTCTTTCAGGCACTTCTGAAGATTTCTTCAGCGTTCTTAAACAAGAAAATACCCAATATTCCTGATATAAAGACAGAAGGGTCAGAAGAAAAATGGTAATGTTGGAATTCCTAATAATTTTACATAATTTTTAGAGGTGTGCACCCTAGAAACATTAATGTAAAGAAAGAATATACTTTATGGATGTTTATAGCTGAATTCTGTTTTGCTAGATACAAATAGGCCTATTATCTAAAAGTGCTAGATTTAAAGTCCCACATGTTGACACTAAATAGCATTACTTACTTCTTCATTGGATTGCTGATGTATGCATAACATAGTTGTGTTTAGAACACATACTAATCATTAAACAACAGTTACAAGGTACTTAATATGTCACAATTTCTTTTGCGTAGTATTCACTTTATCATGGACAAATTTTGTAAATCTATTATGTTATGTTTAGGTTTTGAACCCTAAAACATTGTTCCAGGAACATGTGGAATGTTTGGCGAACTGTGCTGGAAGAAAACGAGAAGCTCGCACGAGCTCGTCTAGCCGCTGTCGAGGTCTTCTCTCAGCACGTGGCAGACGATGCAAAGATCCTGAGAAATCACAAAATCATCAGTGCTAAAAAGGTAGGTAAAAGTTTTACAACCTAAATACACAATACAAATCCTTAGCTTAAGAGTTAACCTGAGTCCCGAACCCACATCTAGATAATATATCAACACTTACAAATAGCATAGAGATCAGGGTTAAAGGGTCAAGTCTTTAGTATTATTCAGGAAATATTGAGAATTGATTTTGATTTTAAGATCATTTTAGCATCATCTCAGAGGAACATTTGAAGAAAAAAGAGTGCATAGAGTTGGTGTTAAGCAAGGTCATGGGTTTGTATGTGACAGGGATTGACTGGTCTAGGGGTAAAGTGCCAGACCCGGGTCTAGTAGCAAAGTGTCAGACCTGGGTCTAGTGGTAAAGTGTCAGACCCGGGTCAGCAGTAAAGTGCCAGACCTGGGTCTAGTAGTAAAGTGCCAGACCCGACTCTAGTAGTAAAGTGCCAGACCCAAATGTTCGAAACGTACCGGAAGCTGTAGGTCACCTAAAAATGAGAACTAGATATGTATCTTTCATATTAGGGAATCTTTGTATGACAGTTTTGTATTTGTTTGATCTAGACCGTAGATCAGTTGGCAACCGTACAGAAAGAGCTGCAAGCATGTGTCCTAGATATTGATAAAACAAAAAAGCTCTACTTTGATGAAGAACACAGTGCTCATGATGTACGGGATAAAGCAAAGGATATTGAAGAAAAGTGAGTAAATAAATGTGCCACCTTTACTTTCTTCCTTAATGTTTTAGTACCTTTAGAGGAAATATTATTTTTTAACTATTTTTTTAAATTTAGATTTTTGGTACACCTGAGTCTAAAAGTGGTCCTAACATTGTCTGTATTTTCATGAAATTTAGTAGACGAGGGGACCCGGCACATTTTAATAAGGCTCAAAACATGTTTAGGAGGCAAAACAAATCCAACGAAATACCCTTTCACCTATAAAAAATTATGTTTGTTTAAGACAGTTAGGTGAATAAAACTACTATTTTAGAATAAATTAAATTTGAGTGATTTACCATCGTCAATTAGGTTCCTACTATTATCAAAAGTAGTCTATTTAAAATTCATGTTCTTATAACTGTTTCATCTCTTGTTTTTCTAATCTGTCTGTGGTTAAACATTCAACTGAATGATTAGCTGTTAAAATTACAATTCACATTTCAAAATGTTGTAAAGAAAGTTGGTTAGCATCACTGGACTGGATCCATCAAAGCTATATCTAGAAATAAATCAAACACTATGGCGACAAAGCCCTAAAGGGAATCACCCTTTTAGTTACCATTCATCACTCGTCTAGACAATAAGCTTTAAAATGACACATCAGTTGTAAAAACTGAAAAATGGATGACACAGAGGAAACTCTTGCTGTGTTATAGATAATTACAAAACTACTATATATCTGAGTTCAATTTTGTCTTTGATGGGTCAATTACCCTATAAAAACAGATTTTAAAAACAGCTCTAACAAGTTTGATTAGGTGATTTTTTTAAGTTTACAGAAATTTTCCCTACAAACAATATTTATATTTGTAACACGATGGTACAAAAGTTATTACAGTTAATGATTATATGAAATTTCTTGAAGTAGTTTTATAATACATAGATTAGATGATATATCCATTGTTCGATATGTTGAAACTGTTGTTATTTTTTAATTGACATTTTAATTTATTTTCTTTGTAAAAGTGTTTTGGAAATCCCGTTTTATTCCACAACTGCGGTAAAATATATTTAAAATGTGTTTTTCGCTGAGGGGGAAAAGGTAAGTGACAGTTTTTGAAACCGTTTATTTAATGACAGCACGTATATTTTGTAAATGCACGTATGTTTACAGAAGAACAAAATCATCTTATTGCTCATTCACACTTGACTGCTTATCTACACAATTTATTAATGAGTGAAGTAAATTTTTTGTATTAAAAAAATTAAAATCATGATTGACAGGTGTATTGATTTTGATTGGACGAAAAGTTGTGTGGATTAAACCCCTTTTACTGCTATTGAAGCTTCCCAACAACTATTCTTAGTGAATAATTTTGCTGCTGAGTGGAAACGATACTTGTACATTGGTTTGACTATCGACAAAACTCTTGTTCTTTAAAGGTTGATTTAAATATACTCAGTCGGGACCCTTGGTTTATAGACCACTTGTGTAGAGTAATTTATCTTTAACTAAGTCCCATTCAACGTTCTGCTTTGTTCTATGGTTCTGCATTAGTTTCTACCATGATTGTTACATCTTCTAAAGAAGGCCATCCTTATCTATTTTGCTGAGGATGCGGAAATTTCGAAGGTATTCTTTTTGTGGCCTTACAATTTTAATTCCGATTCATTTCTACCTCATAGAAGTAATTGTCTATTTCCACTATTGACCAATTTGTGACCATAAACATGATCTCAGCAAACATAATCCACACTATTAGACAAACCAAAGACATCTTTGACTTTTTAGATATTAAAACATCCCTGCCATCTTCAGACTTTAATGAAGCTTTGTGCATCATTGACTGGAAAATCACTTTTTAAAGCTTCCAATCTTCCATAAATAACTATTTAATCAAGGAAGTATTTTTTACAATACAGGGGAGGTCTTACAAAGACTGTTAAAAGGCAATGCTATATTGAGTGGTATCAGTTTTCAAAATTGTAAATCACTGTAATGTAAAGGTAGTTTTTGTTTTAAAATATACTCTACATTGAAAATTCCTTTGTAGACTGGATTTGCAATAGAGATTTGAAATAAAATTTCTTAGATTTGAAATAGTTTTGAGACCCTAAACATGTTGTTTGGAGCCTTAAATGAGTTGGATCAAGTGAGGAGGAATTTGTAGATAACCCACAGTCTTTCTAATCCTACTGCTTTTATAGTACTGGCTACGCAAACACTGAATTTCCCTCTGTTTTGATGTAGACACAGTATTATTCTGGAAGGTCTAATCACAAAGTTGAACGTATTGGCAAAGTATATGAAATCAAGGATGTTGTATATGGCGAGTAAGATTTGTAACGAAAGATAAATCCAAAACTCAAAATTGAAGATCATTATAGTTTCATTGAAAGCAGCTTTACACGCTTTTTTCTCATGAAACTTACCATTGTCTAAGTCAATTGTTAAATGACGAGCAACTGGAGTAAGTGATTTACTTTTAACATTGTAAATATTGGTTGGATAAATCGAATGCACAAAATTTGTTTAATTTTCCTATTTCTTTGACTTTTTTATGAATTGACTTAACTGGTTACGCTTTTTTATGCTTCAAATGCCTTTCAGCCATTCTGACAATGTACTTATGTAGTACGTGCTTTGACAATGCCACGTCTTGTATCATAGCTTTGCTTTTATTGAAATCTATGTTACAATAAAGATTTATTGATTTAGATCTATGGACGATGCTGCTGGGATAGTATGGATCAAATTATGGAAAACAAATTCATGTGATGAAGATCATTCTATATGTATTTTCAAAGTAATTTATTTAAATCAATCATCAAATAAAATCTTAAATGTACTGGAATTTTGTTCTTTTTTACAGGTTGAAGAAGAAGAAAGGTTCATTTTTCCAATCGATAACTTCACTTCAAAAAAACAGTGCAAAGGTATCTTTACTATCAAAATATAGCTACTTTAAAAAAAAACAAAAAAAAACAAGCCAATTGAATTGTAATGAGTTTAAACCTTTTAGCTGACATTGAGGGTTCATACACAGTTGCTTTAAACTTAAACCAGGTTTAAACTGAAATCTCTCTTGCAAATACAGTAGACTCCCTCTTATACGGACGGACACATTTTAACCACACATCGGTTTAGCCGGACTACACTCGGCGGAAATGACATCTCTTTAACCGGACAATTTTTATCAGCACATCGGTTTAACTGGACTAGATCAGCAGAAAGTGGGCGGTACTGAAACGACTGTTCTCGTGGGAAAGATTTGAGACCAGTGATCACGTGTCTAAATAAAACGCTCTCCTAAATTTAAGTCAAATACTGTATACAGTATGCATTTAAATGGTACGTTTTAACGAGTTTTTGGGGACGTAGGTTTAAGCGGAAAAACTGTTATCTGAACTGGCTTCGGTCCTGAAAAGTCCGGATAAGAGGGAGTCTACTGTAATACTTTATCATCAACCCCCTAGTGTATACTAAAAACAAAATAAAAGTAATAATGCAAACCAAAAATTATATCTGGGAAATGCTAAAGTTTACTGAAATTAAATCCTAAATTTCAGGAAAAAAGTTGAAACACAAAGTCCAACAGCTCTCCCTTCACTCTCATGTACCACAGCACTAATGGTGGAGGCTCATCCCTGTGCACTGTGCTCTAGGAATATCCAAAAGTACTTACCGTTTCGATTTAACCTTGCTTGTCACAAGTATATTTCCGGCACAACGTACCTAAGCTGAAAGCACACGGTTGTCCCATAAGCATGTTTCATCACTGTTTCCTTATCTAGACTCGAGGCTAAATGCCTTGGGCTCTGACCTCTCCAATAGAGCGCTATGTCATACATACGACTCACACTGCCACATCTTAACTGACCCCAGATCAAATACATTGATCAACCTAATACTAGCCTTTTTGTGTACCTAAGCTTAGTCTTTTTGTCTGATGTTCAGCAAAATAAGTCATCTTACAACACCCCTTCACAATCCCTAAAAATTCCCAAACTTGTTCTACTGTACTTACAATATGAATGTCCCATCTTTTGTTCACAATTACTGGTCAGTCAAAACCATTGAAATTTTAGTTTTACAAAATCAAGTGGATTATGAACATATGTTGACGGGTCTAAGAAATTGTTGTTACTGGTTTTATATGCTGGTAGAGTTTTTCTTATCTTACACATATTTCTAGGTAACATCTAAAAGAGATCAACTGGAAGAAAAGTCTTCAGGAGCTAGGAATGACTATTTGCTAAGTCTAGCAGCAGCAAACGCTCACTCCATCCGATACTTTGCTGTGGACTTGCAGAATGCCATTCAGGTAGGCTACGTAACTTGAAATGAAAGTAATATGTTTTGTTTCTAGAGGTTAATTAGTTTAACAATAGTTTGGATTGGTTATTAAAGTATGTCAAAAAGATTATTCTGCATACTCCTTTATTATGATTACTTTTTGTATTGTAAAACATTTCAAAAATTGTAACTATCACTGTCACGGTTTTAAAATTTAATAAGCTGTTTCTCATTGAGCTACCAACATAGGTAACTTGAGATGTATTGAAACAAATAGTTAATAAGCAGCTAAAATACATCTGAATGCTAACGTTGATATTACAGAATCTAAAAAAAATATTTTCTTTACAGACAAACATAATCTATTTTTTATAGTTTTGCTATCTGATGTTGATCTTGTGTTAGTTAGGAGGAACTAAAAATTATTCTCAAAACAACATTGCAAGGGATATGCATGTGACTAATGATAGAGTTTTCTTTAAAAGGAAAGCTATATTACATAGAAGCTACCGTAAATCTATCCTTTACCAAAAATTCCTCAAACAATTAAAATTTTGGTTCAAAATAATGTCTTCACTAAATATTTTTCAAATTTGCCTATCAAATAGCCAGCCATTGGTTCAAACTATACTTATGTACAGCAAATGTTCTATAAAATGAATTTTAAAAATGTGTAATGTATTTCTTTCTAGTTTATGGAAGCGAATGTTTATGAAAGAGTTCAAGATTACTTGATGCTCATCGCAAGAACAGAATTGCTCACATGTACAGCGACACAGACTTCATTCGGGAGAATAAAGGAACAAGCTCATCAGGTAAAAGAAATAGGAAATAGCTAACTATTAAGATCCTAAATAGAAATTTGCATTTCTATGTTTCATACCGAGTTTAATTCTTCCTGCTAACAGTTTAGAAATAGATTGAGAGCATTGGGACATTCAATTTCTAACAATAAAGACTAAATACCCCCACCGCAGCAAACCTGCTGTCTAAGCAAATTTCTATTTGCCTGAATTGATTTTCGATTAATCTTTTTAAATAACATTAGGTTTAACGAGTACTTAGGTTTTCTGCTAGAAGGAAGCTAATAAAGTGTGTTTTAAGTAAATTTAACTATAGCTTAGTATAAAATCAATAAATTTTCCAAGTTTGATAAAAATATATCCATAAACTACAACATTTTACAATTTTCTCCACAAAAATAACATGGGAATTTTAAATTTACAATTTTTTGAGTTTTCTCCAATTTTTACCCCATAAAACCCCTTTCCTATGGCCCGATCATTATGGTTTTTGAACTCATTTAAGTTTATCCCGCCTTACACCTTTAAATCAAATTTCATCAAAATCAGACAACAATTACTCAAGTTATCGTGTTCACAGACACACACACATATATAAAAATTTGAACGAATGGTGTTTTTGTGTTATTGGCCTCTAGGTACATCAAAATGAAAAAGCAAATTGGTCCCGGGCCTAGGTCTTACCGTGCCACCTACGGTAATAGCTACTTCCCTATAGGGAAATTCGCTAAAAGAGCCTATGTCATAGGGCAGGCTCAGAGGAACATCAACCTACCACACCCAACTCAAGGCATTATGAATACTAATTCATAACATGTATCAAATTATATAAATGCTTAAGTGAAAGATGAATAAAAAAAAATGTTTTGCATATTTAAGCTTTAATCCTTTGAAATATTTGTTCATCTTCATACAATTTTTTAAACTCTCCTTTAACCTCAAAATTAATCCATTAAACATTTTGCTTGTAAAATAAAATAATCGTTTATACAGTATTATGGCAAGGAGATCAGTCAATTAATTGGAGGTCTGTCAAATTTTACAGCTCTTGTTTCGACTTACAAAATCATAATAAAAAAAATTCCAATTCAAACTGACCTTTGAGTTATTTTGAAGATTTGGGTCTATTTTTTTTTAGTGATTCATAAGATTCATCTGAATTCATAAGATCGACTAGAAAAAACTTTAATTTAAAGTAGTGATGGGCGGATCCAAGAAAATGTCGATCCAGATACACACTGTCATAAGGGCGGGTTAAAAAAACAAAATTAACAGAATGCCAATTTAAATCATGCTTTTTTAAAATTAAATTAGTAATGTTTAAAGGATAATATATCTTATATATAGAGTAATCTCCAGTTCAGACCATAATCCCTCATTTTTTGGAAACACAAAAACTTTATAAAATCTTAAAATGAAACTATGTGCTAAGTTTGCACGACCACCAAAAGGGTATCCGTGTATATTTTACTATAGTTAGATCTTGAGTATGCTATATCGTGATTTGTGCATGCAGCATCCAATTTATTTATGCATGGATCACCTCTTGTTAATCTTAAGAAAAGATTTGGATTTGAGGATATTTTTTTTTAGAATAGAATTATGAGGCATATACTGTGCCATTGCCTAACCATAGAGATTATTGATTTCGTAATATACAGTACTGTGACATTGCCTAACCATAGAGGTTGTTGATGTCGTAATATACAGTACTGTGACATTGACTAACCATAGAGATCATTGACGTTGTAATATACAGTACTGTGACATTGACTAACCATAGAGATCATTGACGTCGGCAATATACAGTACTGTAACATTGACTAACCATAGAGATTGTTGATTTCGTAATATACAGTACTGTGACATTGCCTAACCATAGAGATCATTGACGTCGGCAATATACAGTACTGTAACATTGACTAACCATAGAGATTATTGATTTCGTAATATACAGTACTGTGACATTGCCTAACCATAGAGGTTGTTGATGTCGTAATATACAGTACTGTGACATTGACTAACCATAGAGATCATTGACGTTGTAATATACAGTACTGTGACATTGACTAACCATAGAGATCATTGACGTCGGCAATATACAGTACTGTGCCATTGCCTAACCATAGAGATTATTGATTTCGTAATATACAGTACTGTGACATTGCCTAACCATAGAGGTTGTTGATGTCGTAATATACAGTACTGTGGACATTGACTAACCATAGAGATCATTGACGTTGTAATATACAGTACTGTGACATTGACTAACCATAGAGATCATTGACGTCGGCAATATACAGTACTGTAACATTGACTAACCATAGAGATTGTTGACGTCGGCAATATACAGTACTGTGACATTGACTAACCATAGAGATTGTTGACGTCGGCAATATACAGTACTGTGACATTGACTAACCATAGAGATTGTTGACGTCGGCAATATACAGTACTGTGACATTGACTAACCATAGAGATTGTTGACGTCGGCAATATACAGTACTGTGATATTGACATTAGTCTTCTTGTACACAGACACAGATAGTCTTCTTCTACACAGTCACAGATAGTCTTGAGCATGGATAAAGACAGCTTTGTGTTAGTAAAAAATCGGTCTTGTACATGGATACAGACAGCTTTTTGTTAGTAAAAAAATCGGGGAAAATCGGATAAAATCGGATCTATCAAAACCGGATCCAGCCCAAGATCCGGAATTTTTTGGATCCGATCGGGTGCCGGTTCTAGCTCGGATCCGGCGGATCCGGTAGTCCGATATCCGGATCCGACCATCACTAATTGAAAGATATTAATTAATGTTGATATTCTTTTACCTTGTGACTTTTTGTGCAGTTATTGAGCATCTTTTAACCATTTCTATCCATTTGCAGAGTTTATAAATGGACCTCAAATAGTGTATGTTTTTAACCTTAACCGATGATTTTCAGTTAAGTCGAGACTACAATATACAATGTGTGTACCTATACTATCCAGTATTAAAGCAACATATAACGTATGACTTTGAACCTTGTGACAACGATACAATAGAGAAAATAACAGCGGAGCACACATCTGCTGTTGAAACATTGAGAAGAGAGGCGAAACGATGGGCCACAAGAATAGCAAGGGAGAACAATAATATCAGAGAATCGACTCGTAAACTTCAAGTCTTCCAAGCTTTGCGAGATTCTGGGCAAAAGGTAACAATACCGTTAAATAATCCTTTGAGCTAATATAGTCCGTTCACGAAATGTAGGTGGTTTAAGGGCAAGGTTTTGAGGGCTCCACACCACGTAATGGGTACATAAAGCTTAATGGGTACATCAGCTGATCATTTGATCAGCTATTGTTTCAAATTTAGGATGAGGTTGGATGAGATGGAATCGCCCTTAAACTGCCTAAATTTTGTAAATGGAGAATGAGAATAGGATTATTCATTGATTTAATTATGCCTATTGATTGTGGTTTTCCCTCATGAACAGAATGATATTTTAGGGAGACTTCTGCCACCTTGGGGGGAGGGCTTTTATCACAGGTAAACTACTCACAAGCTTCACACCAGACCTGACAAAACTGGAATTTAGTCCTCTTGTTTGACCTAAACTCCATGACATCTCATGCATACTGAGCATGAATGCGTGTATATAAGCTGCCTTCTGACTGAATTCTTTATTGCGTCAAATTGGATGTTGTGTTCTGAAGGTCTAAATAAAGAAATGAAAAAATCCTATATTTCAACAGGCAAAGTTATTTCTTACACTTGACCCGCATACATATAAATATTTTAGGCCTATAGAAAACATTATTTACACAAACACCATTTACAAAAAAAACTTTGTAAAAATAACAAAAATTGTCTAACAAAATCACACACACTCAATCATTCAGCAATTACCCAAGCGTCAAAACAGTCCTAGGACACACCAGCTGAGGCCGTACGCTCAAAGCAAATTTTTTTTAGTGCTACCACTAACCGGGGACGACTATCTAGCAATTTAATGGATAAATGTAGATTGTTCCAAAAAAGACAGGCAGCTACAACAAAGGCCCTGTACTCCTATGTGAGGTATGCGCAACATGAAAGATGCAGTGCGTGAACGCCTCAAACTACCTTCGGCTACTTACCTGAAGTCACTATCAAAATATTTTGGCAGTCTATAAAAAAAAGTTGAAAATTCTAACAGGGTGAATTTAAGTAACCACCTTAAATACTGATATACATGCTTCATAACCAATTAGCTAAACTTGCCACTTGTTTTAAAAGTTGATTTTATGAATTATACTACGATATAGAAGGTATTGAATGTGTAGTATTATCATAGTGTCAATTTTTTTATTTGGTTTGTTGTTTTGATACATGGTTTCTTAAACACACTCACTACCAAGTTTTAGGAGACAAGGAGTTTGACAGCTGGTAGAGATCCAGTCAATGTAAAAAAATAAATAAATAGAAATCTATATAATTAATACGCTACATGAAACTTTGTCAATTGAACTCCTACGCCATTTCTTAACCGATTTCATCCATTGACGTCTCATTGGAAAGAGCGTGTCGCGTAGATTTGCAAACTGGCCTTGCATTTTTGAAAAAGTCCCCTGGGCTCTGCCCCAGTGGCTTTGAAATTTCCCATGTTATCCTTATGAAGAACATAATTTTTACATTTTGATCAGCTGTATAATTTAATTGCTGTTATTTATTTTTCAATTCAACGAAACGCATTGAGTACATTTATTTACTATTTGAGTTTGTGTAAACATAACCCCCAAGAGGGATCGTGTTAGTATGGTTGTATCTTAAATTTGTGTATTTATCGTTGTTTTGTGTCGCTATGACGGACCGTGTTAGCATGATTATAACTTAAATTTGTGAATTTATCGTTGGTTTGTGTAGCTATAATTTGTTTATTTGTTATTTTTTTCTTTTAAATTACGACAACGAAACATAGACAGGAGGCGTAATCATGATAACGACCGCAGATACAGAACCGTGGCACGGAATAGGCTTAACTCATCACAGTCTGCACCTGACCCTGGACAATCTCAACTATTAGGTTACAAATGCGCCCTAACACTACCCAAAACGACTTTTCGTTCTCAATTGGTCCTCTATCAATGACCTGTGTTGCCTGTACAGCGAGACATTTTGAGAAGGAGAAAACCGGCCGGAATGCTTTAGGTTTGTTAATAACGAAGATAAACATGGGCTGAGTTACACACCGGTAATCTTTGAGTTGACTCATTTAAACTCATTGTAAATATGACTGTTATTCGTTTTGAAATAACTCCTGTAGTAAAAATAAATCCGGAGACTATTTTGTTTGTAGTAATTACATATGCATGTTGTTATGGTTTAGGTTTACACACCAATACTTTTGACAAATATGAACTACATTGTTTCAGAATGACCCTAATGATCCGAATGGACCAGATCTGGAAACGAAAATAGACGAGCTTCGACAATCAATAAGGAGATCTGAGGTAGGAAACTAACTGATTTCCTACTTAAATTAGGGCAGAAGTATGATTTTCAAGCCATTTAATCAGTTTTGGTAAGGCATCAATTTCTTTTCAAGATACATTTCCAGCCCCGAAGATGATGTATTGGTAGTCACCTAAAATTGTCATTCCTTGTTAACTATTAGCTATAGTGTTATCAACTTATATGTTTGGTGTTTGCCCACTTCTACATTTAACAAATATTTAATACTTTGCAAGGTATATTTTCATAGTTGAATTTGGACAATGAAGTAGACAGTAAGTCACCATAATGACCCAGCTGTGGCTAACTTGGCACTCGTGCCAAGAGAATGTAGTTGAATCTCACAGTGTAGGCCTACTAATATTGTAGAGAAGAAAGAAAATGGTGTTTTTAACCCACTGTCAGTAGCTCGATTGAACTATGTTAATTTTTATGTCTAAGCTTTAGAATGAGAATGAGAATGTAATCTCAATCTCTACTTAACAGTAGTGCATGTACGAGTACAATCAATGTTTTTATTTAAATAGAAAGAACAAATTGTTTCTATTAAAAAAAACCGTTTTTTTACTGTTAATTCTATGAAGTCTTCGGATATTAACTATTAAGTGGATGTTAAATGTTTATGATTAACTTTTAAATTTTGAAACCATTAGTCAGATTATTAAGTCGCAGTTGTAGCTGTTAAGCTACACCCGACATTCCAAACACATTACAATTTAGGTATATTTTGTGGATTACAGACTGCCAAAGTGAAAGCAGAAGCAAGAATTGAATGTTTGCGAGCAGGCGGAGGTAAGTTGTCTTACTTTTACTATTTATTTGTTGAAATACAAAAATACAATTTTCAAAGTCCGACAATTGCTGCAGTCAATAGTACTTAACCTCATTTTTTAAAATTACAATGACACAATAATAGACCCAAGTTATTTGTCTTTCTTCTTACTAGACTGTAAATCACCGTAACATTTAAAAGATGAGTTGTATTTAAGTAGTTTTATATGTCAATTTTAATGTAGCATATTAATGTAGTATATTATTCAACCAAATTATTTTTCATGAAAGCAAAAAAGTATTGTATACATCATAACAACACAGTGATTAACATTGTCTTATACAGTAAATAGAAGAAACCTCATGCCAATAAAATAAAAAATGATGAGTTTTGGTATTATCTAAAAACATCTCATGTGATCACAGCAACATCCACGGTCATCTCCTGCAATCATATTAGCGCCTCTTGCGATCACAATGGCATTGAGATCATTTTCCTCCATTGCAATTACATTGTGAATTTCTAACTTGTAAAACAAACCTTATTTATTCAAATAAAAAAAAAAATTATTTATTTATAGTAGACTCCCTCTACTTTGGCTTCGGTTGGATCGATGGTCTGGGCTGGTCTCAGGGGGACAAGTCATATCGTCACGGGCGAATGACCTTCGACATGATTCAACTTGAATGTTTAGTTTCCGGCCATAGAAGTACCGTAAACAATTCATGTCAGTTTAGTTGATGGGTGCTTCTATGGGTGAATTGTTACATACTACCTATGTAAAACTATCTTACATAACCTCAAAAATACCAAGAACGTTTTATATAATAGTTTTTCTTCAGTCTAATATGTTAAAATACATTGTATAATTAAATATTTCTAACAATTTTTAATGCAGTAGGTTCCCCCATTATTGTTTTTGAAACATTACAGTTTATTTGACAAAAATAAATTAAAGCAAAACAAAGAAATAGCCATTGTTAGCTTCAAGGTCAAGCTATCCGCTTGCACTGACAAAATTACAATCATCTGCTCTTTATACAACTGATGTCTGCTGTGCGCTCGCTATCTCACAACAGTTTGTGATTGGGTGATAAGTAACCATGGCAACTTGTTGAATGTGTGGATGAAGAGAAACCAAAGAAAGAATAGAAGATCAAAGAAGAAAGAATAAGCGGTGTTTTACGTCATCCATTGTTATCTTTATCTTATATTATGACTGTCGTTATTATCTTTAAGACTAAGTACTATGATTTTATGCTGTTTTATGAGTTATCTGATGTTTTTATTGACATTCTTATGTTCTGAAACAACATGTAGTAACTATGCTGACTACGGTTGCAGTAGCTTGCAGCACTAGACTTTCTATTGTTCTGTTCTTTACGTGATTTATTGCTGTACGTACAGTGTACTGTAATTTTTGTTTTGCTTGAGTAAGGGTGATTACTGATTTTAAACTTTACAGTTTTTATTACTGAACCAAGGTTAATGACTTCACATATCACTATTGCGCAATACTATTATTTGTATTTTGATTGTGTAAAATGCACTACATCCGGTTAGTCCGGCCGTTTTGTAGTCCGGCCAGTGGTCCGGTCCCCGAGGTGGCCGTACTAGAGGGAGTCTACTGTAGGCCTAGTGAATTTTTACAACTTTTGTACACCTCTATTAAGAATAAACTACTCTGACTGTCTTCAGCAAACGCAGGGTATGGTGTGACAGTAAGTGTGAACGTGAAATTTATTCACAAATCCATCCGACCAAATTACTAACTGAAATTTTCTAACAGATTTGATGGATTCCAGGTTCGGTTTACACATCACTCTAATAGTTTTGTTGTTTTGTCATGTTGCAGTTAACGTAGAGGAATGGATGCAAGAAGTGGACAACCTGAGTGTTCAAGACCTGCCTCGGTCTGCCAGTTCCATGTCTGTACACACCGATGCTTCAGGAGCTGGGGTGAGAAAACACAGATGTACTCCTTACGCTGGTTACACACTTGGCGGTTTTTGCCGCGGTGGCGGAACTGCCGTCGCCGCCTCGAAAAAAAGTCGAGCTTACACATTCAGCGGCAAAAATACCGCCAAACATTGAGCGGCAAAATTACCACCACGTATGACCAGTAGCCAAAATAATTCTTGTAGTTCTTCATCGCTTAATGTGTTGTGACTTCTCTGTTTCATGAGTGTTCAGAAAATTGTATTTTGCACATTTTTTCTAATTTCCCCTAATCTCCATACACACTTCCTTCCACGCATTCCTTGTTACATCTCGATCCTTAAATATGTCGAGGGTTTTGTCCCACAAAACTGGCCTCTGTTCTACAAATGATATTAACAACTCATTGTCTATAAACTTACTCATTTTCTCACACTCGTCAACCACAAACACTTAAAACGATAAATACATGTTATAAACAACTCACAAACTTAACAACAAGACACAAAAGGCAGATTTTCAAAGACCTCTAACTTGGAGCAACTGGGAAAGACGACTGATCAGCGGCGACGGTAGACAACCGCCGAACGTGTTAACACCCATTTGGTCACGTACGCCACTGCGTAGACAAGAGCGGCAAAAACACCGCCAGCCGCAGTGGCAGTGGACAGCTGCACAGCTGCCGCTAACGGCAATATGGCCGCGCGGCGTTTCTGCCGCCCAGTGTGTAAGCTTCCATTTAAGTCTATAGACTACTGCTCGAACGGCGGCGACGGCGAAATTACTGCCGCGGCAGTAACCGCCCAATGTGTAACCGGCGTTAGATATCATTCTGACTTATTATTTTACAAAATGGAGGTTTTCGTTAGTAAGAAGGTGTACCCCATGGAAAATTTGGTCGATTATCCAAGGTGAACTGCTTTCATTAAGGGGAGTCGCTACTGAAATTAGTGATCAAAAAATCCTTTTCAAATTATCATACATACTTTTGTAGGATCATTTAGTCTTAGAAAAATGTTTACCGCTGTTAAAGTGAAAAAACAAATTTTATATACTTTTTTGAGTTTTTTTTTTTTTTTAGATAAAATGGGTTTAAAAAATCTATTATAACTTTTTAACTACTGAACCAATTTTATTGTTTGATGTATCATTTTAAAGAGCAAAGAAAGTACTAACTTCTTGTGCATACTCATGTATTTTTCTCAATTTGTTTATGTATGTTGATTTCATAAACAACTAAAAGAAAATTCCCATGTAATTAATTTTTAATTTTTTTTCATGTACTTGTATTAAACCTATTGCAATATCCATGCAAAACAAGTTGCTTTATAGTATAAACAATGTGTGGTAAAAATTTCATTCAAATGGTTTTAATAGGTAAAAAGCTATAAGTTATATGTAAAAATTAAAAATTTTAGAGTTGCGGAAAACAGGGATTGAAGTTTATACTAACCTTCAATACTATGTTCAATGTACACACAATTGTAAAAATGCCAATGTTTGTAAATGTATGTTTGACAGTGGTCATAGTTGCCTTGTCTGTCTCTGTCTGATGTCCCGAAACAGGTGTACACACTCCACTTCAAATATTTTTTTCACAGTGGTAAAAATATACATTATACCATATGTTGTGTTTTTCCGAAACCTTATACATCGTAGAACAAGAAAAAGATAAAAAAAATAATATTTTTTACAAATTGGTAATTTTTAGTAGCGACTCCCCTTAAATCTTGGTTTCTACTTTTCTTTTAGAGCACAGATACCAATCCTGGTGATACTCTTTTTTCTTTTTTTTTAAGAGGTTGGCGGCCTCTTTTAACCTTGTATTTGCCCATCCACATAGACTAAGCGCCCGTGCGTGGATCGTTTACAGCAAAGCAAGGAGTGAGCCGGTACAGTACAAAGGTGAACTGTACTGATAAATTTTAGTGGCAGTGACCAGGATCCGAACCCACGACATCGCTGCCTTGGGCCCGAAGTCCGCGACGCTACCGACTGAGCCACCGACTCACAACTCACTCTTCACTCTTTGAAGTATTGATGGACCATGCTTGAATGCAAGTGGGTGTAATTGTGAGCATTGTGGAAAAAGGAATTATATATGTTTGGGAGAATATTTTGCTATGTTTGTTGGTTGGTGTCTTGAATTCTACAACATAACCAAAAAAACTTATTTCTTGAAAGTGTGATAAGGTTCTTGGTGGGAGGGAATAAGGGGATATTTATTTAAACAGTGACAATGTCACCTGATTCATCTGAAAAAACCAGATTAATGTAAATGTTTTTGTGGCAATAAACGACTTATGACTTCAAAATTGTTGTTGTACTATTTGTAAAAGCATTACTTCAAACTTCAAAGCCTTGGATTTTACGTAATGAATGAATGTGATAAGTTCTTTTAACTTTATTAAACACTTTATTTTAACACACATTAAAACATTGTATTGTAGGTGTATTTCCAACATGAGTTATGGACTAGCAGCTAGCCGAAGAAGCTGTAGACCTACAATATAAATATATATGCAGTGCTTGGGTTGTAAAAAATTAGGTGTCAGAACTGTAACCCATTTAATGTGATTAGTACCTATTTGCCAATATTTTTATCGTTCTAAAAGAGAAGTGCCAGAACGCCGTTCCGCCGCGAATCAAGCAATGCATATATGTATATAAAAATGCTACATACTATGATGAATTCCTCTTTACACAAAAATTAAAATTCAATAGGACGATTTGTCAAGAGGTTAAGTCAGTAATTAAATTAAACTGTTTTTCTGACATCTGTGGTGTTCCTATGAAATGTTCTTGGTCGTAGGAGCCTCCAGGGTCCGACTCTATGTACGACAGTGACTACAACGACGCAAGTTCAGACCTAGTCGGAGCCGAGAGGGAGAAATCTCAGGAGGAAGAGGTTGTTGAGCAGCCGGAGACGTCTGAAGTAGACGGAGAATGGGGTGAGATGATTATAAAACCTTTACTGTACCGTTTACCACTAGAGAGTATTTCTTAAACGGGGAATGTTGCTGAAAGTCAACAGTCCCGGAAGATCAAATAATTTATACCTGTGCCGCTAGGTCAAAAACTACAATTTTTGCAGTGTCTGTAGATCAAAAATCCCAGAAAGTCAAATAGTACAGTCCGGGCTAAAAGTTTAGTCTATGTTAAAGCAATTGACTTATTGGGAATTTGACCTAATGCAACAGCAGGTTTAATATAACGAAATACGGTAAAATACAAGTTCAGTTTCGCTGAGTCAAAAGTGCCGGAAGATCAAAAGCAATAAAAGTGAACGTCGATTCAGTGTAAAGTAGACCTCCTGCAACGCTTACTACACCAACAAAACTCGCTTTTAGTTACTTCGTGTTTTGTCATAATTAGAATAGAGCTAAAATTATCATATTTAGTACATAGCTTATTTATTAATGCTTCTTGCCAACTGTTTGGTCAACACTGTAAATAGGTATAGTTTATGTAATGAAAAGCCTTTCGTCAAAATTTGTGGCATAAAATACACGCAAGGACGATCTGAACATTTCTGGTTATTATATACGTTTGTAAAAGGAGATCCGTTTAATTGTAGAACTATTTTATGAGTTATAATGTAGTCTACATATAAACTGTGTAATGTATTACGCCACGGAAGGGTTGAAACCTGTCCAAACTATCATATATATTATTATAACGTAAATGGGGGTTTTTCACGATTCTGAATCAACCAGTCGATGGATTTTCATTAGTTTTGTGTTGAAAGAAAGACAATTTTGAGAACTAGATAATTTCAAAGCCATAATTTAAAATTAATGTCCCAGTTTTTTATAAATTAAGTTTTAGTTTTTAAAAAGTCTAGCAGCCGATGCTAACCTTCTCCAATAAGTCAATGCTTCTAGCTAGCTTTTAGTACAATATAATTTGCTTAACATAACAGCTGTAACATTCAGTATTTGTGACACAAATTCAGCATTTGGAAGAAAATTCAAATACATACTTATGGTTGACTTATTTATACTATGTATGTGTAATGCTGACCATTGATACATTTAATTCTTCGGTACGAGGATGGCAGTTTAATTAAATGTGCATAGTAAAATAGGTACAGTAGTAGGATGTTCAAATTATTTTTTAAAGTATTCTTTGTAATCATCGATTTGTTTTAGTCCAATATAATTTGTTTTAACTAACAGCTGGTTGAATGTGCTATGTATACTTATAAAAGGCAAAGCCCTCACTGACACACTCACTCTCACTCACGAATCATCACTAATTCTCCCACTTCCCATTTACCTAGGAGGTTGAAATTCGATTCACCGATTCTTTGGGCATTAAATAGGAAAACTAAGTAGTTTTTATTATGATCGGGCATTCGGGCTCCGCCCCAGTGGCTCTGGAGTTTCCCATCTGAACCTTATGATTTTTCATATTTAAAAGGAATTAATGAATCATAACAGCTGTGTCAATTCAACAATTTATGACAACAGCTAATTTGCAACCAAAAGCTGAGTGAGCGTTTCGAACGAACTTCAACCTGGAGGTGAGTTAACCCCAAGGCAAGTGAGCTCAGCGAACGAGCTCCAACCTAAAGGTGAGAGAGCGTAGCGAACGAAATTCAACCAGGACTTGATTGAGCCATGCGAACGAGCTAATCTTGAAAATTAATTAGTTTAACGGGGCAAAGCCAGCGGGTACAGCTTGTTATTCTATAGAATTATTAGGTTTTTAGCGAATTTCGCATATAGGGAATAAGCTATTACCGTATAACTCATGGGAACACCTGGACCCGGGACCGATGTAATTTTTCGTTTTGAGTCCCTAGAGGCCAAAAACACCATCCGTTCAAATTCATATATATATAAGTGTATAAAACATTTTGGGGACTTGACTTTTTCGGGACTCGAGAATTTAGTACTTTTCGAGGACCTGTGCAATTTATTCCATTCCAAATGCAGCGCGTTATCGATCTTCACCCTTGTGTGGGCCTCCCATTCACTGACGGAATGTCTCGTGGCGTATGACGACCGGATATAAATAGTCACTTTAACACTCACTTATCTCGTTATTTTTTTCAGCATATTCGTTGACCCGTCTGCAGGTCTTATGTTAATGGGCTGTCAGAGCGTCTGTTGTAATAACTGGAATTCCTTATGTATGTTTGCTGCTGATTACGGTGAAGTATTGTTAGAAATTCCACCTAATCTTTTAAAGTTACCCATTAAATTCATAGAAATAATAATATTTAACTGTTTGACGAGTACCCCTATTGTATTCAAAATACTCAACGGCCCAATCCAATGTCACGTTTCGTATTTTGTATACTACCGTTAATTACTAGACTTAATTACTAGCTTCATTCCCACTGTTCTTGTGAACTTAACTCTAGATCAGACTGTTGCTTCATCCGCTTCTTCATCAGTTAATTTTTCATCTTAAAATCTAAAAAATATCTTTTTGGTACCTATGTTATCACCCACGGGATCTTTGAATAATTTTAGGCTTAACTGAATCTGAAGTATGTGTTTTGGTGGTTGATCATTGTAATGAATTATATAAGATTAACCTGCATTACACTATCGACAAATTAACTATCAAATATTTATTAAAACACTGAAGCATACTGCAAACGCTGAGTCATACTGCAGCAAAAACAGCCGTATTTAGTGAGCTTAAAGTAGGTATTTTCACTATTTTCTCCCTAGGAAGTGAAAGTCAGCTGATTTAAACTCAGTTGTGAGCTTCGATTGTATGCAATCGCATGTATCGAAAGTATGTATAATTTTTTTCACCACACTATGATGTTTTAGTTAATTTACAGTCTGTTTCAAAAGTAGAAAAATAAGCAAATACATTAACAATAATACAACGTTAAAAGTATAGTGATTTACCACTCTCAACACTAGCTAACAAAGATAATTTTGATAACACAGCCGAATCTGAATGGGAGGTTTAATGTCGTAAATGGTGTTGTGATTGTCCAATAAATTTAGTGCAAGATGAGAGCTCGCCTTGTGGTCGGAAACTTGACCAAAAGTATGTATTTTTCCAACTTATCTATATTTACCCTATGCTATAAATAAGACATGTAAATGGAATTTCTTCTATTTGGTTTTATTTTCTGTTTACATTTAGTTGTTATTTCGTTACCTACATGGCAACCCATACGGCCCAAGTTATTTTTTTAATTTTAAATTCGTTTCTTGTGTTTATTTTTGAGCCTATTTTAATTTATAAAGGGATTCATCACATCTACAGGAAAATATCTTTCATTTGGTACCAACCGCGTGTAATTCGTTCCAGTAGTATGGTCAGGCTAGCTGTCATAAGTTTTGCAAAAGTTGTTTTGTATAAGACGATTTTGAATGATTTTCCAATTTGATTATCTTTTTTCACTAGATTTTGTAATTTCTTCTTTGACTTTTCAAATTCTAAGATTATTATGAAGTGTTCTGTTAGTAACAAACCAAGGTGCGTTGACAATTTTACGTAGCAATTTTGATTGGTATCGTTGAAAAATTTCAATGTTTGATGTACTTGATGATCCCCAAAGTTGGATCCCATAAGTCCAAATTGGTTTTATAACTTTTCTGCAAAGTAACATTATTTTGTGTACTAAGTTTTGATTTAGATCCAAGAAGACAATTAAGCTTAGTTATTTTAAAATTTAGATATTGTCTTTTAGTCCAGATATGTGCCTTCCAATTAAGCTTTGCATCTAAGTGCATGCCCAAGTATTTTATTTCTGTTACTTTAGGGTGGTGAATATTGTTCATGGATACTGGAGGACATGTAGCCAGATTTAGGGTAAAAGTAATGTTTTCTGATTTATTTTCACTAATTTTGAACCTCCATGTTTTAAACCAATGTGAAATTTCATCCAAGTTTAACTGTAAATTTGCTGTAGTTTGAACCGGTTTGTCGTGGACAGATAAAATGGTCATATCATCCGCAAATGTGGCAACCATAGTGTTTACAATTTCTGGTAGGTCCGATGTATAGGGAATATACAAGTATGGTTCAAGTACGCTTCCTTTGGGGATTCCTGATTCTATAGGGTAAAGGTCAGTTAAATAATTTTGATGTTTAATTTGGAAAGTTCTGTTTGTAAGATATGATTTTTAAATTTGAAAAACTGAATGGGGTAGCTAAATGTGGCATTCTTGTCAATAGTTCGATATATCGATAGTAATATACACTAACACAATCGTAATAAACGAAATAATTTTATTATATTTACTAAACAGATGCTTGTTTGCATTAGCAAAATAAATAACAATTTAGAAGTCATTTTGAGAAGTTATCTTAGTATTTCTGTTAAAGAAATGACATTTCTTCATAATCTTAACATCTCAAATTACTTTAATACTTTCTTCTGAAATGGCTACCATACTAAATTCAAACTCACATAACAAGAAATTAAATAACATCTAAACATAAATTAAAAAGTTTTACACCACAATTAAAAAAACAAATGTACGATTGCTCTTGCTCATTCTTCGTCAGATTAGGCATAGGCACGAGACCCTCCTTCATTGCGCAGTCTGTAGTCTTGGAGATAAGAGAGATATGCGGTAAAGATAAGGAAGAACTGGAAAGGTCCGTTGTGGGTTTGCAATATTTATCTCAAAATCCAGCGCAAGGTTAACTAAATTTTGGAATTAAGGTCTGAATACGTGATTGGTGAAATCCAGGAGGCAATACTGAACTTGCACTACTTATGTTTTATCGAATTTTTTACCTTATCTACCAAAATTATGCTATTTTCCTTTGGCACTTTAGGGGGAAACGACTATTTCACCCTGAAAATCACGTTTGGAAATCGAGAAAAGCTTTAGAAATCGGCGATTATAAGCGCTCGAAAAATCTTTTTTCCTTTTAATGGAAGCCTATTTTTTATTATTCGAGTCATTTCAAACTTCTTTTCCTCTTGCACTTTTTCAGCAAACACATATTTCACCACGAAAAACACGTTTGAAACTCGTTAAAAGCGTTATAAATCATTAATATCGCCACATTTGACTGGTAAGTGTCAATAAAAGAGTGTAAAAGAGTCCTTGGAGCCTAGACGTTCTAACTCATAAAACAATGAAAGAACTACAAAGACAATTTATAGTTTAACAATATACTAGATATTTAAATTACAATCACTCTGATGTTTGAAAAAATATTTTTGGACTGTAAATAAATCTCCAGCTGCTGTCTGAAATTAACGTAATTAACATCGCTCTTATGGGGGACAAATCCAAGATGGCTGTTAGCTTTCATTGACTCCACTGGAGAACAATAAAAAAACTACAAAGAACATTTCTAATCTCACACTATACTCGATGTTAAATTATAATCACTTTGGTGTTTGAAAAATATTTTTGGACGATAAATCGCTCTTCAGCAGCTGTTTGAAATTATCCAAAATGGCCACTAGCCTCCAAGGACTCCCTAAAATAACCTTTAGCTGAGCTCCTCAGCCCTAACCTAAGCTGGGTTTACCCAAAATCGGTAATTTTCGGCACTTTGCTATTTTTTAATAAGTACGGTAAATTAATAAGTACGCAATTAATAAGTACGGTAAACCATATTACTGCAGAGGCCGGTCTTTATAAGTTATATTGTCTATGAGAGATTTATTTTGGACCTATTTGCATAAGTATGGTGATGTAAATGCAGTTGTCATCGTATTTATAATCATCGATCAGTCTAAGTTTTATTTTGTCAATAAATGTAAATATCCTTTTTGGTTAACAAAGGATGCAACCGAATCTGTAAATTAAGACAAGTATGCGAAAAACTTAAGTTTTCCAACCACCATTATTGCCTTGTTTACAACTATAAAATCGGAAGTAAAAATAACAATTAGGACAGCGTATACTAACTATTTGATTTTTGTTGTGAGTTGTATACAATATCACTTCTTTTTGAAATTATGTCAAGTCCAAGAGACATACATCTAGTTTTGTATTAAAGTCTTCTGTCAAGAACTACACGAATGTAAATGTTACTGTGGACAAGGTAGCTGAAACATTTGCAAATAGGTGTAATAAATTTAAGAATATTGTATTAGTAAAAGTATCATATACATTTGTCATTGATATCACTGTATTAAATAATGTATTACCTAATTATTTGTAGGGAGTAAATTAGTTAGTAGACTATCTATTAATCGATTTGCAAGGTACATTATGAATATTTCATAATGTAGCTTGTAAATCGATTAATGTATTTAAACCAGACGCTCGTCAAATAATGCAGTTCAAGGCGGAAATGTAGTGAGGGATACATCATGATTAGAATGTGTGTTACAGAACGAGAAACTGATGACAATAGTTGGAATAACTAGTCAATGTCAACGCACTCGATAAAAGCGCGGGATTAAAAAAGGCGCGAATATGTGCAAGTACTACTGTATAACCAGCGACAACACCTATGTAAAACCAGACATAAGCTATATTACAACCAGGCCTACGAAAAAGTCAAACTATGTAAAGAATGAATCACTGAATATGATTAGACGAAATCACAGAGGTACAAACTATGTTAGATATTTACGTGGTAAAGGAGTGTAGTTTCCTGATAGGTCTAAACAACGTCATCAGTTACCAAATAAATTATTTTTACTAGTTTTAGTCATACAATTGTTCTCATTTAAACTTGCGCTATTATGCTAATTCAACCTAGTTCAGATGTAGTTCCCACAATATATCTATACTTACACGAGGAGAGCGTGGTTTCGGTGATTTTGTAAAGTAAGAAATAATAGATGTAGAAAGAAATGTGTAGATTTTGAACTTTTTTCTGTTTTCATTGATTTACTGTGTTGATTATGCACCACAGTGCTTTGTACTGTAATTATTTTCTGCCATTATGAAAAATTCATTGCCAATATTTCTTTCAAGGTCCCTTGCATTATTTTGCGTGTACTAATGTGTACTAGGTGTAAAATGCAGTTGTCTGCTTGCAATATTGAACGGAGCTATCATAGTACTGTAATCCAATACTTTTTCAAAGTCAATGCTAAATATAGTTCACGTAATTGAGATGTCTCCTACAAGTTCACTAAGTCAATTGTATAATTGTTTCTCATAAATGGGATGACTACTTGTAGTATCCAAAGTCAATGCTTTATCTGTTTCTCTTAAATGAAATCTCTACATCCAGTATCTAAAGTTAATGATAAATCTATGCTAAAACTATTGCCTTGGATGTAGTAGCCTACGCCAGTGTCACGGTGATAACGGCGGGAGTGGTCGTGGTAGGCACGGATGAGTCGTTGTTCTTGCAAGGCTGTTTTTTGCCTGTCTTCTGGCTCAGTCAGCACTTACACCATCGGGAAGAGATTGTACATCCAAACTAACAAAAATAGTTTCCAAGGACCCATATTAGATTTAATACAATTGGCGGCAAACGTTATTGTTGATTAGTATGTTAAATAACAATAAAACTGTTGTAGGAGTTTGTTCCTAACCGTAGGTGCTCTGTATAATATTTAAATCGCTAAAATTATACCCCAACAATCAACGTTTACAATCGTGATACGTAAACAAATGATCCAATAATATGTAAGCCGAAGGATCGTCGTAAATTAATGTCTTTCGTGTAATACAACAATATGATAATAAACAATGTTACTATATCACTAATAACGTGTACGTAGACCGTCGTAATTAGGCTCAAATTAAAATATAATAATGCAATGTCAGTATTAAACAATCTGTATTAACAGCTGAAAATAAGTGAAATAGAAAAGGTTTTGGTTAAATCCATCAAATTGTAATTGGACACTAGTAAATACTAGTGCACTTGTTGCTACCTCCCCCCTTCGGTTTCATGTATTCCTCTCAATCAGTTCAAACCTAGGAGGATTAAACATTAATGTTAATTAATGTTAAATCCTCCTAGATTCAAACCTGAAACACCCAGATCGAAACTCGCCTGTCGTTATTTTACCATCGCCTGTTTTTTAAATATATTTTTCAAAAAAGAAATATTATATTGATTTACTTTGGTTTTTAAAAATGTTAACGTTTTATTTTGTTAAAGATTTATGGTGATACGTAAATATTGTGGTGTAGTAGAGTATATTATATTGTAGTTAAGTGTTAAATTTTGAAATTTTAGGGTGAATCGAGATGAATCTTTGTTTATAACATGGGTCTCTCCTACCTTAACATACATACCAAGTTTGATAAACATCGGTTGGAAAAGTGCAAAGATAAAATATTTGTATGTAAAAAATACAAAATGGTGGATATCTGGTTAACGAAATTATTTTGGAAAAAATGTTATCCTTGATTTTCTGTTTATTTTGACCCAAGGAATTACTAGGTAAAGTATCTCCCCGCTTATTTTAACACCCTGTTTATGATGTATTCTTATAAGTGAAAAATGTTAGCTGGTAATAAAGAAAGATTTTTTATAAATAATATGAATGTACTGGTGATCTGTATATTCACCTTTTTCTTGTCCTTAGATAAATTAAATTAGATAAATTAAAAGTCCACTCAGCAGTCGCATCGTACGATGTAGTTCTTTCCATGCGTTGCGAAATGCTACATTTGCCGTCCTCTTCAACCCAAGTTATCTACTGAACCACTGATTGTAAAAAATTCCAAAAAAATATATTTTACGCATTACACTTTTGGCTTCAACTTTGCCACAGACAAAACCTCTCTAACCCAAAAACAAAAAAAAATCTCGCATGCTAACTTTTTCATGTTAGAAATCACGATTTAAAACTATTTCACCATACAAATCATTTTTTATTAATTAGATCGGTAAATAGTTTAAAGTTCCAACAAAATAGTCATCGAGTAGGACTAACCAAGAAGCTCTGTGCCAAATTTCAAAATTTTAGCACAACTTTAAGAACACCAAAACACGAAATTATTGAAGACATGCGTCGAGAGGACTATCGTTGTTTTTAACAGATTATACTTTTGACCTTCCGGCACTGTTGACTCAGCGAAACTGAACTTATATTTTATCTTATTTCGTTATATTAAAACTGCTGTTGCATTAAGTCAAATTCCCAATAAGTCAATTGCTTTAAAATAAACTAAACTTTTAGCCCGGACTGTACTATTTGACTTTCTGGGATTTTTGATCTACAGACACTGCAAAAATTGTAGTTTTTGACCTAGCGGCACAGGTATAAATTATTTGACCTTCCGGGACTGTTGACTTTCTGCAACGCGTCCCTTAAACGTCACAGTGGAAAATTCAGTAGCATAGTCATACTAACGAACACAAGTAGACTTCTCATACCATTGCAAAAATTTGCAGCTTGTTTTTCGTGTCTAGTTCATGTTGGGGCACTTGTTTGACAAAATTTGCTTTCTATTATTTTAGAATTGGTTTTATGATTTGTGCTTTACTGTTTGGTTATATAACTAGGGGACTAGTTGTTGATTGGATCGCTTTATTTGGCTAATCGAGATCGAGATTAGCAGCACCAGACGGAACTAACAATAAAACTATTTTAAGCCCATCCATAAGAATGACAAACCTACTCAGGTTTAGTGAATTTCAGTCTGATTATAAACTAAGGTGAGCTGGTACCTAAAACGTAACAAGTTTAGTAAAAAGTGTCAAGTTAGTTGGTAAAAAATTCTAGACAAAGTTGGAAAATCGCTAGAGAAGACTATTGTGGTTAACATATCTTTAGATCACGCACAGAGAAGTAGGCTGATGGAAATAAACTGTTGATATTATTTAAAAAAAGAAGATAAATTAGTACTCTTTAGTGAACTTGTGAAAAATACCACCATTAAAGGTATTATTTTTAAATGCTGAACTTTGTTTGGCAGCCATGCTAGAGCAGGAGCGACAAAGGATAGAGCAGCTTACAGCTGGCTGGGACGACCCGACGCAAGTAGACTGGGGTGCGGAGGAGTCTAGTGAAGTTACGACAGACACTGCGGAGACAGTTGTAGCCAACCCTGATGCTACGGTCACTTACAAGTGCACTGCTCTATACAACTACACTGTGAGTGGTGATCTAACGTATTTTCCTACATCACAACTTGTAAGAAGCTTAAGAGTAAAAAAATGTTAAAAAAACAGTCACTTTTAACAGCTGTACCAAAGAGAATTAATTATGTAACTCTTTGGATTATTTATACTACCTACAGGTACTCTACAGCTTAAAACATGTATTACTTCTTAAGTGAATGTCCTAAGGAAAACACTTTCTATTGGTATTGGTTGATTGTTGTTACATTGTTAGTATAAGGAGGGGAAAATATGTACAATGATTAACGCTGTTAAATGTGTGGATTTACTTTAGTACTAAGTTAATTCTTACACTGATTGTTTTAGGCCCAAAACCCAGATGAGTTATCGATAGTGGAGAACGAACAGTTGGAAGTGATTGGAGAGGGAGACGGAGATGGTTGGTTGAGAGCCAGGAACTACCGTGGCGAGGAGGGCTACGTACCCCACAACTACTTAGACGTGGAGCGTGAGGTGAGAAAAATAGTTACTAATGTCATTCAGTGGATGAGTAGACAAAACTTTATCGTTGTGAGATGATTGGTTCACATCATATATGGATGTTAAATTTAATTTAATTTCTAATTTTTTTCCTTGAAAGAGGTTAGTGGCCTCTTTCACCTTACATTTCCACATGGGCAATAGAGGCTTGTGCGTGGAACGTATCTAGCAAAGCAAGGGGTGAGTCGGTACGGTACAAGAGCGAACTGTATTGATAAAAAGTGGTGGCAGGTACCAGGATCTGACATCACAGTCTTAGACCCCCCCAGACCCGGGACCGATTTACTTTTTCATTTTGATGTCCCCAGAGGCCAAAAACACCATTCGTTCAAATTTTTATATATGTACTAGCTGTACCCACAGGCTTTGCCCCGTTTAACTTCATAAGTATTCGCATGGCTCAATTACGTCCTGGTTGAAGTTCGTTCGCTACACTCACTCACCTTTAGGTTGGAGCTCGTTCGCTGCGCTCACTTGCCTTCAGGTTTGCTTGTTCGCTACGCTAACTCGCCCTCCAGGTTAAAGTTCGTTCGCTACGCTCACTCACCTTTTGGTTGCAAATTAGCTGTTGTCATAAATAAAAAAAATTATAGTGCTGCACCCTGTTGGTAATCCTTGTAATTTTAAAGCTATTAAACATCACAGAACAGAACCAACTTGTTTAATTGAAACAGCTGTTAAGATTATTTAATTCCTTTTAAATATGAAAAATCATAAGGTTAACATGGGAAACTCCAGAGCCACTGGGGCGGAGCCCGAGAGTCCGATCAGCATAAAAACTACTTAGTTCTCCTATTTAATGCCTAAAGAATCAGTGTACCAAATTTCAGCCTCCTAGGTAAATGGGAAGTGGGAGAATTAGTGATGAGTGAGTGAGTCAGTCAGTCAGTCAGTCAGTGAGGGCTTTGCCTTTTATATATACTAGTGTACCTGTTGCTCGAATTCGAGCAATTGCGAAGCATTACAGGCGACTCAAAGATTATGGAAATACTCACGATCTACACAACAGTTAGATATAATCAAAATCTTTTGTAAATATCTTATCTTTTTTCAAAAAGCTTATCTTGTTTTTTTAGTGTTTTCTACAAATTTTTCTCTCTTATAGCCGCATTAGGTTGTCTATGACGATTATAAATTAAAAAAAAAAAATTATTTCTATTCTTCTACTTGGTTGTGTTCTATGACTTTTTCTATGTTTCCATTGTTTGCAAATCGGTTATTTCAATGATTGCTCAAGAAATGTAGAACAGTGTTAATTCAGTTTTATTTTTAGCCTATATCAAATTGTCCAGGATTTCCCGCTCTTTTCCATTGTAATAATTATACCAACCCAATTTTCATCTACAGATGCAATATGCCAACAAATATCACCTACGTACAATCTCCAAGAAGTGGTAAAAAAGGCAGAACATTGTATTGCAAAACGTGACATGATGCAGAAGAAAATCCAATTTAAAATCAGAAAAACCTATTGCAAATACTGTACTTCATTTTGACAAATTCAATAAATCACAATTTAAATATTAATAGCTGTTTCATTAAAAAGTAGTGTTTATAATTATGCATATGGTCGTAATGTAAACAAATCTGAAGAGGCAACTTTAAAAGCTTCTGGGGCAGAGCCCCAAGGGAATTTACCTCGTTCCTCTTTTGATGGCTCATCTACAGACCAAGACCTTTCTTTAGAGACCCCTACCAAGTTTCTACGCCCAGCCATTCTCTCAAATTAGCTATGACAAAAACCCCATTTTCCTCCATAAGAATAACATGGGATGGGAATTTAAAGGCCACTGGGTCAGAGCCCCAAGCGAAATCACCATGTTTCTTTTTTGATGGCTCATCAACAGACCAAGACCTTTCTTTAGACACCTCTACCGAGTTTCTACACCCAGCCGTTCTCTCAAAATAGCTATGACAAAGAAAAACAGTTTCAAATTAATATATAGATAGATATATATATATACGTCCGTGAACGCGATAACATGAGTAATTTTTGTCCGATTTTGATAAAATTTGGTTTAAAGGTGTAAAGCGGGATAAACTTGAATGAGTTAGCGAACCAGCACAATCGGACCATGGGAACGGGGCTTTACGGGGGGTTTTATGGGGTAAAAATTGGTTTTTCTCACTTTTGACCCTCAAAACTCAAAATTTCCCGATTTCTCTTTAGACCTTTTTAAAGAGCTTAAAAAAACAAATAATTTAGTAGGCTATATAAAAGTATTTTTGTTCGATTATTAGTAACGGAGAAAATTAAAAAAATTGTAAATTTAAAATTCCCATGTTATTTTTATGGAGAATACTAGCTGTAACCCGCGGGCTTTGCCCCGTTTAACTTCTTAATTTTCAAGATTATCTCGTTCGCATGGCTCAATCACGTCCTGGTTGAAGTTTGTTCGCTACGCTCACTCACCTTTAGGTTGGAGCTCGTTCGCTACGCTCACTCACCTTTAGGTTGGAGCTCGTTCGCTACGCTCACTCACCTTTAGGTTGGAGCTCGTTCGCTGCGCTCACTTGCCTTCAGGTTAGCTCGTTCGCTACGCTAACTCGCCTCCAGGTTGAAGTTCGTTCGCTACGCTCACTCACCTTTTGGTTGCAAATTAGCTGTTTTCATAAATGTAAAAGAAATAATAGTGCTGCACCCCGTTGGTAATCCTTGTAACTTTAATGCTATTGAACATCATAGAACAGAACCAACTTGTTTAATTGAAACAGCTGTTAAGATTCAATAATTCCATTTCTCATAAGGTTAACATGGGAAACTCCAGAGCCACTGGGGCGGAGCCCGTAAGGATTTTTGAAATAAGAATATGCCTATATGTTAATCGGGAATGTGAGCTATCATCATGCCAAATTTCAGCCCAATCCGACCAGTATTTTTCGAGTTTACTTTTCCCATACACACATACACACATACAGCAACCACCTCTTTTTTATAATAGTATAGATAGATAGATAGATAGATAGATAGATAGATAGATAGATAGATAGATAGATAGATGGATAGATAGATTGTCAAATGTTGTAGTTTGCTTGTTTATGGATATATTTTGATCAAACTTGGCAAATTTATTTATTTTGTACTAAGCTATCAATATTTTACTCAAAAACACACTTTATTAGTTTCCTTGTAGCAGCAAACCTAGGTACTCGTTAAACCTAATGTTATTAAAATATATTTAACTGAAAATCAATTCAGACAAATGGAAATTTGCTTAGTCGGCAGGTTTGCTGCGGCGGGGTTATTTATAGACTGGTAATATTTTGGCAACTTTTAATTTATGAGGAAAGATACCGCAAATTAAAGAGGAATTTATGATATCTATGACAAAAAGTTAACGGCTTCCGGCGGGATTCGAACCCGCTACCATCAGTTTATCAGTCTTGTACGCTATCCACTACCCCACCGAGGCTCGTGACTCAGCACCGTATCGATGCGGTAATGGTTGACGTCAAATTAAATCCTGTGGATGTTTTTGAAACCATTTTTTTGCAGTCTAACAGTAAATATTTGTTACATTTTATATTTCATAAAATGTGAACAAAATAAAAATAGGCAGAGACAGAAAGATGAAGACAGTTGGTCCATGCTTGGGAAGAAGAAAAACATGAGTGACAGGTCAGACCCTGCTCAGCTGAAAATTAGGGAGTCAGGGAGGCTGATAGCGATGGCTAGCCACTGGGCGATGGGATCGCCAACCCCTACGCCGAAAACCTAAACCTAAACAGTTATGTTTGCCCTTTTGACTTGATTAATGATCACTTACCGATTCCAAATTTCTGGTGATCATAAGCCTCATCAACAGTCGCTCTGCCTGTCTTCAGAGGTTTCGAATGAGGTTGCTACCTTTCAAATTTGGTATCCATCCACAAAAAAGACAAAAACTTCTTTATTCCTGATATTTTATCAATGAACCCGATGGGATGAAAACAATTCACTACTGTAGTGATATCTTTTAATCGAAATATAAATTCATATTTGTCAAGTAATGTCATCCATTTTCGTCAAAATAATGTTTTGTAAAATACGTATTAAAGTGTGGAAACTAAAATTGTTTCTCCACCGGTGCCTTTGTGTTAATGTACTAATGCAAATATTTATTAATTTCCTCTTAACTGTACCGATGGAAATTAGTTTAATTGAAATAACAAAACAAAATTAAAATTATTTAATCATTGGCTAGAGTAAGATTAAGAAATAGTGTCCAGCAGTTTAAAAGATTTAGTTTTGTAGGGTTGGTAGTGGTCTTAGATAACAAATTCAAGTTTTGTCAGTTAAGTTCACTGGAAATAATGGTCTACTAAAATGTAGTTGCTGTAGAAATTACAGATATCAACCACTTCTTCTTATGCTTGGTACTACCACTTCTTGGTATAGTAGTTTCTTTGTACCACTTCTAGTTTGCATGGTATCTGCTAGTGCCAGTTCGGACCATTAAACCCAGTGTCTCTGATTAAAGTAAGATCTTTCCTGTATTTTATTATATATTACAATATTTATTTGGAAGTAATAAGAGCATAATTGATTTTTTTGGAAAAGTGTATTTTGTGAAATTTGAGAAACATAAAATATATATATGTCTTTGGTCTACTTAGTCTTTTAATTCATCTCACTTCTACTACCAGCTTAAATTAGATTCTTCCTAAATTAAAGTATACTACCTAATTGGCTATATGGTAGGGGTATATAACGTAACTTGTAACTTGAATATAAACATGAGAAAAGTGTAGGGTACTATATTTTTGCATTTATAATAAACCACTGAAAGTGATATTTAAATATTTGTTTTGCCCTTTATTATTAAATTCTACATACAAAAAACGATGCCTTATCCTCCATAAAAACCTGATAAGTGTTTTAAATCACTATCTTTCCCTTACTAGTGCACACATGAATCATTGAACCAACACAGTTTAGCCAAATAATCCAGCCAACTTCCTGAAAAATACTTACCTTAATAGTGCTGATCATG